CAGCACATAATTCTTCTAGGTCACGATATCTAGCAACACACTCCTACCATTACAAAACCCTCTTACAATTTGGAGGGGAAACAACGTAAGAGGCATAATTTTATCTTTATTTTTATTTTAAATTTAAAGTCAAGGTTCATATTCTGCATTGGATGTCTTACCTTGATAGTATATCACAAATACCTTTTTCAGGTTTTCTTCAAACTAGAAAATGTAACTTGCGACCGGTGTCCACACCCGATTACAAACAGTTATAATGTAAATGAAGAAATGTAATCAGTGGGTATACCACTTGACAGCTTTGCTTAATAATTATTCTAACATAAATAACGTTTACTTTGTTTTATATAGATTGTCGTTTTATCGTAGAATTGAAACTTGCAACGCGCATTCAAGAGCGATGATCACAATCTGTGGATCAAATGCACAGAGGAGAGGACTCTTAGAGAGCCTTTTTGAGAGACTCAAATAAATGATATCTGCCTGCCTGAGTTTTCTTGTTGTCTCTCCTCCTTTCTTGTACATTCATCGAAAATAAGTACTTTTAATGGGCTTTAATTCATACGCTAAGTAGTACAGGTTTCACCGGTGATTACTTTTGTCCTTTAGAGTCTTAAAAAACCATTCACAATGAGATAACTTTTCGACTTATTTTTGATGCTGGGATAAATTAGTAACCTGCGTACTTAAAATGTGACCGAACGTTGCTTTGATTTGTCTCGCAGTGGCTAAAAACTTTGTGATGTTGCTTCATTGATGGTCTTTTCCAGTCAGTGTTTATCTTCGGCGTAACTAACAAACTCAGCTCAAACTCAAAGGTCTTTCCAAGCTATATATATCCAGCAGGTATGTACTGTGATTTAATACTGATCTTTATTTAAAAAAATTAATAAAATAAAGCAATATTTGGCTAGAAATTGAATCCATGTTTAAAATAACTACGGTTAAAAAAATCGATTAAAAGCTGATGAAATCTAAAATTTCGGAGTCGACTTCCTTCTCTCTGTTGTCTGGACGTCAAAATCAGCTTTCTTTGCATCGCAAGCGACTCTTCTCGTTAATCTTGACCCCTCGAGTAGATGAAGGCGCATCTTATTAGGAAAAAACAGGTTTTTGCCCTACTTTGCATATTGCTTTTCGCTAAAACTATCATTTTCGCGAGACGACTGTGTTATCTGAAGTCAAGCATTCTTAGCCAATTCCGCCGGTTGTGGTAAATATTAGAGGTGTAAATGTTCCATGTTCAGTGTCGAGAACTGTCCTTGATTACTGTCGCTTCCTCTCATTCTCATACTTACCATAGATATTTTGTGGCTCTAGGCTCTTCCAGGACATGGTATTTGGTTGGAAAAACCCTGACGTCAAAGAATGCCCATCGTTGGTGCTCGCAGAATCCATGTGCAAGAATGACCAGCCTTGTGCTTTGTTAGCTCCTCTGTTCAGTTGTTCTCAGCTGATGTCTTGAAGGACGGGTTCGCCTTTAACATCGTTGCATACCGCACTTAAGAGTTCAGGGTCCAGGTCTCTCAGCTCATTATGTCGTTGTACGAAATCATGGCGTGGTCTAACGTAAAGACTTTCCCGCATACACACGTGGACATGAGGAGGGAATATCATGGACTGGCCAGTCATATTGTAGTTTGACAGCATTACGGAACTCCCGTTTAATCTGGCTGATTACAATTGCGTTCCGTTATTGCAACAATAAGTAGTAGAGATATTGCATTCTCCAGTGGCTTTAGTAGATCCTGGTTCTGAGGAGGTAAGTCGACGGATATTTTAAGCCGAAGGTGAAAGCAGCATAGCATGACTGTGCCTCTTTTCTGAGCGAACTTTGCCAATTAAACTACCTCGCTCACCCAATCAGACACCTCACTGATGTAATCCTCCTGATACTCCCGTGAGCTTATCGCCGCGACCAGATGTATCTTCGCTTTCACTCATGTTAATGACCGTTTCCTTAAATACTTCTTTCACACTCTCTTACTTGTTCGGCTTTGCGATAATCCAGCGCTCTTTGCCGTTTGAGAAGTAGCCAAAGTCTGGACCCAAGGTACTCAACATGTCTCACTATCTCTTCATCTCTGTAGTAGAGCCTGTCCCACCTGCATCATCGGCGAACGAGCACTGCTTTGCTGTGGACGTTACCTGTAGACTCGTGATAAGAGGTTGGATGCTTAAAGCACAAAAAGCCATAGCTATCCGATCTCCCTGTGTGGTACTTTCTGCTCAATTACAGGATCTCTTTACCGCTAATGATAAGTTAATAACTGTCTCTACGTCTTAGTCACGAAAGTACTTACAATGTTTACCTCTGTTTTTATGATTTTGTAATCGTTCCTTTGAGCATCAACAACGTGCATATAAAAGCTGAGTTAGCATTCCTTTAAAGTAGTTTTCCCATTGATTTCGAGTGGTCTTGTCAACCCTGACCTCTTGAAGTTCTGTAGATGGTTACCGATAAAGGACAAGAGTGGAAAATTTAAAAAAAAAATGACACAAAACGTCTCAATAGTTATATCAAAAATTATAAACAGCGTGTTAAATTGAGCAGGTGCGAACTAGAACGCTATGTCCAGGTTTATAATGCCAGGTATAGTCATGATTTAAAATAAAAACTACGTTTAAAATAATTTGCTTCGGACTTCAAAAGAGATGATTAAAAGAAAACCGGCATGTTCGTCTCCTGATTAGGCTTCGTGAAGCAAAATTTGCATGCCTTACAGTCAGTGATATGTACTCTGTGGCTATGAACTCTTAAGCGGTAGATGGGTGGGGTTGGTGGTCTATAGTCAGCATAGTCCTGCAAGTAACTTGACGGCTTTGACAACCGTCCAGATCTAATGGTCTGGTCTCCATTGCTTGGAGCTTGTCAGGTGTTACAGAAAGTGACTGGCCAGTTCTTGGTTTTGCCGCTGTGGCTTTGTCTAGTTGTTAGGTCATATTGTAGCGTCTGCTAACGGAGGTGCTTGAGGCTCGTCTAGAGCGGCTCGGATGGATGACTGCTGGAAGATCATCTTTTGTATCAGGAAAGCCATCCAAGGTTGTGTTTTTTAGCCTCTGTAGAGTTGGCTCACAAATTTCTCTCTCTGAGTTTCATTGAGTTGGTGATCCGGAACGGAAAGGAAATGGTTGGTATGAATGCGATCGACCACTTGTTCTGCGCGGGTAAGCTCCCAGTCCTTCATGAAAGCTCTCGATAGATAGCCGGCCGGCAGCATCCTTTTCCTACGCTTGTAGCTTATCTCGTAGTCATACTGCTGAAGTGGTAACAAGGCACTCTAGCTTCTTGGGTGCTGATGCTAAGGGCTTCTGCATAATAAAGACCAGGGCTTTTTGATCAGTCCGCAGGATGACTTTCTTAACGAACACATATTGGTGGTTATGCTCCGTGCCAAGGCCGGGAACAAAAATTACTTGTCGATCTTAGAGTACTTCCTCTTTGCCAACGGGAGTGTCACTGGTTCACCATGCCGCATTAGTAAAAAGTCAAGTCTATTCTTGGACGTATCTCCTTGGCCCTCTGTTGGGTCACCCTTTCTGAAGTACTTGAGTTCTGCCGCTTTTTTTAACAGCGTCTTTGATCTCTTCGAAGGCATCTCTCTGGTCATGAGTCCAGATCCACTTACATTCTTACATGTCAGTCCGCTCTACTAAGACTGAAATTTGTTTAGCGCTCGAAAATTGTGTTCGTCTTGCCAAACAGTAATTATTCCACATCTGGAAGACTGTATCGATCCTACCTTTCTCTTCCTTGGAGGTAAAGGTTAAACCAGAGTGTATATATCGAGGGCTTCTGACGCGATGTATGTGATGGGAGACACTACTTGATAGATGTCCAGCTTCGAGTGTAAATCGAGGGTAAATTCCATGTTTGACAGGTTTGATGGCCTACTAGCCTAAAAACACATGGTTCTACAAGGTCACGATATCTTGCACCACAGTCCTATCATTACAAGACCCTCCTACAATTTGGGAGGAAAAACAACAAAACATGCATAATTTTATGCAAGTCGAGGTTCATACTCTACATTGGATGTTTTTCGGTTATAGCATATTATAAAAATCCTATTCGGATTTTCTTTAACTGAGAAATTGAAACTTGCGACCGGTATCTACACTTGATTACAAGCAGATGTATTGAAAATGAAGAAGATGCGACTAATGGGTACATCTCTCGACAGCGTCGCATAATCAGCATTCCAGCATAAATAAAGTTTACCTTGTTTTATACAGATTGTCTTTTTATCGCAGAATTGAAACTTGCAACCCGCATTCAAAAGTGATGGTCACATCCTCTGGACCAAAATCAATGCACAATGAATAAGACTCTTAGAGAGCCTTAATGAGAGACTCGAATAAATGATATCGTGCCTGAGTTTTCTTTTCATCCATCGAAATCAAGGACGATTGAACGACACAACGAGACGCACTTCCCTTTGGATAGTAAAAATAGGCCTCTAAGGGCTATTCCCCCACTTCCCCCTTTTCCCAACTTAACGCTCCAAAGGGAATAAGGCTGAGAAGTGCTTGAATGGATGACTGTATAAATTATTAACGATTAATTTGATTATATTGGGGTGAATAATCACCAAGTAATTAAAAACTACATCCTCCCTGCATGTAAGATGGATTCCGAGCTCAGCTTTTTATAGCGGGGGCTGACGGGTCTATCAAGACTAATGTATCAAGCAATAATACAAATCTGTGACTTTAGCGACACAGTCTAATTATTATAAAGCCTTGAATGCCACTAATTGTCCCTGAAATTATCTGTTTACGTCCTATTGTCTTCCTTTTAAAATGTCAGCAGGATTAAAACTAAGAAGAATAGTCCTTACTTTTTACTTTACATATATTTTAGTTTAATATTGGGGACGTATGAAACAGGTCTATAAAAAGTCAGAAGACAAACTATGTGCCTCCACTTATGAAAGTTAAGTGCAGGAACTGTGTATGCTAGAAATTTCTTATTTTTTAATGTTCTAATCCCCTAACAAAGTCATATTCTACAAGAACCGATGTCTTCTTTTCCGTTTTTTTACATATAGAAACCTAAGGTAGCACTACGAATTATAATATGGCTCAAAACTAATTGAAACTTGTTGGTTTTTAAATTTTTAAGCACTGAGAACAACTAAGTGCTTTACACATTTTGTTGTAAAGCTGGAAAAGTGAGATAACATCACTTCGCCACAAGGTTCAACTTGAATGTTAGAATAAATTTGTGACTTGCATAAGTTAAATTCGACCTGACCAGTTGTCTTATTTTGTGTTGCTTCATTGATGGTCTATTGTTTATTTTTCTTTACCTAACAAACGTATACTTTATAGCAGATTTAAAATCAAGCGCAACAAGAAGAAACTTTCTCCTCTGAAGGCATTCTTTACAAACAGAAGAAAGAGTCCGAACTTACAGGTAGTACAGCTTGGTATTGTTACTGAATATGCTTGATGGTAATTCCTTCAACTGGTTGTTGCCTATACTCCTGCCAAGAATTGATAGAGGGTGGTGTTACGATATATTCAACAATTACGTTGAATTGAAGGGTGTATCCAGTAATGCTGTATTTCCTTGCATGCTTTGATATGATATCTATCTTGCCCTGTGCGAGATGGATCTTAGGCATTCTTTACAAAAAGAAGAAAGGGTCCTAACTTACAGGGCGGACAGCTTGGTATTGTTACTGAATATGCCTGATGGTAATTCCTTCAACTGGTTGTTGCTAATATCCCTGCCAAGAATTGATAGAGGGTGGTGTTCATTACCATGTATTCGATAATTACATTAAATCAAAGGGTGCATCCGGTAATGCTGTACTTTCGTGTGAGCTTTGATAGGGGGGCTCAAACAAATCTATGTAATCATTTCTTTTCTATCAGCCATGAATATAGCCTATTTTGTGCTTAACCAGAACTGTAAGTGAGCTCGTTCCATTTTCACGTTAAGTATTTTTTCTTTATTTTTGGAGACTGTGCCTTAATTCTTAGATTTGGGAGCTCTATGTAAACCCAGAGCCTGAAGGAGGGGGAGGGGGCATTGGTTAAATACCCATTAACACTAAAAAAGCAGGGGTGGGGGGGGGGGGATTTCGCAATCTCTAGCGGGGAGGCTCCCCAAATTAAGAAGAATTTATCGGGTAATTATTATTGTCCGGGTGAAAGTGGTGCTTCGAAGGATTGTGTTCGGAACCAATTCCAACGTTTCGATAAGTCCAGCGGAGGTTATCCTAAGGGTCGAGTAAAGAAATATTGTCAGTCGACAACAATCCTTCGCAGGACTACCCCCATCCGGACGATCAGGCCACAAGATCACACGTCAGTCCGTGTCACTGACACAGTAACTGAAGTAATGAGTTCAGGTACACTTCAGGTGTTCATGTAAAGGTTGGGCGAAGCTAGTCATGATTTTTGGGAGCTAGAAAGACTCAACATTACAACCGCAGATTACTCGGTGAGGAGTCCTTTAGTTCACTGTTACTCAAATTCCTATCAAGAATCATTACAAACGTGTCTGACACAAATAACAAATAGTCTTGGCTTACAGCCACTCCAGCTGGGTATAATTACTGAAGATTCCTTGGGGCAAGTCCCTCAGCTTGTTGTTGCTTAAGTGCCTATCAAGATAACGTTAGAACGTGTAAAGTACATGCTGAGTACAACCGTTACGATAAGAATGACACCTGAACGTCTAATCTCTTCATTGTCAAAACTATAAGGAAATTTATAAAGAAAACAACTAATAAATGACTAATATCGTATCTTGAATCATAGGTTACTCTCGTCAGCCTAATGATCCATCACCGCCTGATATTTTGCCACTTTCTGAAGAGTAGGGATATTATTCTTAGTTTCACTGTATCTATTTTTGATCTCTGGCTAGAGAGAATGTCTTTCCCCAAAACACAATACATTGATCTGGCCAGGGCTTAAATCCGAACCTGTCAATCTGGAGTCAAACACTCTCACCAGTTGGCCACTGAACTTTGCAGTGTTAAGAGCAGCGCTAGCAATTGGCTCATGCGGTGCTTCTTATTATTGGCGTTCTTTTACTTCCTTTGGTATTAAGCAACTGTTTTATGGTTCAAATTTCATTGATCGAATAATTTATTCCTTATCTTTAGCCTTGATATAAATGTTTTGTAGCCCAGGCATCAAGATAGTTACATTGATTTCTGATCAGCTATTACACCAGTGAAAGTGAAAAAGTAGCGCAAACTAAATTTGTCACAACGTCAACAGATAAACCAAACTGAACTGATAAGTTTTTTTATTATAGAACGTTTACAGCTCTGTGTGCTGCAACCTTTGTTGAAATTGAGAGTTAAAACTTAAAATGAGTTTAGATTCTTCGTTAGCGTGGCTTGACAGCTAATTACACTCTTTGATCAACCCGATAAAGCAAATCCTTCATTTCCCACTTTGTTATTAAACTACACACTGAGTGTTAAATTCGCACTGTTCAGGACATACGCGTTACTAGTTTTAAGAGAGGATCAAGTAAAGTGACTGAATCCCACATGTAAGCCTTATTCTTGAACTTATCTCTCTTAAATTATTTTAGGATCAAACCCTTCCTTGTAGATCCTAAGAGGATATAGCCAATCCAGCGTAGAACATTGTGCACGTTAAGAATTCCCACGACTCGACTACCCGTTATGGTACATTTTACATTGTCCTGGGGTTATCCTAATCGATTTGAGTCTTGCCATAACATGAAAGTAATTCCTTTGAGAATAAGGTCTACGATAGCATGAGAGGAATTCCTCTGAGAATAGGGCTTTTAGTGGAGAAGCAGTCCTTTGGGTCAATCTTTTCTTGGTGTTTATAACTGTTTAATTACACTCACAATTTTGACATAGCAGGCGGAAATTTCCATGCAATTGAATTAAAGCTTTTTCCACTACAATTCACACTAACGATAGTTTGGTGGAAGACGTCACATTCGCAAGGGCCTGGGCACTCTAAAATGAGGCAAGAAATGATTGGCCGTTAAAATTCGTCAACAAAGGCTTCAAATTTGAAAGACTTAAGTCAGTTGTTTGGGCAACGAAGAATATTTCACTTTGATAGAACATTACTGTAAAATCACAATTACCAAGATTAAACGAACACTTCAGAGTTACGATGTAAATTAACTGATCATGAGTCAAAGATGAAAACTGGATTGAAAACACGAACTTCAGGTACACTCTATGCAGGCGCCAAAATCGACAAACTGGTAAAGTAACTTCACTTGGAATAGAAACAAGTTTAAGCGTACAAATGTGAATTTCCTTTGGTTATCATCATATACGCCTTCCCCTTCACCAGATAACTATCATACCAATAATTAACATTCAAACCTAAAAACAACATACAAATTAAATTAAAGGGATATAGAAAGATCACTTTTGAAAGGTCAAATAAGATCCAACCACCAAAGTAGCTTAAACGTTTTTGGGGTGGTTAGAATTTTGAGCAAATGAAAAAGTACAGGTTTAGATAATCCAATTATACAAAGTACTGATATACTTCAACAAAACAATAATACCTCACCTTCAATTCTGAGGCTGATGTTTCTTCTTAATACCTCTCCATCTCTTCTTACCTCGCAGCTGTAATTCACGTTGTCTTCTGAAGTTACTTGAAGCTGAAATGTTATGCTGGTACTATTTTGAACAGTGACACCATCTTTTCTCCATACAATGTATGGAGCTGGCGCACCTTTCACTGGGCACCACAGTTTAGAGGTTCTGTTCAAAAATACATACTGCGTATTTGTAGCTTGATCCAACGTAGGATTGACTATATTAGATTTCAAAGAAAAAAGGAAAGCAATTGTTGGAATTATTATGGTGTATGTATGCAGAAAACCTTAGAAACAGTTCGGGAGGATAATTCGTATACATGCACATCAAAAAATATTCTAACTCTGACACAATTCAGTGTTCAGGCCAAAGTAACATACGGATTCTATTTGTATCCTTCCCCTTTCTTTGTCTCCGCCTGTCTGTCTGTGGATTTAAGGATACGGTAGACCTTCGAGTGCCAACTTTTTATTTTTTTATGTTTTAATTTTTTTTTCATGTCAAACTAAGCATTATTGATTTCACTATAATTTTCAAGAACATTTTGGTGAGATATTGAAATGCGGGCGAAAATCTCTGTTATCCGTCTGCGTTTAAAACTAGCATGTGAATGGAGAAAAATAAAAAGGAAAAGAGTCCATAGGTGAAAGTAAAAAGAAGCCTGGCTTTCAGCAAAAGAAGTAAAGAAATTCGTTGCGGAATGGCGAAATAATCTCACAAAGTGGATAAAACCTTGTAGTTTTGGAAATTTTCATTTCTTCGTCCTACGCTCGAGACCAGACGAAAAACATCTTTTTCTACTTCTTTACCAAGCTCAAAACCTACCACTTCTCTTACTCTATTAACTAAAAGTCTACTTGTTTCTGGAATTTAAAATTAGTAATAGATATATATCTATATGCATATATATAGGTATATATTGATTAATTGAAAGAAACATCATGCCTGTTTCATTGATGGATCTGGCGGTATAGAATACGTCGAAGTTATAGAGACCTGTCCCGATAAATTTCAACCACATGTATCGTCCACTGGATCTCACTACTCCAGTTCCGTAATCTCCACAGAATTCACCAAGAAGATTGGTTGACTGACTACTGCCATCACGAATTTCAAGATTAAATCCCCATAGACATAGTCGTGGAATGTCGCTGCGTATTGTAAAGTTTAGTTCCACATAATTTCCCCGTGAAACTGAGAGAAATTTTTTCCCGTCAAACTCCTGGACTCGTTTCCAATCTTGTGCACGTGCTTGCTTATCATACTCAATCAAACCTGCAATAACTGCAACGAGTCAATTAGTCTGGTTGCAACAAAAACAGTTGATAGTTATTATGAAGAAATTATAAATGATACATTAAGACCAAGAAAAAAGACAGTGGCTTGCAAAAAAGCTGAGCTCTGTCTTGCGAGCACAATTACTCCATTTATTGAATTTTAGACCATTAAACAAATCCTAAATAAAAATATACTTTACTTTATTTTATACTCCGCGCAGGAGAGAGTGAAGTAATACCACAAATCGACTTCTGCTCCAGCTGGGACAAAACGAATGACGATTTCAAACATTCGAGTTAAATTAAATCTTAAAAAAATCCATTTATTACCCCGCAGAGGTTATCCTAGCTTGACAGAAACAAAACAAACAAAAGCTAAATGAAGAAATAAGCACAGACATTGTGTGAAGTAACTAGCTCAATAACACAACATAAATTGTCGGTCAGGGCTAGGGCTCACCAAGCTTGGAGTATAGCCACTGCACCAAAGAGTCTCCGATTCCAAATGGAAAAAGTGCCAGCGATTTAGAATTAAGACCGTAAATCTAGTTTCCTTGTGAAAAAAAGTGTATCGAGGATAGAGAAAAGTTGGTTTATCACTGGTTTTCAAATACATTTCATTGGAACTATTTTATTGAATTTTAATTTGAGTTAATTTTGTTGAACTTGAAAGAGATTGAAATCTCATAAAAATTAGTGCACCAGCAAAATATGCAAGAGATCCTTATTTCAACCTCAGATGAGACAATCTTGACGTCTTGGACAATTTGTAACAAAGAAAGCGCCCATTTCACATGCATAGTTTTTAAACCTAAAAGTTGCATGATACATTCTTTCAGCAGATGCCGTCTTCGTTCATCCTCTAACTCTTCAGTACCCTCCTTCGACGAATATCCCACTCATTATCTCTGTTCCCTTCCCAGTGGCGCCCACCCCACCCATGGAGCCTCCCCTCCTTCATAATTAGAAAAAAAAAAAATGAGAAAGCTTAAAATTTTTAGATAATGGTTGTAAACAGCCAAGGCGCTTACAGAAAACAAGGATGAAACTCCACTTGGCCATTGAAGATACCATCACAATGTTGTGTGCTCTAGAAGTAAAGTTCATATGCTTAATTTTTCCTTATTCACTGTAAGCTTACATCAAGCCAACAGAGATTTGTAAACAAAATACATGTAGACACAATGAAATGCAATAATTGTATTCAAATAGAAAATTATGTTTATGTATGCTTTTATCTTCGACGAAATTGATTGACATTTTCTTTTCTATAGACCATTACTTCACCTGAGTTTTGGAAATCATTGCTAGTGTGAGAGCCAACTCTAGAAAAAAGTGTATTGAAAAGAAGCCGAATCTCTTGATCGGTCCATTACGTAGTTTGGGACCAAGATTGAAAACAACAAGATCATTTATTATACGGTTTATTCTGGATAGTCCATAAATGATGAATCTTGTTTTTCTCGACACCTATTTCCTGAAAAAAACATGTTGATATGTTGAGAGAGTTAACTCTTTTTTAAATCTGAAATTGGGATAATGTACTTTGGTTACTGAGGCTGATGTCATCTAATATCAGCATAAAAAAATATTAATTCTTGGAACCCTTATGACTGATGGATGACTTTTCTGCATTCAGAATCTAAATAGAAATTGAATTCGAGTGCTGTCTTTTTTAAAGCTTTCAATATTTTATGGTAAAGGGGAAAAAAGTCCCTGTCTATGGTCAGCAAAAGCCAACAAGAAAGATTAATAAACCGGTTGTAAAATCTTTTGTTGGACTAAGAATTCCAAAATAGGAACACGAAATAAAAAGAAAAAATAATTGAAAGAGCAGCTTTGTGAATATAAGTTTTTGTCTTGTTTTAACGCGTGGAGTAATATATGTATCTAAGGAAGCTGTAGGATTAGGCTTTGCATTGCATGCTGGGTTAAAGGTCGGCCATCATGAATAAACCTCGTGCTAGCTTGTGTTTACTCGAAGTCTCCTTTCTTCTTCGTCTGATACTACAGAAGCCATATGTATTCACCTTATAAGAAAGCAATTTTTATATTAACTTCATCTACATAGAGTCGGCAATTTTCGAATAAAAATCGCTGTTTCCCTTTTATTTTGATCATAGACAGGTAGTAATAATAATCCTTTATTCACCATAACTACTGAAAATATTTACAAAATAATGATAAAATTCTTAAAAATCAAAAACTACATTAAATGTCTTATAAAAATCGAAGGAATACTAACAGATACACGCTTCGTTTACGTTTACTTCTTGAACTTTGAATAAGAAGATAATTGGAAAAAAAGTAATAATAGTAATGTGAAGAATATTAAAAGTTTTAATCCTAAAAAATCTTGGTAGTTCGCTACCGATTCCAAAGCCCCTACTAATCCTAAATGTGAGGAATAGTAAAAGGTAGTAAAAGCTAGTTCCACTTTGATTCCTTATCACGATTCTTGTCTTTTTTTTTTTTTTTTAAATGACCTTAAATACACGTACGAAATTTTGTAGAGCGGATAATTATTCTTCTTTTCCTTCCTTAGCCAAAATATCTTGGAAAAGAGGCCATTCAAAGTATCTCGATAAGTTCATATTATCAGGTTTAAATTACGCAGTCCATCAACATGCACCCGAAATGAATCAGTCTCTCAATTCTCGCTTACAGACTACTTAACAACCCAATAAAATAAGAAATAGGAATTCCAATGTGATCACTGAGCTTAGTTAGAATTCAGTTACGAGATGAATCATTGATAAACTTATTGCTAATTCATGGCGACCGATAAAAATATTCCATACTATATTTGGCGCTTTTCATCCTCTAAACATGAAATATAAAGGTGATTTTTATTCCTTTGGAAAAGCTGAACAAAATCCCGACCGTTGCGCAAAGTAAATATTATGTTCATGCATTTTTAATGTAAGGAAGAAAGAATGTACAAATTTTTTGGAATTTTCCTTCCTACAAAGAAAGTGCTTCTCTTTTCCCTTGTGGTGTTCTCCAACCTCTTCAGCAAGAATATTGATGACACATTTAGAGTTTTGGAGGAAATAAATTGAAATCCTCGCGCTGTAAATAGTTATCCTTTTATCCGTCACTCAACTGATAATTTTACAAGCTTCCTGCTTCCTGTTTGTGCTCTGATGTCATTTGAATTTTTCATTTGATCGAGTTGATCGTTTTCCAAAATTCTCAACACTAATTTTCTTGACAATATAACGATGTTGGTAGAGGGAAATGAGATTTCGATGAATTGAATGAAGTGTTATCATGAATTGATTAAAGTTTTACTCATTTTGTCGTGTACTGGTTTTGACAGGGCGTAAAATGCACATCTAGAGCATAACTCACAGATACTATGGTTATAAACTGAAAGGAATCGAGTTGATTTTGCAGTGGAAAAATATTTTAGACATATTAGAAACTATATTGTGGTAAAGCACGTAGCATATTCATCAACAGGATCGACATCTGTACTGACTGTGTACATGTGGGTATCTTGCAATTAAAAAAAGGAAGGCTTGCCACCTTTAGATAAAAAGAGCTCGTAATAGAATAACTAGGTTCTTCATTGTTTTAAAATTTATCTTGAATTCGAAAAACGTCATTATTCGTTCTTTTTGGCAAGAGAAAGGCTATTGCCCTTTAAACAACAGATGTTTCAATATCTATATAAATATACTAGTTATATTTTGCATAATTTATGGTGCGAACGTCGCGAGAAACTATTTAAAAGTGTTTTTTAATCTTTAGATGAAGAAAAGCCGCAGAAATGTTAGGTTTGCGATTTTGTGGTTTAACCGGTCTCGTTCTTCTCAAAGTAAATCTGCTTAATATCATCATATATTGAAGATAGAAGGAGAAATTGCGCTTTTATCACTCTACTGCAAAAATTGCTAGACAGCACATCATCAAAGAACTGACAGGAAAAAAGATCTGTATGCGTTGCGCGCTTTCTATATCACGTAAAAGAATAATTAATTCAGCAATTTTTTCAATCTCTCATCAGGACAGATTTTTGAACAAGGCTTCTGGAAAGACTCCACAAAATCGAAGAGTTGTAAATTTTTTTTCTAAAGATTATGTCCGTTACTCTGTGAATATAACTGTTTATCGTTCACAAACTGACTTCTTCGTGTCTTTTTTCTCAGGTGCCATTTGACTTTCAAATTAACGTTTGAACAACTTACAAGGAATATGTTTCCCTTTCAGTAAAATTCGAATCTCCATTGTAAAATACCATTACAAAACATACACTCTTGTTTATTATTTCGAGGATAATACTACTATTTGTGTTTTTCGAAGAATTTAGACTCTTTTCTATGTCGATCAACTAGTCGATTAATTTGTTTAACTTTTTTCGTGTCCTTTGTTTCTCAAAAAAGGCGGAAAATGCACCTAACGATAACATAAAAATCACAAAAATAGAGAAAACAAACTAAAATGATCGAATTACAGAACTTCAGAAGCTAGAATAGTTTAGGATAAATATTGTGGTAACAAACATAACAAAAATGATGTCATCGAAAGGATCGCCATCTGTCAACATCTAGGAAGCTTATATCCTATCAACAAAAAAATTCTCTCTACTTTCAAATCTAACTTTTGTACCGTATAGTGAGCGAGAGAGATGAATTAAACTATTATGAAATAAGAACAGAAAGAAACGAAGCTCTTATGTTTAGTACCTGAATGTTGATTGTCCCTTTACTCTGTAAGAATCTGATCGCATTTATCCGCATAAGCAGAAGATAATTAATTCACACAGGGGTAAAGGGTTTTACAGCTGTTTTAACTGTTGTTTTTAATAAATTGAGAGTTTTAGATAGACAAAAATTTCCATCACGTAATTTCCTAAGTCCACGTCTACCTCAAAAGAGAACTGAAATAAGTTTTATTTCTTTTTGTTTTTTTTTCTTCTCCCTTTTCTCTTTGAGCAGTTTTAATAACTAATTTATATAATGTTGCAATGAACTGAATAAACTGACTAAATTATATGACTAACGTGACTATTCATCGGCAACCAACGCTTTTATTATTTCATAACAGTATTTGACTTTCAAATCCAAATTATGCTAAAATTTTTTACCCTAAATACATTTTTTTTATTTTCATGAACACTGACTTACTTTTTTGAGCCGAGAATCCAAAACTACGGATCTCATCTCAAAAGCATTTTCATTTTCTTCTTTTATCAACTTCTCGAAAACGAAACTTATTTCCGCGATATAATGTCCCTGGATTGAAAATGACCTGTCAGTGGAAAGATAAATATGTTATTTACCGACTGGGAGGTCCTTAGAGTTTAAATCTCCGCTAGAGGGCAGAATTTTCAAGTTTTCACCACAAGGACCTTCCTCAGCCGGTTGATAGTTTACCATCACTTTCTCTTTTTTTCTCAGTTCGTGAACGGGCGGTATTTTACAATTTTGTGATCTGATCGGTTCAAGAAGCGGGCAATCCCGCTTCTTCCCTTACCGCCCAACCCCCCCCCCCCCCTCCTCCCACACACCCACACACGCTCACAGCGGGTGATATCCGTCAGGTGATGAGTTGTGTTATATGTAGATATCCATTTTTTGCCAGCGGGGGACAGCGTGTTTAAAGCCTTTCTCATAGATCACTACTACTAGGGTTGACCTTACAAATGACTTATGTAAAGTTTTACTCCTCAAATCATTTTCGTTGTTTGCGTAAAATTGGTTTCCAAACAAATTTGTTATCGCAAATGTATCATTGATTGGGTTATAACATTTGACACGCCGTCTAAACACCATGGGTATTGTTTACTCCTTTGCAAAATGACTTGGAGAGGTATTTATTAGCATTTTAATTAATAATTCTCACGTTCAGTTATTTAAAGTCTGGATTCTCCTAATTTTTTCGGTGAACAAAATTTAAGCATAGTTATGAGTTCTTCTAAACTAAACTTTCGGTAAGTTCTTTCAATTCGGGCTTCCACATCAGAAACCGAAAGAATTCAGTGAGCGAAAGCTGAATTAAATCCCCTCGTTTCTTGTAAAGTTATCTCTTCAGTTAACCATGGGAAGAGAGATAAGATGTAGAAGCGCCATTACGAGCAAACGAATAAATTCTACTAACCGTGACTTTCCATGTCATTTAGTGAGTAGCATTACCATTGCATATTATAATAAAGTTCGGATATAACGCGCGCTGTAATTGGTTGAAAGAGCGTGCTCTATGAGAGTATAGAGCATAGAACTGAGCTAAAGCTGTCACGCCATCTGCCAAATTGTATTACCTTTTCCGTGAATAACAAATAGCATTACCTTTGAATAATCGTAAATAGAGGCGGACAATACTTTTCGATAGATCATTTGACTGGTTCTTAAGAAAATGTAGAGCAATCTTCGCTGTCTAAAGTAAGTGTGAAGTGTCAAAAGCAAGCCAAGTTCGCTTTGGGTTTGCTTTACTGCGCTCTGTGATTGGTCCAGAAAACTTGCACCATCCTCTCAACCAATCAAATCTAAATTAAAAGCTAGTCGCGAATTGGTCAGTCGCGTTTGCCCGCGCTTCAGGCAATGTACTTTAACCCTTTAACTCCCTGAAGTGATTACCAAGTAACTTCTCCCTCTAGTATCCATATATTATACAGCAAACAGGTAATGAGAACACTCAGACTCATCAGGTACAATTTATTTCCTTGATTGAACACCTAATTCTCGTAATCAATTAACAAGGAAATGTGTAGTAGCTAGAGGGGAGAATTGACAATCAGATCTTGGGAGTTAAAGGGTTAATTGTCACCTTTCTCAATCACTAACCGAGTTCTGGTTTCTACGCTGATTGCTCCAGAGTGGTCAACGAATTTTTAAGCGTTGCGCATGGAAAGTTTCCAAAATTAGGGTATAAAATCGTGTCATAGTCAACTGATGCCGAGTAAGAGGCATACTGTGATATCATTTACGAATAACCTCATAAATAAAAAGGTTCACAGTTTTATTACTTCCTTTTATTTTTCTTGCTCGACTTTGTTTCAGGCTTGCCAGATTTCTTAGATGCCTTTCTATACAGATAGTACAAAATCACTCCAGCCAGGAGCGGCCAAAATCCTATTTGCAGCAGTAACTTTGGATCGAACAGCGACTTCCTCTTAATGGACATGAGCTCGGTGGTAAAAATAAGTACAGAGTCGGCTATGTGTGAATAAAGCAAAAATAAGAAAATGTTAGGATTTGCTTTTTATTCAGTAACGTAGAATGATATTAATATCATGATTAGCAGAAAGATTTCTTCATAACCCCATACTATTCTAAAACAAATCAAAGTTGTAGTCCTAAAGGCAAAATATTGTTTCTGCCATTATTTTTTTTTATCCATAAACTATCTGCATAGTGAAGAATGGGGCTGCGCAGAAATCTTGCTAGGAGAGCGAAAAGGAAAGGCTTCTTAACCATTCCCATTCTGTGTTATAACAAGAAATTTAAAAGAAAATTTTTCCCTATTTGGCTATTACCACATATCCAATAGATATCTTGTTCATGATTGGTCAATGACTCATGCTCAATAAAATAAGTTCTAGCTTGCAACACAGGATTTACATATTGCATGTGCTCAGAATTAAAGACAAACAAAAAATGCTAAGTTCTAAACATTTCAAAAAACTTTAAACTTGGTTGAAATGTCATAATTATTTTATCAAATTGCCATTACAAAGAAAATATGAGCATTTTCCAACTCGTTGGAAATTTCTTATTCTAAGTAATGTGTGACTGAGGACATACAAAGAGATTTGAAAAATGACTTAAAAATCAAAAATCATACAAACTGCTTTTGCATTTAATGATTAATGGCTGCTTGTGACGTTCTGAAATGTTTTGGTCGTCCAAGTTCAATTAACCCTTTAACTCCCAGAAGGGATTAACACAAAACTTCTCCCTACAATATCCATACATTCTTCAGCAAACAGGTAATGAGAATATTCAAACTTATCAGGTAGAAGCTGCTATCTTGATCTAGCATCAAGTTCTCATAACTAATTTATAAGGAAATGTGTAGCAGCTACAGGGGAGAATTAACGATCAGATCTTGGGAGTTAAAGGGTTAAGTAAACTTCCCAAATATCACTTGTGTAATAAATCAGGACTTGCACTTCCACTCGTGCCATTTTCTGTATTTACAGGCCCCCTTAGTTCCTCCATGGTCATTTTTACAATCAACATTTACTTACGAGGAATAACATTCTGAATTCCACGAGCTCCGTACCCTAGGTGAGGAGGGATGATCAATTTTCTTTTTTCACTGAAAAGAGAAAAAGTAGAATCGAGGACTGTTGAAAAATATCAGCCTGAGCACTGCTTCTTTAAACTCATTTGAGGGAGCTACAAAAATGATCAACCAAAAGGGTTTTTGAATTTATTTGTAGAGAATAAACAATGTGAAAAGAAGAATGAGAAAGGCAGTTAAGACAGTAAGGGGCTATGAAGCCCAAAGGGAGTTTTACTTAAAAGTTGCCATGCCAATCTTGTTGTCAGTTATGTTTGCAAATAGCTTATTTCAAATTAATAGAACTTGGAAAATAGTATCAATCCATGGGCACAATTTTTTGCACCCCAACTTGTCGCTTAGAAGTAAAATTTTAAGCAGGTATTTTTTTTTCACTTGAGGAAATCCTGCTAAGCTAAGACCCACTTTAGAAGAAGTCCTTTCCTCAATGGCACTAATTGCTAATGACAAAAACCTGCTCATGATGAAAATATTTGACCTTATTGTTGTTTTTTATCACATACTGTAGTATGTATAGCACTTGGATGGTATATTTGGACCCAACATATTGACCAGCTCTCAGTTGGTAGAGCACTGCACCAGTATCACAGAGGTCATGGGTTCAAATCCAGTATGAGCCTGAAATTTTTTTCAGGTCCTATTTTCAACTACTCATTTCAGTAGAGTTCTTAGCTGCGAGGATCCTTTAATTTCATCTCTTCGCTGCAGTGCAAATATATGAATTTCATATATCTAAAATCATTATACGCATACTGTAATATTTCTAAATCTTACCCTATGCACATTCCTTTTATACCCATCTCCCAACCTGTAAAAAAAAAAAATTACAGAAATAAGTGAAAAAATTAAGGTGGCAATTACTTGTAAAGTGGTGAACTTTCTGTCACTGCAGTTCACATAAAATCACAATTTGGGAAATCTTAACATCTCTAAAAGGGCTTTAACTGGGAGCTTTTAAAAGAAGTATTACCAACCAGGCAAAAGAAGAACTCAAAATATTGGAAGTCATTATTATTCATCACCTGGATGGTTTATTTGGACCCAACATATTGACCAGCTCCCAGTTGGCTTGTTAGCTCAGTTGGTAGAGCACTGCACTGGTATCGCAGAGGTCATGGGTTCAAATCCCATACAGGCCTGAATTTTTCTCAGGTCCCATTTTCAACTACTAGTTCAGTAGTGTTCTTAGCTGCAAGGATCTCCTAAATTTGTTTCTTCATCACAGTGCAAATATATGAATTTCATATATCTAAAATCACTATACAGTAATTATACTTTGGTTTTTATTTTCAATGATGCTCAGTCTACATTAGATATCACAAAAGGTAACCTCATATAATCAAATTCACCAGAACACTTGACTGAGGACAGTGGTTCCTTTCTAGTTTAGCTTTTAATGTTTCCTCCTTATAATTTTTATACCTCACTATGTATGTATACATGACCAACAAAATGTCACATAGTTGTAAGTAAAACTTTAGTAGCTAAATAATTCACATATTGTGAGTCAAGAGAATACTTCATTCACATGAAATGAAGAATTGGGATATCTTAGCATCTCTAAAATGGTTTTAACTAAGAGCTTTTAAAAAAGAATCAGAAACCAGATAGTAAAAGAAGTCAAAATATTGCAATTAGAAAAATTTTCATTTGACTAAGTATAAGTATTGACAGTAACCAAGTTTAATTTTATGGTTTCACCTCAAGTTTCTATGTGATTGGCCAAGAACACTTGCTCCATATTCTCAACAAATCAGATTTAAAAATAAAACCAATTGCCTGTCAAATGCTCACTTAGTGTTCTCATGCTTTATGCAATTTAATTGTTGCCAAACTGTGTTCTCATCAGCTCATGATTTTAAAATGTTTTATTTTTTTTGCTATAGAGAGCAGTTGACTGATAACTTTGGCTTAATGGCTTTATGAATCCAAAACTAAATCACCCTGATAGTATTGCAAAATAATCAACAAGGCCTGGAGCGAGTTACCTTTTATAACCTTCCCTTTGCCCAACTGGAACTCAAGTGGCTCCCTTCCTTTTGCCAGGGATGAGTCGAACATTTGTCCATTTTCCAGTGTACCCTAAAAGAGTTTATTGTCAAATTAAGGAAATTCAAACATTTGTGATAGCCACATCTTTAATAAGAATTGAGAAGAGGTTTTTACTTTTTGTTGTTGTTTACTTTGTGTTGTTGTTGTTGTTTTTTAATTTCATTTTGGCAGTTTATTTTTGTCTTTTTGTTTAGACAGTCTAATTTAAAATGATAATAGAAAGCTAAAGGGAGAGGATGCCAAATTCTATTTTCTAATAACAGCTTGGCACCCAAGTGATTAAAACAATTTTGGTTCAAATTTCTGGCTTGAAAAATGTAAGGATGTGAGAACATCCTTTCCTTATGAATTCACTGTAATGCTTTCAAGTAAGAAGCAGACAACATGAAAGTCATATATGTACATACTGTATAGTGAACAGACACAATGTCGCCATTATCTGCTTTGTCCTCACAGGTAGCAGGATGTACTGAAATAGAAAGATCATATGATTTTATATAGAATACTTCATGGAAAGTCTGTCCTTATGGTAATTACACACAAGTCAGCAGTTAAAATATTCAAGGACTGAGATTTCTGATATAAAACCAACAAGTGCAGAAAGATAATGATAACATATTTACTAGCTCTACTAGAAGCTTCTAAACTAGAAAAAGAATTGAAAACTCAAAATTTCATCTAGACTAATAAGTCTTCATTTTTGCATTCTTTCCTGATTAGTGTGAAAATTTCTATAATTTAAGAAATTAAATAACTGCATTCTGTGCAAACCCTAGAGGGAATTTAAGTAATGTCTTTAATACCTTGGATTTGATTTTGCCCCCTCACTTAATTATATTTACAATACTCATCTAATTTAACACAATTTATTTGATTACATCCATTGCCCACCAGTTTCCAAATTTGGCAATAAAATAGTTCATTGAAAAGAACACCAAAAGCCATCACAGATCAGAGGATATTCAGATTAGTGTGCAGACCATCTCTTCTAATGCTAAAATTATAGTGGCCCAAGTTTTTTTTTGTTTACAACTATTTTGAGAATATTCCTAACAAAATTGTTGTGTCACTCATATTCTACTGAGTTTCAACACCATACTTTTAATGAAAAATCTAGTGAATGTTTTTTAATGAGACTGTAGGAACTTCCCCTCTCAACTCCATTTTGTTTGTCTTAATTCAACAATATATACACAGTCAGGTATTTGAACTACTCTTCAGAAATGCACAAATCATACTATTTCTCTGATACATATTACAATTAAAATCTTGTGCTTATTGGATTGGTATATGTATGAATATAATTCATTGTTACATTGTATGAGTTACGTTGTATGAATCACATGTGAACCGGCTGAGATCTATGCTTTTAAGTCCTTACAAATTATATTTCATGTAAACTAGAAGATCAAAGCCATGATATTAACCTAATCACTGCTGCCAGGAGACGAGATTTGTAATAAATTATTAATTTCTAGCATCACTTTAGACCACCTGTCGTGACACTCCTTCTCAAATAGCCCAGACTATTATGTAGTGTGCATGTATTTGAACAAAAAAAGCAAAAATGTTCTTAGTTATTTAATTTTCCACTTTTTCTCCATGTGGAGCGCTTGAAAAAATATTATTTTGAATATCGATGAAACAAATACCGCGATAAAAGGACAAAAAAAAAAATATCGCGTGATATTTTAGTATCTTTCGCCTGCGAAGGACTAATCCTCTCGTTCACATTTACCACAGAAGTGTTATCAACTGGCATACACAATACATATCAACAGTTTAATCGATATTTCAACAACAACCTTTAGCTTACCCACTTACAAACGAATATGGATTTTTTTTCAGTATAACATATTTTGCCATAAAGTTCACCCAAACTCCTCCCGTACGTACCGTACGTATGCAAAGTTTAAAAACTTAAGCTTCTAATTTTCTCGACTGCATAACAAAATCCGCGCGGGTAGGTTATCGCGACAAATTTCGTGAATTTTCCCTCAAATAATACCAATTTCACAGACTTTATAAATGTTCGCTTTTTTTTCGAAGAAAGATAAAATCCAAATTCAAAATTGCAGAAATTAGCACCCGATCGATCACAAAGAAATACTACCAGTAATTTAAGCGCAAGAAGCTTGTCTGAGATTTCAATCTCTTCACATACCTCAACAATAGTTTATAGATCCTTCTTCTTTTTGGCTCCAGCAGCATACCCACATGAAAAAAAAAAGTACCACAGAACAACAATCTTAAGTTGTTCTTCATTGGAGATCATCATCCAATTTACGCGATCTATGAGTGAAATGGAATGTCGGCTGTAATCTAATCGTGGCAAGCGGAGGCAGGCGCACTCTTCTTGCACCTCGAGAAAGCCTGGGAATGAACCTCAACTCAATATGGCGGACGAAGAGAGCCCAGAAGAATCGGAGAAAAAGATTGACTCTCTATCGCATCCAGAAGTGATGGCTCTCTTTAGCGAAAAACTGGGGAAGATAATGGAGATGAACTCGGGGAACATAGTGGAAGATCCACTCCTTATATATATATATAATTTTATATGCCTTTTAATAAACTTTCAGCTGTAGTTGTCATCCAAAATGCGACAGTGCATCACTTAAAGAAGGCAATACAAAGACACATCTCACTTAAACTCAAACAATATCACCAAATATTATTTTCTTGTGACAGTAGCTTCCTGATTGGAAATTTGTTGATATTAATGGTAGAACACTCGTGGTGGTGGAGGGTTAAATCTAAAACATCAACAGAGTTAATGGAATTGAAATTCCTGAAGTGTTGGATGCCTACTATCAAAAAGCATAACAGCTGATTGCTAAGAAAGCAGACCTTTAACCCTTTCACTCCCAAGGTCTAATTAGTAATTCTCCTTACTATCTGCCATACAATTCTCATGATGTTAGTTCAGAGAATTTGGTATTGGATCAACTAATAATCCCATAATTGATATTCTTCTCTATTCTCATCACCTACCTGCTTGATACTGTATTGATAATGTAAGGAGAAATTCTCTCTTGGTCACATGTGGGAGTGAAAGGGTTAAGGACTTTCTTCTTATTAAGCTATTTAATACCTAGTAAAACTCATTTCAGCTCTGTGAGATTCTATGTAAATACTATGTGAATCGGTATGTAAAACCTATTTTAAGGCTATTCAATTCTCTCTTTACTAATCTACACGATGCATACATAACTGTTAAAAAGACTATGTAAAGGTTTCATTTGAGTAGTAAAAATATAGGATTTTTTATCAAAAAAAGTAGCAAAAGATATAGAAATATCATATGATTTAAATAAGGCCTCTGTAAGACAAATTGTACATAGTTGTTAAATACTCCATACATACCTGTCACGTTCCCAGCACGGCAGACACGGGGTGTAGCATAATTGGGTCCGCCAGGTCAACCACAGTGGAGTACAGGACTGACAGCAGACTCTTACACACGCTTATTGGACTAAATCATGTAATCAGGCTAGCCAACTTGTTACAACACTTGCAGTGAAAACTAAAAGGAATGCATGATCTGTCTAAGCTAAGGAAACGAGCTAAACTACAAATCTGACAACAGAAAAACACAACTAACAATCGTGACTTACGTCTGATCTTGGCTCTGGGGATGAACTCCAAGTTGTAAAAAAAACTCTGAAAGACTCTTATAAAACTCCTCTTTGCTCCAGGGAAAACTCCTTAAAACTAAAATGTTCGCATGAAAAAAGGCCTAATTTACTTCTATGACATAAAGGAAACTAAACTGAAATAACTCTTAAGTTTGTGTGGCTAGCCGAAAGGATATTTTATAATCATTTTAAGAAAACAAAAGGTCATATAATGTTCTAAAGCGTTCTTTGTACTGCGACATGACAATACCATTTACATAGCTCAATGACATAGCATTGACATAGCTTTTAAATATGTCCTGTTCTACAAATGTAAGCTTTCTGCTTGAAAACTTGTCAATATTCTTTGTACTACACTCAAGGTAGGGGGGGTTAAATATATTACACTTGAACTGTTCAACTTATTCACAAATCTAATACATCAATAGAGATGATGGTATTGAAATACTTAACTATAAACCAGCATAACAGCTGATCAGTAACAAAGCAGACCTTTAAAAGAAAAACATCTAGTGCTCGAAATAATAATGAGGATCAAAATACACCAATGACAGTAGGCCATAACCCACCAATAACAACAAACCAAGGTGCTACAAATAGTGATATCATCTTTCAACCTCAACACCCAGTGAAGACTGGCAATATGCGATTGATTAGCCTGACTCTTACATCATGAGAGAAACAATTAAATGTTCATTTACCTGTACACAAATCATATTGCAATAAAATTTTGTAAATTAAAATTAATAGGAAGTACATTTGGAAAACCTATTGGTTGTCATTTGAAGGACAGAAGCTAACAGAGGATCATCAACCTCTCACATAGTAAGTTAACAGAAGAAGTAGTGATGTAGTATTAAACAGTATTTTGATAGAATGCTTTGATTCTTTTTCTCCATAGAGTGACTAGCATCTTATTTCTCCTTACAGTTTCACCCTTGAATCAAACATTAAGGTCATGAGAATATAGGAAATGATCACCAACTAAAGAAAATGTTGATTTTTCAAAAATTCTCCTGGTCCACACCTCAGGAAATGTGTAAAGAACAGTACAGAGAATATGTACATGTACACTGATGATTGGGCAAAAAAAGTTACCAGTAAAACCAAAACCATAGAGATCAAAATGTTTAATCACAGCATCAAAAAATATTCCAGTCAAGAAATATGAACCAATGCCATGAATGTAAACTAGTGGTTTTAATTTCTTTGCTAGACATATATTATTACAGACTCAGTGCTTCCACATTTTATTTAGCTTATGTCGTCTGTAAAAAAAGGAATGTTTTAAAGTATTTGAGAAGTTCAATTCCATTACTAAGCTCATCACCTGTAAACTGAGAAATTTTCAACTTTTCTTTTTCCTTGCTGTGATTGAGAAATGGAACTGTTATTTTAGAGCATACATGTAGTTGAAGTTAGCAGACAATTTTTCTAGAACTTGACTTACTCAAAATTTTTTTAACATTTTTTTGAGAATTTCACTTAAGGTGCCTCAATAGGCCAAAAATCCTTAAGATTGAAATAATAGGAATTAATGTCATTTCTATTGCAATTTTCATACTTTTTTTATCTTGACTGACTATGCTATTTTATTAGATTTTAATGTTATCATATTTTTTTTCTCGTTGCAGCTATGGCATTCAAAATAAAGATGAGGTTACTTTTGTGAAGAGACTCAGAAGGAAATAATAGGATCATCTTTATTAGATGACAGCCAGTCAGAACAGCCAATGAAAGGGACAGTGGTATAGTTTTGGATATCAACTTCTCTCATGTACCTTGTAAGTCACAGGAGAGATGGAGAGTTGCCCAGTGATATCAGAGGATGCAATGTTTGTTGTTTTACTCCCATAAGAGAGTGGAGAACACATTGCTACAAGACCTAAAGCTGATATTGTGATGATTTCATAACTCAGTAGACACAATACTGCAGGGATTCATTGTTATGGTTTGCATTGCCCCTTTTGTAGACATAACCACCGATTCCATCATCGGCAGTCACTAATAGAAAAAATATTCTAGACTGCTGTATTAGATGATGAAAGCAAGAAAGATCTTGTTCTTTTGTATCACTCTCTCAGCCAAGTGTCATTTTATTGAGAGCCCCCTTGTCTTGGCAATAAGGGTAAAATGATATATGCCTGTAATTCTTTTTAATATAAGTAATAAATTGTATGAGTTATTAAATAATAACATTCAGCAAATGCATATTCATGAAGAAGTACCTTGACAACAGATTGCTGTTCAATCTGGAATGATTGAGTGTTGGGCTTTTACAATGTCGCTCCAAAGATTACACTGCAGTGTGTTGCCACATTAAATTGACAAAACGTATTAAGTCATTCAAGGAGAGGAGGCACTTTCGGTGATACAGGTGAAATTCAAGGATTCAATCGCACCTTTTTTCGACATTACTTCTCCTGGCCACTGAAAGACGTTGCCTGTAATTCTTTTTAATATAAGTAATAAATTGTATGAGTTATTAAATAATAACATTCAGCAAATGCATATTCATGAAGAAGTACCTTGACAACAGATTGCTGTTCAATCTGGAATGATTGAGTGTTGGGCTTTTTGTCAAATTTCACCCATACCATGGCATGTAGCAAATTTTTGAACCCTAAGTTACTACACTGTCATGAAAGTGAATTGTCATTTATTGCAATTCTTAAGTGAAGTGTCTGGAATTGTGTTTCTACGAGATACACTGAAGTTCAGATGCTAGTCTTTGGTAATGTGGCAACACACTGCAGTGTAATCTTTGGAACGACATTGTTATTTTTTAATTAACTAATTAATCGCTTGCCAGAGCTTCGGCAAGGGGCGCAGTCAGTGAAAGCTTGGGAAATGTGAAATAAGGGAGGTGGGGGAGAAATTATCAGCAGCTTTTAATTTGGTCTTTCAGTGGCCAGGAGAAGTAATGTCGAAAAAAGGTGCGATTGAATCCTTGAATTTCACCTGTATCACCGAAAGTGCCTCCTCTCCTTGAATGACTTACGTTTTGTCAATTTAACTCTACCCCCAGCAAAACCAATCTCTGATCTGTGTATGATGTGTAAAATTTGACGAAAAGAAGCTGACAGCATGAAGTGCGATAAACTACGGTCAACCTAAGGAGACTTTTGAAATGGAAGAACAAAACGGATCTTATGCCTAATGCTGTTTTAATAAGTGCTAATCTCCTCGTATTTTATATTCGAAAGGAAGAGTCGAAGTTCGCAGTTTAGTACCTCATGGTAGCTTCTCTAAACGGATGGATTTTTTCATCAAGATTGCTGGAACTTCTCGATTAATACTAGTCGAATGAGGAGCAAAAAGAGTTTACCGCTTGTATTTAGTTGCGGGTGAGAAGTGGCTGGTGAAAGAAGCGTTGAAATCTGCCGAGTATCACGACTCCCTCGATACTGTCATCAACGAAGCTTCTAGAATTGCCGATTTGATTGGGAACGCGAAGCACTATCTGGCATTCACTGGTGCCGGGATTTTAACACTTTCAATACGACATTTCTATGATTTTCATTACCTTTTTGTCCAATGAGGAACATAAGCACTGTGTGTACATAAGCACTGTTTTTGCCATTGTTTTGTTTTTTTTTTTTTTTCAAGTAACTATGCATGAAGATGTCTAGGGCAGGTAAGGAAATTTTACCTTGAATGACAGCTTTCACCTTTTTCACCTATGCATCAATGAGAATAATTTCGCTACTGTTCCATATGAATTTCCTGTCGTCCTGATAGCGAGAATTTGTATGTCAAACAAGAGGTTCTTCAGTTTGTAATCATTTTTGTAGTCTCATGATTTTAATGTTTGACTCAGCAGTGATACCTTAGGGAGAAGTTAGATGCTGGTCATGTCAAAAGGTTACAGGGTCCATAGACTACTTAGATTTTTATGATTGGCATGACCGGAAAGCCATATAAAGGGGGTTCGAAGAGAGCAAAAATCTCAGAAGTGTGCCTTTAAAGGTATTGAATACCTGCCAATCAAAAGGAAGTGTGAACTTCATGAACTACAGTAATACATCAGAGGCTTACCTAGAGAAGACGAGCAAAATACATTGTGAAACAAAAGATAACACCTTGATATCAGAATATTCGACACAATGAGTAACCACGACCTTCCCTACCTTTTCGAGGGTTTTCACCTGTTCAGAGCATTTCTTCTCCCACTTCATTTTTCCCCAATATCCTTTTTTTATTATTTTGATGACGTGCAATTTCATGTCAGTTTTTAATAAAGTGAATCACAGGGTTCAGTCTCGAAGTTATGAGACATTTTAATCATTCTCGCTAAAAGTAAGATAGATATCCGCACCGAGATTCCCCTCTCATTTCAATCCACTGCGTTTTCTTACCACCCAGAATTTTCAGTTCCAGCAGAAGATAGTTCGTCCGCAGAAGTATTAAAATGAAAAGTTATTTAAAGCTGAACCAGAATTTTTTTTAGCACTGCTTGCAACTCAGCTTGCAGTTTGGCTTCATCCATAATGGATTCTTGGTACATTCACCGGTTTTGGCCCACGCAGAACAGCGTTTGTCCGAATCTTTACATGCAGTTACACCAGGTGCTGCAAAAAGAAAATAAATTAATTTTTCCGAGAAATGTGTTAAAAGAAAGAGGGAATCGAGCTCAGTTCTCCAGATATTCAGAAATAGAAAAACGAGTATTGAAATGCCTGATATTTTACTGTATTTTCCTTTCCACCGTTCGTGACGTGATCTCGGTGAATAAACGTCGTCCAAAGGTAATTTCACTAACTTTTCCTCGTATTTATTTGGGGACGAGAGATAGTGGAGGAAAATCAAAACCTGACTTAAACTAATTTATATTTGGTACCAAGTGGTGTTCTTTGAGAAAATGAAAGATAGTTCCTTTCCGTCTTGTTGCTCTCTTTGGTTAATTTCTCATTTACCTAAGCCATTAGGCTAAGATAATTCTTAGCCACTGAAAACGTTCATTGAACTTTGCGAAACTTCTTTTATAACCTCGTGATGATGTTAAATAAACGCTTACCGCAGATCTTGCAGCTTTTTCGACAGTGAAGCTTCATCCAGGCTGGATTCTTCTGACATTCACCGATTTTAGCCCAACCAGGGCACTGACCTTTGTATTGACTGTCATCCTCACAGTTAGCGGGAGGTGGTGTTGTAGCACTGATAGCTGAAATGGAGGTAAATAAATAAATCAATACTAATGAAATTAAACAAATACAAAGGTTTGTGAAAAAGCAAAACAAATCAAAACGTTAACATTAAAAAAACAATAAGAACAAAAGTTTTTGAAAACAAGCAAAGTATAACAACGTCTTTTTATAGCAACTGAAGTTTTCCAAAAGTAATCTTTGCAGTTTATGAACTAAAACACCACAATTCTCTACGACCTTATTACAAAAACAAAACAAAAAAAGAAACACACAAAACAAAACAAAAAACAAAATGCAAAAAACAGAAAAGTCGTAATGTTTTGTTTCCTATAAAGAACAATGGTAAGACCCATTTTTTAATTTTTGATTTCATATAATGTTCTTCTATTTTTTAGACTTGAAAGAGCTATATCATATTTATCCCATGGTAGTTAGCTCTGTTCGGAAGAGCTCTTCAAGTTTCTGAGGACTGTACATGATAGATCGATGTTTTCCTAGTTACCTCCGCAAACATTGCAACTCCTCTTGCAGTTTTCTTTCATCCATTTTTTGTTGGCTGAACATTCACCTTTGGTCGCCCAGATATGACAGGTGTAATAATCATCTTGACACTCTGGTAGACAGTTAACGATTGAGTTACATTAACCTTTTACATCCTAACATTAATATGCACATTCTCCCTACTTTTCTCTATACATTTCCTAAGGTGCTGCCGAGGAGAATTTCTTAAACAATCAAGAGCTTCTTAGGTGGTTGGTCATTTCCCGTATTCTCATAACCTTAATGTTCGATTCAGTAGTGGTTTGTTATAGAGAAATTAGACGCTAGCTCAGCACCGCCTTCTCTGTAACTCCGTAGTGGAGAATCGCAGCGGAGCTGACCGCCTATAGCCAGCCGGAGTCGTAATAGTGACACCACTACTGAAAAAAATCTATTTTTTGTTCAGTTTTAAGAGAAAACATGAAACATCTTAACAGCATTACTCACTGCATAGTCCGGGATCGATGTACACATCATCAATGGCAATATCTGAGTATCCAGCCTGACCTATTGTGCCTTGAATAGTTAGCTGAGATAATCAAAAAATGAAGTAAATAAAGCAGCTTTTGAATGAGTGTCATAAAAACCAAAACCAAAGTAATTCAAGCCAATCACAACAAAGGTTTACATTTTCCTTAGCCAATGAAAACTCAAAGTGAAACGAGAAACCTGTTTGAAGCGCGGGAAGATACGAGTGACCAAGTGGCGGTTGTTTTTAGTTTTGAATCTGATTGGTTGAGAGGATGGCGCAGGTTTTCTGGACCAATCACAGAGCAAAGTTAAGTCTATTTATACATTAAAGGCACCGACACTAATTTTCAATACTAACGCATTATGCTGTAGACTTCTACCAATCAGTGCGTACGACCTGAAAGTATCGCACAATTGCTAGAAGCTTCGCCGATGTGGTGAGCGTGGCGTAATTTGAAGTCACTCAATGCATTCATCGTAAACGTATTAGTGTACAAAAAAAATGGACCGTCAAAATTGGTCATCAAATATGTCGGTAACCTTAAGTTCAATTAGCAATACGATGAATCATCAAGCGAAATCTTAGTGAGACTTTTTTGTGAGTTATTCCCAAAAACGATGAAAGGGGATTTTCCGACCTCATTGCGACGAAGGTCCTTACCTTATACGACAATCCCAGGGGAACATTGATGTTTCCCATCCCTTTCTTCCAGCCTTTCCCTTGGTTACCATGCTTGTAGAAAATAAGCCAGTTTTTGCCGTTTGATAATTGTAGCTTGATGGCCAGACTTCCCATTGTACTACCGTACATGGTGTAGTAAAATTTTAGGCATTGTCCGCCTCTCCTCGCCGGGGTCCAGGGGCTCACAAGTTCTGCTCTTTGTCCAGGGCGGGTTAATGAAGATTCAACGTACAAGTAAAAGCCTACCATGACAACAAACTCATAAGCAAGTATAGAAAATAAATTACTGAATGAATTAAAAGATAACCAAAATTTAGAAAGAAATATAAGCAATTAAAAGTAACAATGATTGGCTAGGTGACCGGTTATGTATTTATCGCTAGAGGGGGGGAGGGGGTGAGAGGATTTTGGTTACCAGGTCCCCCCTAAGGCTCCGTAGTATTCTTATGATCCCTCCTCATTGGCAGTCAATTTTTGTATTCCCATATACTCTGTTAGTGACGACTGATACCCCTCTGTTCCCCCTGAAAACCATGTGACTTCCCCCCCCCCCTTCCTCCAGACGATGAGTAACGACCGGTTCGTAATCGAAATGAATATAGCGATTTGTTCTAATCAGTATGAAATTCTCACACCGACGTATTGGAATTGGAAAGAAGTTGAATATTCTTGCAGAGTCTCAGAAACTCTCTGTCGCTTTCAGAATCTTTCCTCCTGAAGCTCTCCCTTCAGAAGAAAAAAGGGTCAGAGAAAAGAAGGAGAATAAGACTTAATTCACCTTAAAAACGAAAAGAATCACGGTGAATTGTAGTTTGAGTTCTGCCCGGGGTACCACCTAACAAAGTACAGGATGCTGATCATGACGGCCGGGAAAATCTTTGGAAAATCAAAGCAAATCAGAGAAAACGGTTGTCCAGCTTATGTTGAACGCTTTCTGATCTTGTACGATCTTTTGATATTTCCTTCACACTTTGGGATTGATGATTGTTCTTTTGGTCAATTTGTTTAACATTATAGGAACGCTACTAAACAAGAAATCTTTTTAGTTCCATTGCATTTGCTCCTTATTAACTTTATAACTTTAACTTTAACTTTATAGAGATGGCGTAAGTATACATAAAGCTAACCTTGACCGTTTGTATGATCCTTGTCAGGGCCCGTGTGGATCGTTGATGTGAAGCCGCGATTAAAATTCCAGTTGAGGTTGTCAGTATTAGAATTCCCCCACATCCCAAGACGAGAATTTTCAAAATCTACATCATCTTTTTCTGGAAAGAAAAATACAAAAAACAGCATAATTCTGATTTTAAAAAAAATGAAATAAATAAATTTCTTTCTTTGTGATGTATTTTTGTTGTTAGTGGTTTTCTGTTTTGTTTCACGTTTTGCTTGATTGTATTTCTTTGTTTGTCTCTTTTGTGAAAATGAAATGTAGCGCAATGTCATATCTAAGTGTCAACTAATGTATATACCAGTTCCTGATCCTTGGGAAAAATGTCACGCAACTTAAAATTCTATCTTCCTATTTTTCAGTAGTTAGAGATAAAATGCCAAGTCCACTGAGTAATCGTATTATGCGGCCATCATGAGCCATTCTGGATATACACGCGGGTTTGCCGTGCAAGATTGGTCGACTTTTGCTCTCAATTGTTGGCGCAGAAAGTGGGAACTGAATTGCTTTTGTTGCTAGATCGCAGAGGGAAGACCCAAGCCATTAAAAAAAAAAAAAAAACCCTTGTCATGTGAAAATCGAAAATGAAAAGTACACCACAGTTCTCCACAAACTTTTCTTCCCGTAAATCTATTGGCTTTTCGGAAAAGATGACGTCAGCAGACAAATAGATTAAATTTGCGCAATTGGGGATGGTTGTGTACCAATCGGGTGAAAGCAGCATACTTCAGCGCGACTAAGAGATTGCGTTACATCAAATCGCTGTTTTGGATGTCAATCCGGCCGTGTGATTGGTCCACTTGTACCACGTGGTACAAAATACACTTCTTTGATGGTTGTGTGCCATGGTGCCTCACGTATATTAATGACGAAGTTACTGTCCACAAAGTCAAAATTTGACTAAAATACCAGGGCTGCGTTGGAAACGTGACATGGTGTACGTCCGACACACCGAACTCGCTACGTTACCTGTTTCGACTTCAGAATCGACATCAAGCTACAAATTTTAAGATTTTAAGACCTAAATAATCATCTATTTGGCTTATGCAAAATGAAACCTTTACACTGTACATAATGCATTAAAACATACAAAGTTATGAGAATCTCGCCAAAATTTTCAAAGCTAATTATGTAATGAATTCAGTATCAAGCATTTCTCACTTACCCAGATGACATCTCTTCAAAATACACATTTCTTGCCCCCTCTCGTAACCTTGGCAATTTTTCCCCCCATGAGCGGGAGAGGGATTGTCACACCTTCGAAAGCGTTTCCTGATACCATCATTGCACGTTTTGCTGCAACTTCCCCAATCTGACCAGCGACCCCAGTGTCCATCAATAGGAGCTGTAAATATTTTGTACGATCAGACATCGTATCTGAACTTTCATAAAGAGCAACGTAGGGGTTTCGTTGGCGTTGAGTTGCAGGAGAGAAGCGAGGCAGAGAGAGTTATGCGTAGGACCGCTTTGCACTGCACTTTCTTTAGCCCACACGAGAGCCTGACTGCAGGCTAAACTCCAGATAGATCAAGTGCTTCTGTTCAGTTTCCGAGAAACACTGATTTGTGTACATACTACAAAGGCGTTTGGAAAAAATACAAAAAAATAGCTATACGGAAATAGAGAGTATTCGAGATTTGAAAACATTTTAAGTCTTCAATCATTGCAATGAAAAATGAACATCATCTAACTTAACCTTTTCCACTCGATCAAAATGTTATGTAGTAGACCTTATATAAATGACAGGCCTCAGTAATGTTCTGCTTAAGTAGAAAGCTACGGACGTTCTATGAAAAATGCTGCAATGCAATTGGCTATGCTACTTGCTGTTTATTCCGTAATAGACAGTATATAAAGTAAATACCCTAACATGTTGCGGTTATAGAAATATGAACTTGTCTTGTTGTTTGGTTTGGCGACTTGTAGATGTGTACAAAAACAGTAAGATTACTTTATCTCGATTTCTATGCGTGAATTTTTTTTATTGAGCTGCGCCCTCATGCACTAAGTAACAATGAGACTTAAGCTCGAGATTTGTGCAGCGTGACAACTTATGAGCACGATTCTCGAATCAACTCTCACTTCACTCATAGAAATCGAGAGCGCCAGAATAATCTGATTGTTTTAATACAAAAGCTATCAAACTTTCAAAACTTAACAAGAAGACAGGTTCATATTTTCATTTCACTTTGTTACAACTTCAAAATGTTATGGAAGACGTCGAGAAACACCATTCGTGTATCATAACCTACTCTAATTTGCCCCCGTGGAGCGTTCTTAAGGCCTATTTACACGGCACGACTTTGTCGCATGCGACAAGCTTACGACAGGCCTACGACATGACTTAAGAGTCGTAAGCGAGTTGTAGGTTTGATTTACACGAAAAAATTCGTGTCGTAAGCCTGTCGTAAGCTTGTCGCATGCGACAAAGTCGTACCGTGTAAATAGGCCCTTACAATCCAAACAGCTTTGACTCCAACGGGTCGGGGAAAGTATGGAAAGCAACTAGAATTTATGATAAAAAGATTTGTTTCATAGAAACAAAAGGTATTGTATAAGAATCTGTCGTCGTTTCTCTGTCTGGATAAACTATTATCCAACCCACACACAATGAAAAAGTTTGACAAAAGGAAATTTAAAGCTTACCAAACTGAGAGGAAAGGACAGAATCTGCAGCAGCATTTGAAGCCTATAATTGGAGCCCTTACTGGCCAAAGTACGCCTTCAAAACCGACTTTAGTCTCTGTGGGACCAGTCATATTTATCGTCTGGGAGAGGGGGAGTGGGGGGGAGGATTTTTGGGGCAATCATTCAGTTTTCAGGTGGGACAGAGAGGGCATCCTTGGTTGTCAACAGATTATGTAAAGGATTATAGAAAGTTGTAAAAATTGACTGCCAATGATTGGGGGGATCTTACAATTATTACAGAGCCCTATGGAAGGATCAGGTAGATTTCTTTGTTGTCAAGGGGAACGTGGTGGGGATCAGTCATCGCTAACAGAGCATAGAGCGGGGGAACCACAGAAAACTGACTACCAATGAGTGGGATCACTAGAATACTACAGAGCCGAAGGAAGGGAGGGGAAGTCAGGTAAATTCCCCCCACGTCTACCGCAAACAGGCGAAATCAATGAGGGGTCCCAGAACCGATACTTTCAAAAACTGCTCACCGTATTAGATAATGCTTACTCACTTGCTTTGCAATCGTACAGAGCGTTTATTTCCAAAATATCTCTTGAGCTGAGCCTCCTGGATGGTGAACCAAATTCCATATTTTCATTCCCAACAGCAACGATGGTTGGCTCTCCGTTTTTTGTAAACGCAAGACGATCGTAGTGCATGATAGACTGATAGTCGTACGATACACCCAAATGATCGATCGTCCTCCAGCTGTATCTATCAAACTGGTCTGAGAATCCTTAAAATTAAAAAAAGATCATGATGATAACAAAATCGTTTTCTAAGAGTCTAGGACAAAGAAAAACCTGGGAAAGCGTGGTGATACTGGTGTAGGAAAGGGTACTCTAGCTCTCAACTAAGGGAATTCTAGTTGGCAATCAAGACGAAATACTATTTGAAAGGTGTCTTGCGTACAGCGCGTATTGTACTTAGGGGATTCAGAATAAGAAAGATGATGGAGTGAGCTAGGAACCACACTCGAACGAAGTGTTGCATTAAATGTTGTTTTCTTTGCTGCCATCAAGAAACAAATATGAACAGGTTTAGTCAGCTGATTCCTCTTTTACAAAACTTTTAAAAAGAAAAATAAGAAAAGAAAATAGCAATTTTGCGGACAGTGGCGGAAAAGGAAAGATTCTTACCAGTTAGAATGTTCTCCCAGTTTATTCTCACGTATTTATCTCTGTCCATCCGTGATTGCTCGTGGAAGAAACCTATCGCAAGACGGGATTTTTAAGAAAAACTCTCTTATAAGTATTGGGATGTGGTGTTTGGCCCATAATATGGTTTTCGTCGGATGGGGTAATCAAGTATTATCAACTGAGTTGATAACGTAAATTTGCCACCGTAACGAGTTACAAAGCTGACGTTTTATTTTAAGGGAAAAAGTTCACAGTAATTGGCAATTAATGGCGATTTTATATGACTACAAATGAATCTAAGGTGAAACCAAAGACTATTAAAATCCTCTTTAATTAAGCCTCACTGTTTCCATTAAGTCGCACACTTTGCGTAAAAAAATAATTGTTTTTGTGGTAAAACAAAAATAGCGCGGTATAAATTTTCCTTTCAATGATTCATGTGTTTGTAATAGAGCTGAGTTTTTTTCACCCTATATGAAAAGCTTCATCTCCACTTTCTCTTCAGCTTAAACCTGCAGACACCCTAACACACAAATTCCTACCCAACCCACCCTCTAATAAGTGCTTGGAAAGATGTCAGTCACCAGTGGGATAGAGAGGAAAGGGGTTTTAAAAAAAAACTATTACGGTTTTCCAAAATTCGTCCCATAATAGCCCTGTAGTGTAAGCTGCTGCAAACAACTCACCTATGGCATGCATTATCTCGTGAATTATGGTTCCTACGTTATTACATCCGGGTCCGATGGAGATGATTTGTTTACCAGGGGAATGATATCTCTTTCCTACCCTGGATGAGCATCTAAATAAAAGAAAAAGACAATAAAAATGGGACGTTCTTTCATCACATCCTCGTACTCCTGACCAACCATAAATTATATAGTTTGCATGGTTGAAAAACAAAACGAAAAACAAAAGAAAAAAAGAGAGGGAGAGGGGGGTGGGGTCAGGGGAACTTCAGGATAGCCCCAGCTAATATCCTGGTATGGTTTAATCAATCAAGTTAAGAAAGCCTCAGTTGATAATTTCACCTAGTTAATTAGCCTATGAGTGGTTCCAAATGATGCGACAGTTCTGTTGAAATAATTGCTGCAGGCCCTTCAAAATGAGCGTTACCTACCCATCTTTATTGCTAAATTCAATGTAGTTTTTATGATAGCCACTGTAGTAATTTACAAATCGTAAACATGTCGTTCTGTGAAACTCGTTAATGGCCACACGGACATTTGAAGTTATATGACCTAAAAAAAAAAGTGAAGAGAAAGCGGTGAAATTCTTGAAGACTAATATTTTGTTATTGGATAGTTTTCAAAAACATTTGCCCTAAAAAATGTATCAAGGATGCCGCCATCAATAAACCTAATTGCCTTCTTTGAGCAAGTTGCTATTTCTTGTTTTTTTTCCGTTTATTTGTTAGTTATATCTTTAAAAAAACAAAATGATACAAGGCAAAAGAAAAAAAAAGGAATTATTGTCAGTTGCATCTATCTTCAAGGTTTCCCAGCTGAAATGAGTAAATATTCAATCAGTTGGGAACTTTCTACTCATATTGCGTGACACTCTTTTAGGTAACACGAGATCAGAAGTTGGAAATATATGTATCAGTTCATGGTTTCAATTAGCTCGTTGATCAACAATTAATTGGCAGCAGATTGGAAATGTCATCAATCCTATTATCAAATTCAGTAAGCTTGTATTTGCGTCAGAAATGTCATGTAAACTTCCGTGATCGATTTGAAGGGTTACACGCAAATCAAATAGGCTTTCCTAAGCCCCCTAGGAAATTCACCTCGTCAGTTCTACCGTTCGTAGGAAAAATTATGGTTGTTCTGTTCAGTTCGTTGTTTACATGTTGAACTGATGACTAACTCGTTCGTTGGAGACGGGAAGCTTTGTTGTGTTCTCACGCAAAAAAGGGCCAAATAATTGTGAAAGATCACTCATGAGGGTTGGCTTTTGTATTCCCCCTTTTCAAATGTTGTAAAAAAAAAAAAAAAAAAAAAAAAAAAAAAGGAAGAAAGAAACCATAGGATCCTTCCCAAAATCCTCCGCCCTCACCCCTTCCCCCTCCTCCCTGATAAGTAATGAGTGGTCCATAAGCCAAATATCCTTGAATATAAACATACCCATGTGCGAAGGGACCCGATAGGGTATGATGCGACTGGTCCACAGTCTTTTACGACCTCTTACTGCATTTCGCGAGTTGCCACCAGTTTTTATATACTCCTTCAACTCAGGATCCAGCACAATGTCGCCTTGGTAGAATTGTGAAATGTTTCCTGGAGGGGTATGAAAGGCGGTTTGTTACGCATTGAAATGTAGGCCAAGACATCACACAAAAATGTACAGATAAATATCAGTATCTGGGCAACTGCCCACCTACCCCTCCCCTAACTCAACAACAGTCAATTGACAATAAGTTAAGGTTAATGTTGGGTTAGGGGAGGGGTAGGTGGGCAGTTTCCCTGATACTGATATTGATCCAAATGTACTATGATATTAGTTTGAAATTCAATTTGCGGTCTTCAGGGGTATTGTGTGAAAAAATAAACCATCAAACAATTAGGAATTAACATAAATGTAGAACGAAGCAAAAAAAAACAAAAAAAACAAAAAACAAAGTTAGTAAGCCATGGTGCATGGGGTAAATGCACTATAAAACACTTGGGATTGGTAAAGGAATCTTCTCCTTCACAGAAAGGTCAAGGGATCGCCAACATCCTTGTGTTCCAAAGCTAACGTGCGAATCGGTTCAAAAATCCCTGGCTAGTTTCCTGTTAATGCTACATCTCTAGGATTTGTTGTGCCTGAAAATTCCGCGAAGTTTCTGCGGATATGAAACAAACTTTGAAGAGATATTTAATACTGGACTTTGGTGGTACCATTGTTCGCTTCCTCTATTCTGTCAAACACCGTTCCTCCTGACTGAGTTTCTATGTTCGCTGTTTGTCTTTTTTTCCTGAGATGCGCCATGTTGACTGCTAAGATGCGACCATGTACTGTTTCATAATCTGAAATCAAAAACCCAAGATTTAGTCGTTTCAGGATGGCCAATAGTTTGTGAAGAGCTTTTTAGATTCTGATCATGATGTTCGTGTTTCCCTCAGTGTGCATGCATACAAGTTAGAATCGCGGTCTCGGGCAACAGTCTTTCCTCCGTCTCCCTTGAAGGAGAGAAAGGTTTTCGTTACTCAACTGACAATGTCAAGGTTAAATGAGGTGATTTTTTTTAAAAATTTTTTTAATAAGACATATAAATTACATGATCGTCGAGCGTAGTTTCAAAATGGTTCAAAGGACTTTTTGCCATGATTGTAGTTTGCTTGGTACGACTTTAAGGGTTAGTCAGAGTTGCCAAAGGTTATGGATACTTGTAAAAGGGAGAACAATAACAGGGAATAACTCTCGAAAAATTAACACATCCGTGTACATAGCAATCGGTTTCATTGCTTTGACCTGAAGCGTGTTTGAGCTATTTGAAACACCGATTCACTACAGTATGTTTTTAATTTCTCTTAATCATAGACTTTGATAAGTTGTTTTGAATTTTGTTTTCTTATCTCTTTTGCTTCCAATTGTAATCTTTCGACCGCTCAGATAAGTGAAATCCTTGAACTGACTGTTTTACATTTTGTCCATAGCACGGTCCATTTTCGAAGGTGTCTTTTAGCACAGAATCAATTCCTTTGCGTGCTTCCAACCCACCTCTGTTAGCAATTTCATCCAATTTAGTTCTCATCGCGTATGGCGAATCTCTCTCCTGTCCGTCTGAAAAGGAATTTTTGCTCAACGTGTTATAGTTACAATGAAATTTGTAAAGAATGCCTAACTATAATTTATGTCCCATCCGGAAATTTCCCAACATGGCCCCGATATTTACTTTTATTTCGTATTGAAACAGCTTAGAATGGCCTCGGTCAGTATTGGAATAATACTAATCTTTTGTTTAGTGAGCTATCTTACATTTAGCACAGCAAAATCAGCAATAACAGATCGTTATTTCTAGGATATTGCGCAATCATTTAGATTAAACCTGGTGGTTTTGAACGTTTAGCGTGACATGAAGAGCAGACATTAAATACTATTAATGATCTGATGACAACAGTCGGTGGATTATGTTAATAGGATCTAGCTTAAGAAGATAGCTCCACGATCGATTATTATGGGCAGCGACATGCAAGGACCACACGAAAACATTTGACAATTTTGTCCATACTGAGCAATAGCTGTCGTCCAACCCTATAACCCCACTGCCGACCTTTACTGAGGAAACACAAGCAAAACATAATGGCATCAAGAACGACATTAGCTGGATGGGAATTTGATAAAATGATAAGGTATATAAGCACTACGCAGTTATTCAAAATATACCAATCTGGCTTTGGCTTGCCATGAAAACCAAGAAAAGTTTATGAACCTTTCTTTTACATTTTCCAATAACATGAACAACAAGTTCCTTACTTACTTGTGTCTCTTGTATTCCCGTCATTGACAGGCTTTGAGTAGCACAGAGAAAAGTGAAGGCCAAAAATGAGAAATAAACGCAGCACTGAGTATTCCATACTTCTTTAAGTCCTTAAGACAGAGGTCAATCTCTGTCACAGCATGCAACTACGTAATAGTGAAACAGTTTAAGCTCTCCTATTTCATGGGAATCGACTCAGCGGTACGTCTTTATGACACGGGTGATCTTTGTACGATCTATTGCCTTGTTGACAGCTGTTAAAATCTTAAAAGTTCTCCATTTACATTGCAGACAATGAGTTGAAAGAGGATTTTCACTGAAGAAAATATGGAGTATTAGAATCATCTCTTCAGATTTTCCTCCCATACATTTCTACTGGGTCTATCGGCGAGAGGGGGCAGTTGATTTGGTTTTATTGAGTATAGCAAGATCAAAATTAATAATCTTGATTGATGAAGAGAAAAGCTTTGCCGCCTTTAAAAGGATCTCATAGAATAAACCTGTCTAGTTTTGTTTGCTTTTGGAAACTGTAAGCAGCCTCCGTGTTTACCTTTGCGATGGTGAGGGAAAATGCTTGGCGGCACATTCTCGCATAAATGAATAGAAAATTAGCAAAACATATTTCTATTCTATAGAACATCAAGTTTGACAGATCTTGTGTGGGCAGGCTTGATGCCGAAAGGAAAATCCACGTAACGAGAACGTGACTTGAAATATAATGATGATATTTGACTTAAGTAGAGGTTCCTGTACGTTTGCAGGTTCTCTTTGAAAACAACATATGTTGTGCTTAAACTTCAAGACCGTAGACACGTACACGTTCTTAGAAGCAATCATCACCTTGGTCATTATTTGTTTTTCTTTATCATTTTATGTTTTAAGAGATAAATACTCTGAATAGAGTTTACCAAAGCTCTTTATTTCTAGACGGAAGTAGAGGTAGGCTAATTGATGAAGACGTCACTTTTCCATATTGGTTTTGTTCCATTGTTTCGTCCGTGACTTCTCTGGAAAGCTCAGTATCAACTGAATATGATCGACGTTGCAGAGTTTAACATTAAGACAGATTTTGAGGCAAGCTCTCCCAACATGTGGCTTTGTAGTTCAATAGGTAATTACCCCCCACCTACCCCCACCTAGTATCTAAGAGGCGCAGGTTCCAATCCTGTTGAAGTCTGAACTTTTTTCAGGCTTGGCAGTTCCTGCAATTTATTTAATTGCCACACACCCGTATGGATGTTATCTTCGCTTGCACTCCCAATGCAACTAACCCAGAAATTGGTTCCAAACTTTGCACAAGGTGTCAGGGAAATAAAAAAATTCTTATGAGGAGAATACAAAATGACCGCTTTCATTCATTTCTTAATCTACGGTTCACATATGTGGTTTTCATATGTTCGCTGTCATTGATTCATCGCTTCACGGGTTTATTACGGACCAAAATAATGATCAACTCCCAGTTGGCTTGTTAGTTCAGTTGGTGAAGCGCTGCACTGGTATCGCAGAGGTCATGGGTTCAAATTCTTTACAGACCTGAATTTTTTTTCAGGTCTTATTTTCATTACTGCAATGATCACTTTCATTCATTAATTGATTCGCAGTTCACATATTTTTTTTCATATATCATATTCAGAATACAAAATGCTTCGATTTGAAAATTCGTAGGGCTAGTGTCACAGTTATTCTTGAATTTGCTACTCGAGGCATTGTGTGGGAGTTATTTATTACTGTAATTTGAAATATTTGGCATTTAAAATTTAAAGAAATATGTTGTTACCACTTTTTATGATAAACTAAAGAAAGAACGCTCATTTCCAAGACAAATTTTATTTAGGAGCAAAGATTTCTTTAATTTGCTTCTCAAGATGTGTCCATATTCTTTACTTTCCACCTGTCAATTAATAAAAAGATCGGTAAACCTGACGCATAATGTCACAAGGAATTAAATCAATACTGAATTAGATTGATGTGAAATAATGAATAAAAGTCCCTTAAGTACGCGTGTTTCTCCGCCCGCAGGAAGATATGAGACGAGTGGTAACAATAAAGAGTGTTAGACGCCCTCTAGAATTCTCGCTGGCTGGCTTTGTTCAAGGTTTTATACTCCCCCGCAGGAAATGAAACGCTTGTGCTTATGCGTCAATAATGAGCGCCTGCATGCTCGCAGGCTATAATACTTCTCGACATGAGATCAATCGTCTCAGCTATTTCACGTAAGATGGATTTTAGGTGGTAAAGTCTGTGAAGAAGTGTATGTGGGAAAAATTTTCACATGATTTTCCAGAAATCGCTGATAAGCTAACTTTGGACCTTCGTGAAAAATGCGAATAGAGCTGACACGCATGCTTTTATACGTGAAACGTAACGTGCGTCCATGAGTTGTAACAGAGTACAGCTATCTGTCGTTCGAGAAAAGCGATGATTCTTTGGATGTTTTTATCACATTTGCTGCACGCTAAGTTTACCTTCTTGGCAATTCTTCCCTCTGAAGCCCTCAGGGCACAGACAGTAATATCCAAAGCCCTCATCAGGCGTTTTAGCTCGACAAACGCCTCCATTCATGCATGGTTTTGAGAAACAAGGGCTGTTTCTCTTTACGATGGGTGTACCTGCACAAGGAGAGATGGTAAGATCGTTGGCTCGTTTCCCTACACAGAGCTGCGATTCATTAGGGACCAGTCATCTCCTACTGGGGGGGAGGGGTCTAAGAGAGAACGGGGTGGTGATCAGTCTTCGCCAACAGAGTGTAAAAGGGGAACTTTAGAAAATTGACTGCCAGTTAACTGCAAACGAGGGTATATCACAGAGCCCTATAAAGGGATCAGGTAAAATTTATCATGACACTAATTTATATAACGATGAATCGAGTTATGATGTTTGTGATCATCATAATTATCATATACCCGTTCGGCCAAGCCCGCGAAATCCCATAGAAAACCATAGTGAAAGCAAACATGTGTAAGGCCGAACGGGTTAACGTGAACCGGTCCGTAAAAAGCCGTCCGGCCTAACGCACTTGTATGGCGTTGTTGTAAAATTTTAAAAAAATTCCTTGTTCGCTGTTGTTGCAAATGGGTGACAGCAGTAAACAAAAATGAAAAAAATGAGTCAGGTTTTTCGATGAATTTTTTTCTTGTTCTGACTTGAAAACAGGAAAAATTTTTGTTGTAGAATCATTTTCGTGGTTTTCTCGCGCACTTATTCCCGTCCTAAGTGAATAAAATCAAACTTTTCAAAATGTTCAATACCAAAGATGTGATAAATGTGTCAAAACTGAGTCAGTTGCCAAATGAAAAATGCCTATTGACTGGATTAGGTCGGGTCGCACGGGAAAATATTTGGTACTCGTTCATGACGCACGGAGCCAAATATTTTCCTGTCCGACCCTCCCACTCAGTCAATAAGTACATAATATTTCCCCCGTCCATTTACCTGTACGTATTTCACAATTATCTCCTCCGAAACCTTCAATACACAAACAGTAATAACCATAGCCTTCATCGGGTGTTTTAGCACGACATACGCCACCGTTCTTACACAGTCCTGGATAACAAGGGTTGTCTTGTTTCCTGATCAAAGAACCTGCATAGGGAGAAGTACAATGGCCCTAAACTCATATTTCTACCACAAAGGGTGTTTCCAGCGTCCATGAATTGATCCATGAACTGTTTTGAGGCTAAAACAAAATGGGTTCAGTACATTGCAACTGAATATTTCACCAGGTAGAGTTATCGATTTTTTTCATCTTTAAAAGTATGTTAGGGTCGTCTTACCGTTTTATTCAAAAGCTTCACCGAGGAGCTGAGAGGCTATTCATAAAAATACAAACAATTTAAATTCTTTATCATTCCGGTCATTTGCAAATTTCTAGAGCCAAAATTACCTCTCATGTGACACATTGATAAAACTATCAGTTCGAATTCGCAAGTGTAAAGAGAAACGCAAACAAAAATCAGTAAAGCCGGCGACACACTTGGTGATTTTATTCGCTGATGGAGAGAAATTTGATCGCCGCTATCGGCGAATATCGCAATGGCCGCACCGCGCACACCTGGCAACTTCCGCCGATCGCCGCCATTGGCGTATAAAATCACCAGGTGTGTCGCCGGCTTAAGAGATTAAGATGGACATAGGAGACAAATGTGGTAAAGCTTCGGCACGCACAAAGTAATGACTATGAACGTCAAATCTTTGAAATAACTGAGGGATGGATTAGAAAGGAGGAAAACCAATGGAGTTTTGTTAGTGGGCATTCTAAAGGGCCTGAAGCAGCCAGGAAGGCAACACCTGGGGAGACGTTGATTATAAAAATTAATTTTCATCAGTTATAAATTTTGCGAGTGGCTAAATGTGTTAACCTTCTCTGACGGTGCCACACCCCAACTTAAACATAACGTATGGAAGCAGCGTTGAATTCCAAATGGAAACTCAAACAATTTGAGGTGGGGGGTTCTGTTCTCAGACCACACCAATTTTGGTGATTAAACGTTGTTGTTTCGCAAAGGACGGCAAAGAAATTTACAAAGTTACAAAAACCGCACGTGCTGTGCAATCGCTCTGACGAAGGGCTAACGCTCGAAACGTCAGCTTTTTGCCCTTTACGATGGCTAATTTACGTTTTCAACTCAGTTGTTAACACTAAATTACCTAAAATACATATAAGCCACCAAAATCTCCATTTTAGGTGGCAAAATGCACAACAAAGTGTTTATGATGGGAATAGAAAAACAAACAAAACAAACAAAGTAGTAGAACAAGCAAAAAGGCGTGTACTTTGAGGAAACATCGAAGCACTGGTCAGTTGTATCTCTAAAAATGTAAACTGCGTCATTCATTTTGTAAAGAGAACATTTAATCGCGCTCGTACCTTTCACCACAGCTTGAAATCCTCCTGAGCAAACGAGAGCAAAGACTATTACAACGTAATACATCCTTTTGTTCGTTTTTTACCTTCAGATATTGGCAATAGGTTACTTCAAGCCGCAATAGTTATGAGTGACTGACCCTCCAAAGACAGCTCACGCTTTTTAATACACATGGCGCCATCAGGACGAGTAATAATGATTTATTAGTGTAGGCCAAATTATGTCTCAGTTAGTCTCAATGAAAAAAAAAACTTCACAGTTTGATAACCATTAATTTCATTTGCATTGTATAGTTATTGCTAGGATATTATCAGGGAGCGTCACCAATGCATAAACAAAATAATCGCAATTCTTAAAACAGTTTTACTTTTCATGAGGATTTCATTATATATGTATTTTTCTTTATAATCCACGAAATTACCAAGGTTGAATTCAACTCTTTTTATATATCTCTGCCCCTCTGTCTCTTTCTCTCTCTCTCTTGACTTTGAACTAAATATGTTATTTCTATCGACATCATAAACGGTTCTTCACGTTTCCGCATGTCAATATGAATACACCAACACTCGAAGATGAAAATCGTATTTGATAAATTGTGCTCGCTCAAGGCCAATGAATATTATGTTAAAAGCTCGGTTTTAAATTAGATTGCTGAAGAAAATTATGGGTTACCCGGGTTATGAAACCCCTTCGCACTTCCAGCAGCACACTGGGATTATCTTAAAACGGACAATTGCGTTCAAAAAAATAAGCATAGATGAATAGATAACAGCGGACGCACACTGAGATGCATGAGAATAATCAATTTTATTGATGATTCTACAAATATACTTTTTAGCTCGGCCTCTATACTGCGAAAAAGTTTTCCTGTGAAGTCTTTCTTTCCTTTGTTACTCAAGCCTATCAATAAAGAGACAAAATGGAAGTGATGTGCTGAGTTTGATATGCACAACATTATTATTATTATTATTATTATTATTATTGTTATTATTATCATCATTAGAGCTAAAGATATAGCTGAACTGGCATTCTATTAGAATAAACAACGACACCAAAAAAGTCATGTTTTTTGTTAATTGAAGTTTGGCTAGCTGATATTGAATTCTCGAAATTTCCTTAGTTCCAACTTGTGTATTTAATCAACATTCAATAGAATGGCGACCCAGGTAATTCTTCAATGAAATTTTCTAAACCCTCGAGAATCTACCCACATCTTTTTTCATCGGTTCTAAAGTTATTATTCATCTTGTAGGGGGGTGAGCCATGTTTCAGCTTTTCAAATTTTTTTTAGGCTTTTGTGAAAACAAGCGCTTTTCCTGGAGCCAATTAACGAACTCTAAACGTGGTTTCAGTCCGCTTTTATTTTGATGCGTTAAACCGCAACAAACACCAACAGTTCGTATAGGAGGGTCAAATTCCATGGCGCCTCTCGGAACATTTTCACATACTTGCGAAACTAAGTAACACATTTTAGTATCTGCCTATAGGGGATATTTTAAGTATCATCCTTTAAAACTATTTCAGAACTAAACGACTTTGTTAAGCCATCTATTTAGTAAAAATGTTTAAAACCCTGACCTAATTTCTAGATTGAAAGATATCTGTTTCTGATGAAAGCTTAATGAGTTCAGGTAATGATGATACTTTTTGTTGGTCATTTTGTAGCCAAGTCTTTCAAATAGATTAAATGGATAATCAAGACTACTGGCTGTCAGGAATTTTCATCATATCCAGCTACCAGGCTAAGCAATGAAAAAAGGGGTCATCAAAGCCTTACCTCTATCTGCGGCTCTTGGCACTGCTCACAGCTAAACCTACAGTTACGCTTCATCCATTGCGGGTTATTAAAGCATTCATCAAGTTTAGCCCATGCGGGACATTGGACGTTCGAGTCTGCGCACCCTGGCAAGAAAAAAACGGGTTACGCGTATCACAACAACAACAACAAATAAAAAACAACGTTAACGACGAAAAAAAAAATTACGAAATTAAAGAAAACTCCCCTTGACATTGTCACAAGTTCATTTCCATAGCCCTCAGCACTTTCATGCAAATTTTCTTGTTCAGTCATTTGATTGCTTGCTTCAATTTGTTTGTTTGCATTTACACTCTTGCTTTTCTTTTTTTTTAATTGTTTTGCTTTGTAATGTATAAAAAGAAATTAAAAGACATCGCGTCGCCCTTGTGCATCAGTATTTTTTCCTTTCAAAAGTAATCCTAAAAACGGAGCCGAGAGCTGGTTTTCTACTCTCGCAATATTTTTTATTCGAAATAAAAGGAAATTTTACAACCTGTAATTTAGATTTTTTACGTTCTTTTAGGTTTCCATGGGTTCTTTTGACTTGACACCGTGATCCTGCAGCCACCAATGTTTCGGAGGTCATCAAATTACTACCGTATTACTTTTCTTTAGGATTTGGAGCATATTACAACTCATAATCACGCCTTAAAGCAAATGGTTATTACCACAAGTGTTGCAGCTTTTCTGACACTTTACTTTCATCCAGTGCGGGTTTGTTTCGCAATCGCCTCTATCAGCCCAAATAGGACATTGGACCTCGTTGGTGTCTTTGCAAGTTTCTACTCCTGTTTCTGCATTAATAAATCAAAGGAAAACAGTAGATATCACAGAGAGGAAAGGAGTTCAATTAAATGACCGAAGAACCCTTTATTCCTGACTTGTCTCCACTCGTTTCGTTTCTCCTTAGCAAGAGACATGTATGACTCGATAGCGTTTACCTTCTTGGCAATTTTTTCCGTGAAAACCTTCAGGGCACAGGCAGATATAATCTAAGTCCTTCCGAGACACTCGGCATTCACCTCCATTCAGGCATGGTTTTGAAAAACAAGGGCTAACTGTTCTCCTGATTGAAGAACCTACACATGTCAAGACAAGATAAATATCAGTTAGATGTTGTTCAAAGATAATTTGTACTTGCTTGATACAAGTTAGTTAGCAAAATCTTCAGTTTTTCTCTCTTACGCATGCTATTACTGTACGAAACAAATTCCCGCTTCTATGTACTGTATTTACGAACCTTCAAATTTGATATGTTCAGTTCGAACTGATTAATTTGGTTCGTTGGGCGTCACAAGTTTTTCGTGTTTAATGCGTGATTTATGACTATTTTACATTGTGCTATTTTCGCCATTAAAAAGAAAACAATAAGAGAATATTTAAGCACATTGCAAATAACTGTTTTATTTGCAAATAAAAATGTTTGAAGCAAGTGAGGGTCTAAAAAATTGGTTTTAGCACTGAGGCGACTTTTTTTCCAGGGAAGTTTCGTTATATATGATCAGTGTGTTACACTCGGAAGTGTACCTTAAAAATTCGCGATTTCAAGCAACCTGAAAGAACTGTCCCTTTTAGAAATTCTTGCAACGACAAGATAGCATGGTAAAAGATATTATACATGTTATTTCTCAGTATGAAGAATTTAGAATTTTCATTTTCTTGATTTTCCTTAGCATATCAAGGCTATGATGTAATTCCTGAGCGGAACTCCTTTGAAATTTTCGCGCGAATTTTCTTCTTTTATAGATTTTTTTGGACCACTCGAGACTAATGAAAACAATTATAATACTCTAACTGTACACATGATATCGTTGATCCCTAATCAAAACACAATTTGTTTCTTTCGTCCTCGTTTTTCTTGCAGCTAAACTAAACTCTTGGCTATCTTTAGCATCTGTAAGTGATACTTAGAAAAGAATAAAATATGAAACGAGAAGACTGAGTAAACAAATTTGACAAAATAGTAGAATATTCTGCCCTGGATATTGTTATTCATCATAGGTAAATAAGGTATGGGGTATTGCTTTAGCTTTCCCCAAGCCCCACGCTGATCATGACTTTTGCGACAGTTAGACCAAGCACGCACCCAGTGCGAAAACGCTGCCGTTGTCTCCGTTAGAGATGCTAGATTAGAAAAAGTAGACAAAAAAATGTATCTACTATGCACGCCACATTCATTCTTTGTTAGGAAAAGTTATTAAGATCTAATTCCATCCGTTGGTCTCTATCCCAATACTTATCCGAAAACCGACAAACAATTATAGTGACTCAGGGAACATACTTCCGGCCCAATCAACTAAATAGGATCCACATTTAAGACAGGTAACGTATTAAAGAAATTTTCAGCTGATATTAATTCAAAATAAAGCCATAAAAAAACCTCGATGAACTGAGTTATTTCTTGTACTCCTACCTTGCACAAGAACTCGACATTCTCCAAAGACAAGAAGAGCAATAATTATCGTAAGGCAATGCATCTTGCTTCGCTCGCTGGATCGTTAAACTGGTATCTCTTTGTTGTTCAAGCGTTTATACCCTATTAAGCGCCGCCCCCTTAAAGTGATTCGACTGAGATGAGCAATTAAAAAAACATGAGATGCCTCGGAATAAGGCCGCATTTTGATACCTTGATGCGACGCTCATTCGACGAAATTGTGTTCATACAAAAGGTCATCACAGCCTTGTCGAAACAGGTCAGTTTTATAACAGTTCCATCATTTCCAAATGACTTTCTTCTTACTCTGAACTCAGATCACAAATCTTTTCTTTTTTTTTTTAAAAAAATGACGACTTTCAAACATGCACCGCCAGTGAATAAGTACCTGATAGGAGATGACAAAAATTAATTAGTCACGACACTTAGCAGTAATCAACCCTACTGGTTACGATCGCATTGTGTGTTGAGGAAAGGCCCAGTTCAAGAATTGATTGCTCAAGTAATATAATACGCAGTATGTCTATTTTGTTTTCAGAAAAACTGAACTCCAAGCGCATTAAGAAACAAACAGGTGCCTCTTTTAGCCTTCAATTAATATCTAACCGATAACTATTTAATAATGATTTTGTCTGTTTGGTTTGAACGTGCTTATATTAATTCAACTTTCATTTTACACAACTGATAGGCTCATTATTGCGCGCTTTTCATCGCTTCTCGGCTAATTTTCAGGTCTTTATCTTCATACAATGATTTTTTTTTTTACTGTTTGGTTTGAACGGGATTTACATTAATTTAACTGTCACTTTATTTCATCATCTCTGAACCAATTTTCTAGGTCGTTACCTCCACGTGCGGTAAGAACAGGTGCATTTTCATATTTCCACCATTTTTGCACGGGGATGAAAGTGATAAAAGAATGAATAAAACAGCTTTGTTCTCTTCTAATTTATTTTCGCAGAAGCTATCATTTTTTCACCCTCTTGGTGAATACATTTGTTCGGTGAATATGACGAACAAGAATAAAATGGAAAACTATTTTTCGTTGTATTTTAGCATTTAAATAGTTTAACTAATGACGTTGTCGTTATTAAGAAATCGATAGATAAAATAGAGAAGTCAATGTAGCATTTGTTCCGTGTCTAGTTCTAATCGAAAATTAACGAAAATGGCCGGTAATTTTCTTTTGATTGTATGTGTTCAAAGCTGGTGCATAATAACGACTTGACAATTAATCTTTTTACAGTTTTTCATTTTCATGATTGAATGTGCGAATCCACCATCACTGACACTGCAACTTTTAATAAAATGTAAAACTTTTGTGAGATGCAATATCAATGATAGAGACGCACAAAACTATCTATTAGGCGCCAGATTTTGCTTGGACGAATGATGTCTTTGTACATCCATTTATTGTTTTCCCATTTTCATCCATTTTTCTGTTAAAAAAATTAATGATAACAATAATAATTTTTATAAAAAAATAACTTTTACATGTGGCTGAATCGTTTTTGTCTTTCTCCCATATACATATATGAGTGCTATCAAAAGGGTGAGAATCAAAAGCTTCGAGCTGGAGAAGAAATACTCCTTAGCCGTTGAATATGCGGGTATTTTCAAAATCCTACTTTGGAAAGCATCTTTCAAAAACCTTTGTTGTCCTTTGATCCTCAAAATGGTGGTTAAATTATGAACGGAAAATTGCTAGTGTGGGGAAAACAAATTTCTTCTTTAAAATATCAAATATTCTGGTCTTCATTATTCGTGTTTCAGAAGCCACGATAGTCTTTGTTTAGCTTAAAATCAGTCTCTGTTTAGCTTAAATTCGTGCAATGTGTGGCAGCTGGTGACAAAGGGAGCACAATTCTATCCGGCTGATTATCGCGTTTGGGCAACTTGAGTTATGTAGATCGTGTTCAACAATACGGTTTTATAAGTATTATTTACTTTCTTTGCTCATTTACGGCGCCAATTTATTCGACGGATTCCGTAGTACAGTGCAGTGCCAGTCTAGGTAACTTTTGGCTTTGTGTTTTAAGAAAAGAATATCGAATCGTGCTTCATTCAGGCAAAACACTCCTTGAGCTGTTATTCGAGATAAGGCTGGTGAAAAGTTATATGAAAGGTATGATCAGTTCCTTTCCTCGGAATATGTTCGCGCCCATCTCGGTGCTGTCGATATTTTCTTCCTCTATTCATGGCCATACGTTCGTTCTTTTTAATCGTAACTCCGGCAACAAAAAGTGAAATCACCGCAGCAGAGTTCATCATTGCGAGGAAACGCTTTTCTCGTGATGATGAAGATCGTTGTTGGGGAGTCCAACCTTCGTTTTTCTCGTGCGTTTGTTTTGTTTTTCTCTTTTCCTATTTGTTTTATTGTGTCCGTTAAGTAACTCTTTTTCAAACAAAGTCGACCAAAATTCACCCCTTGTAATGAAGAAAACTAGAAAAGTGTCTCCAAAAAGCTAATGTTTCTTCCCAAACATTCGCATTTGTACGATCACCCAGAACAAAAGGAGGAACAAAAACGCGCCACGTCCATTATTTGGCTTGTCACTCACCTCATACAAATGCGAAAGTGCAGTTTCATGGCAACCAATGATTAACACTCTTTGTTTGATTCTGTGCCTGAAAACGCGCGATATGCAAACTTTCCTGAACTAGAAGTACATCTCCTCAGAAAAAAATGCATTCTGGATATAGCGAAATTAGCCCCCTAAATTTGTGGGTAATGTTATCATTAAAATTTTGTACATGAAAATTAATGCTGTCCAGAAGTTGAAACACTCCGTGTACAGTTCGTGCTAAAAAGAAAATAAATAACCTGCGCAATACAGGGCCTTTTTCCCGTCATTGTAAAATACTGAGCCCAATGTTTCTTGGAAGTGTGCGTATCGATGAAAATTGACCAAAAAGATACAATGTAGATTTCATCATAAAAATTGTCTTTACTCTTCTCTTTCTTCTATGTAAAATAATTTGTAAACTACTATTTACAAAGGTTCATTTGAACTTTTTTCCATTTAAAAATAAAGTATCCCTAAATACATTTTCAACTATAAAATTATATAAATAATTTAAATAACCGACTCAAAGCCGAATATATGAACTTATATTGACAACAATAGAGATAAAAAATGAGAATTTAAAAAAACTGAAAGTAAGGATTGAAAAGAAAAGACAATACTATAGCAGCACAATATTTAAAGCAACGTTAATATAAGTAACAGAATGAAGGATTATTTTCGAATTCATTTATAATACGTTTTTTTACCTAATATAGTAAAGTTCTTTTGTCTCAACTGAAGGATGCCAATAAGTAACAGAATGAAGGATTATTTTCGAATTCATTTATAATACATTTTTTTACCTTATATAGTAAAGTTCTTTTGTCTCAACTGAAGGATGCCAATAAGTAACAGAATGAAGGATTATTTTCGAATTCATTTATAATACGTTTTTTTACCTTATATAGTAAAGTTCTTTTGTCTCAACTGAAGGATGCCAATAAGTAACAGAATGAAGGATTATTTTCGAATTCATTTATAATACATTTTTTTACCTTATATAGTAAAGTTCTTTTGTCTCAACTGAAGCGCAAAGGAGAAGGTGATAAGGAAAACAAAGTGTGGATAGGATCTACCGTGAGGGGGAGGGAGAGGAAATGCCAAATCTCAGGAGTCGTTCGTCACTCTTTTTTCTCCCTTTCAACTTATTTTTCTTTTCACAAGTTCTTCGTCCTTTGCACTTCAATTTGACTTTCTTCTCTTCTTCCCTTTGCATTTTAGCGACGCACGCAAAGAAAGTCGTGTAATTTTAACCGGCAAGTGTCTTTTTACTTTTGATGAAGCAAGTTCTTCTTCACCAAATGTCTAACCCTCTTTGGTTGTGCAAATATTTTAATCTCTGTATCCTATTGTGAGAAGATTGCTTACCCTTTCAACTGAGTCCTTCTAACTTTTACAGTCGCTTTAATTATATTAAGAAACTAAACTTCTCTCATTTAGTGGAACATTTGGCCGGTAAACAAGATTAAGTTCTCGTTCACATAACTAAAACTCCTACTCGTAAGTCACAACATAAACCCTCCTTTCCTCAATTTTGTAGCTCAGGATCCACTTTTCTCGTACAATTTTCTGAGCGCTGCTCTGCAGCAAACCTCGTCATCATCCACTTCTCTTCTTATGGCATCGATTATACGTTTCTTGATTTTTAATTTATAAAGACCATTCTCAAAGCTTCTCAAAAAATTCGCAACGTAAGCTTTTATTGATAGTTATTAGGCATCTTTTGCTAAGGAAATAAAAAAAAATGTAGGTTATGTAATAGCAAGCTGGGATCACTTCTAAGGAGTAAGCAGATGGGTGTCAGCAAATTTGCCGTGACATTTCTTAATTAAAAACCCGAATGCTACAATTTACAGAATGGAGTACCGTGGAAAGGCCGGGAAAAAAAGGCCCTCATCTGGATATAACACAAACCGGAAAACACATAAAACAGTAAAGAAAAAGAGTGCGCTAGTGTGGTCAAAAGCTACGTGTGTGTGAGTCTAGAGCAAACGCAGATGGATTCAGCAACAAATGAAAGAATAAACGAGGTTCATTTTAAAAGTGATTGTCGTTTGTCTTTTGCAGATATGTCGACTGTAGCGTGCAAAAACATAGTCAACGGATACAACACAATAAACTGGAATGGCATGAGTCATGTCGAATCATGTCTTTAAAAAGTTTCCCTTGAGTTTTAACTTTCTAACGAAGCTTCGGAAGTATTATAGAAGGTAAATTATTGATATATAAATGGGAAAAAAAAAAGTTAATTGCTTTACATACTTACCATGAATAAGATATTCTTCGATGTGTTTAAAGCCTTCGAAACCGGTTCGTCTGTGCATCCTCAGAAAGTTAATGATTGCATCACAGCACTTTCGTTGATGCTCTACGGGTAAGCTCGCAAGAGCTCCGTAGAAACTACATTTTTTGTGAAATTCATCGAGGTTGCTTCGCAAATGACTTTCATGAATATCCCACCGGCCTATTTTCTCTAACACCCCGTTACATGCTGCCAGGATTTCGGCCAAAGGAGCTTCGTGAAGCATTCTGTCATCTACGGGAATGCCTAGAAACTTCACAGGAGTACTCTGCAAGTTAAGCATTTCACACTTCAACAGTCACCTTACCCAATAGTAGCTCAGAATGTTTTCTTTATTATTGAAACACTTTTTGTAACAAATCAAAACTAACATATTTTTCCATGTGTTCCCCAGAGAATTGTGTGAAAAGAATGTCCAATTATTACTCAGCATGTTAGTCGTAGCCCTTTATGTGCTTTAAAAGTCAAAAACGAATTGCAACCAACATATCAACAATCACCTTTCTGTTAAGTTGAATAAAAAAGTATGTACCAATGGCTCTGATCCACCCATATATTTGAAAATTAAAGTGGCTCTGAACTGTTTGTACTCTTTGTAGAGATATTTGTGTGAGGTCCTAGTTTGTTCTAGAAAGTGGCTAGGGGAGGAGATAGGGACAGCTATTACCAACAAATGATATTGTACTGCGCTGACTAAAGATACTCACCGCAAGGTCCAGCGCGGGAGGCAGTTTCATATCCAGTACACCAATCATATTTCCATCACTCCGATCTTTACTTTTGTAGAACTCTATTGTTAGGACGCCTTTGTTTACCACGTGTACCGCCAGACGTCTAAAATTAGAAGCCTCTCTATCAAACCTGTGGAAATAGCAGCATTCAAAGACAGGGATAACTGGAAATAGTCGAAGATTTTCGCTTCATTTTCTCCATCAGTTTTTCACTAAAGAAATTCCTTCGTTGGATTCTAATTAGATAATTAACAATAAGTATAACCACACAGATAAATAATGCTTTTCGCACGCGCTGCTTGGCTGGTTCGGAGGTGATCAGCAAGTACCATTCACCTCTGAGCAGCTGAAAAGACAACATCTCGAGTCAGGAGTTATATTTCCAACCAGTTTTTTGGTATATTAACAGAACTAAACTAGCTTAACTACGAGGGCGTTGTTCCTTCAACTTAAGTTATTCTTCGTCCTAAAACGACACTTTCATAATTTTCGACAGCAATCGGTAACTTGGACATTTGCTCCACAATATTAGGCTGGGAAGATTAAACAACTTCATTTGATTTGTGTCGCCAACCCAAACTTTGTCCCAAGTCATTTATTTATTTAGTCAACTTGGAGCTGGCCAATTAGGGAGCGTGAAAAGCAGTGTTTACTTGAGTGGAATATAATAAAAATATACGTGCTAGAAAATGATACCAATAGAAAATTATCTTCATTTTAGAGAGAGATCATGTGAATGAAGACAATCTGTTTTGAATATATTAGCGATTTTCGCAGTAATGAACACTACTTGAGCAGTAGTGGATATAAGGCCTGAACAAAATTCAGGCCTGTATGGGATTTGAACCCATAACCTCTGCGATACCGGTGCAGCGCTCTACCAACTGAGCTAACAAGCCAACTGGGAGCTGGTCATTATGTTGAATGACCAGCTCCCAGTTGGCTTGTAAGCTCAGATGGTAGAGCGCTGCACCGCAGAGATCATGGGTTCAAGTTCACGTCTTTATCCGCAGTTCAAGTCTATGACTTTCATACATTCATAGTCGTTTACAACCTATTTTGTAGTAAGGACTTAACAAGGCGGAGATTTCTTGGAAAGCCATTCGTTCCATGGCGTAGTGTCTGTCTCTTTCTATATAAGGACTTAACAGACACTCAGCAAACCTATTTTAAATTTACCTGAGAAAAAAATTCTTGAGTCGTTCCTTATTGACTACTTGCGCTGCATCCCCTGAAAGGAAGACGTAAGCCTGATCATCAGTGACCATGCTGTACCATGCACTTTCTTCTATCAACCAAACCATCTTCTCATCATCGATGTGTTCTCTTTTCTTGTCATTTGGACTGCAGTACAAAAGCAGATCTACATCGGTGTTAAGTCTAGTATGCACTGGAACAGTAGCTGTGAAAACGACTGAATGCCGTACACTCTCCGTATTCCATGCACGGGCAATTTGGGTTAATGGTGATGCGAGCCAGGTCCAAAATCTTTCGAGAAAAAAGGGGAAAGGAACACAGTCCAATGTTAATACACGTTCCTCAAAATTGTACAATCAAGATTTCTTATGACATTCTACCAAATAAACGAAAACGCAAACCAAAAACGAAAGCATACACAACAGGAAAACGAAACAAAATTGAAAAACAGTAAGGATTTAAAAGAGGACGAGAATCTCAACACTGCTAAAATGACTTAATACAATATGCAGTTGATTCACATCTAACAGCCTTGGCTACCAAACAGGTTTTCCACAAAAATGCTTATAAACTAAAAATGTGAAAAGGTACCACTTAGAGTGGGACAGATGTGGTAAGCAAAATGTAAAGAAGTAAAGAGATGCACCGACGTACCCTGAGAAGTGTCTCACGTTGAATTTGATAACAAACCCATCCAGCCACGGAGGGGAATCGAGAAGATCTGTGATTTCAGTCCACTCTCGCTGTGTACCATTAGATGGTTGAAACAGGACTCGAGCACGGACTAAGGACAAATTAGAAATACCCAATGATTCAGCGTCCTGCTCAGTGTCTCTCAAGGACAACGGCAGCTGGACGGTGACAGCTTCTTGAAACTTAATCTCCTTGTTGCAAGATATTCTTATGATGGGGCCAGCCAGCGTTTCCTCGCCTTTCAATTCCTTGGGAATATATTCTTGTACCTAAGAGATGAACTAAACAGTAAATCACTCAGTCGATGATAAATATTAATAACATTACATTTATTAAACATAACTGTAACAATAACTACTGACGAGATGATTCACCACAGATAAAAGACCATTCACACGATAAACATATTGAGCCAATGAAACCGCATCGTCGAATTCGTTTCTTCCTTACATAAGAGTACTTACTCTTACACTGAATTCTTCAGTGGACGAGACCGAATTTGGTGGAAAATGAATCTTCACCAACGGGAAATCAGGCAAAGAGATGGTAGACGGTTCTGAGGTTATCGTAAAAATGTAGGACTTGAGACGGCAAACCACAGCGAAGGTAGAACACTGGATAATCTTCGTCTCAGCAACAGGAAGAAGATAATCAGGAAAATTATCGTGATAGACTCTCTGAAGATCTGCAAAAAATAATTTTTAGGCAATCAATTGACAAATCGTGAATACGAGATATCCTTTTGTTACATTTATATTAAAAACCGCTTACTTCGTTCTCTAACCAGTTTCCTCCTTCCTCCTTCCTCCCCTCCCCCCCCTCCCCCCCCCCCTTCCGCATTAGCAAACACTTTCAGGCAGATGTCCTCTAACACCAACATTTTTTTAAGAATCGCCCTGGGAGAATCAAGGTATATAATCTTTGTACATAATCTTACACTCGTTTGTTTGCTGTTTGTTTTACAGCCAGTTCGTTCCCTACAGAAACAAAACATTGCAGTGCGAGGTTCCCTTTCAAACAGTAATATGCACTTGTACACAATGTGGGTAAGTGTCCTGATCAAACTATCTGAAATAATGGGGAGCAAAGAAAAGTAAAAAAAACCACCGACATAAACGGAGAACATTAACAAAACTATTAAAGATCTTTGACAAGTTGACTTTTGAAAAATTTTTGATAGAGGCCACTTTATTGTTTGAACACAAGTTACCATGGTTAATTCACGATGACTTCCAATGCTTACCTGACAGAGATTTATAATCACTTGTTTGCTCGACGTCCTTCCATTCATTTCTCTCTCTGTCTATCAAGGTCTTAATCACCACTTCATATCCTTTAAGGTCCAGCGCACTGTGCGAAATTCCAAGCGTGACTTCTTTATTGAATAGAAGGCTTTCAGGAGTGTCTGCCGATAATTCAAGAACATTGCTGACTATGGCTTCATTTGGCTGAAGAGGAGGAGAACACAGTGAGGATTTCAATCGAAAAAGAGTGAACATAGTGTCCTCAGCAACAAAACCACGTGGAAATACCAAGTGAGTTGCTGCCTTCCTCAAGTCCCAGCGGCCACCTTGTTTTGTTACAGTGTCTCTGTGAATTGAAAGAAAAAATATCTAGTGAATTGCACACCTTGTATACCATTTGGTGTTGTATACCATATACATAATATGATATTACTTCAGTGTTCTTGTTGTGAGGGTATTGAAACATTTATATTTACAATTTTCTAAACTTCAGGTTATAGAGAAAAGCACCCGCTGAACTGAAGGGGTGCTATGTGCACTGTGAGCTCTTGAAACAATGATAAAAGCTACAAACATCCCGCTTTCTCATTTAGTTTTTCCCTGACAATAAAGTTTCTCCCAATGGCTGAGTATAGCGAGAGACGACGACCAATCAGAGCACGCACATCCATATAATTAATCCGAGTTGCTTGGAGATGAATAGCAAAGGATATTCTGAGTTTGAGTAGCAAATCAGAGCACACTTTGAACGCTTTCCGCTGTTTAACTAAATACTAATGTCTATTGAAATAATACATGTAACATGGCTTTACTTGAAAATGATGCTTCTCTCATCAGTTTGAACACCTTCAGAAGAGGGTTCCATCTCTGCTCCAACCTCAGTTTCTTCTTCTGAGCCAATTTCGAGCTCTTCCTCTTTCTGTTCAATCTCAATTTCCTCTTTTTCCTCTTCATCATCCTTCTCTTCTCTCTTCGATTTAGAAGTGGAACTTGCAGCTAATGGAAAACAAAATAAATAAAAGTAAAAACAGAGGGACAAGGTTCTAAATACAGCTTCATTTCCAACTGGAACCAATGGTAATGCATCTTTGAAAGACAAAAGCCAAAATTTCTGGAATAAAGCAAGAACCCCTATGTCTCTGAATTCAACACATTCAAATTGTTCTCCACTATTGTTCTCTTAGTTTTTTGTTGTTTAAAGAGATCAGGAAATAATTTTTACAAGACTTGAAATTCTGATAAACTTAAGACTCAAGGTACTTTTGTTATCAATTTCCAAACGAAGTCATAACATTCGCAGAAGTCGATATAAAGCTCAGTAAAAATAAGCACGATGTTGTTTCAGAATTTCATACTACAACATTCAAGGTGTCTAAACGTATAAAACCAATTGAGATACAATACTGGAAAACAGAAGTTACTTATGGGTAAAGTAAACACTCAGATAACAGAATAATAATGTACATTCAAGAAAAAATTACGCGCTTCTGATTGGCTGAAAACGAGTGCATTCTCACGTGACACGAGTGCAAATTACAAATAGCGCGCGCACGCTTTCAAAATTTCGTTTGTCTTGACATCTTGTAATGTTTCTTCATGTACATTATTCACATATAATAACATGATTTCTCTCGCAGTTTGGTGTAATAAGCACTTGCAAATTTTAAAAAGACTTTTTGCACTTGCCCTACAGGCTCTTGCAGTTTTGTTGTCTTTGAAAAATTTACTCTTGCTACTAACAGCAAATTGCGCTTGAAATCATGTTATTATCTAAACTAAGTGTGTTACCTTTTGGTCTCAATATGGCCCCTGGATGTTTCCCAGTTTCATTTAGCGCCTGGAAACAAAGTACAAAGACTCATGAAGAAAGGAACAATATTTCCAACTCAACCAATCATTGATTTAAAAGTTGTAAGTCACTAGAAAAAACATAGATGCAAAAATATTTGCCGAAAAATTATTGGTGTCTCACTCTGTTAGGTAAATTTGATGCCGAAGATACTTATACCAAGTGAAATTTCTCCAAAATCCAAAACAGGACCGAAAAAAGGGTAAAAACAAAACAAATTACAAAAGATAGTAGATTGTAAATGATACCTGCAAAGAACCAGCTAGTACGATCAGCTCCTTCGCTGTCTTTGAGAAAAGCGTACAAGAAATCGTGCAGCATTGACGTTTAAGGTTGTTTGACACATGAGTAAACCCCTACCTTCAATGCATCTTCATAAAGTTTTTTACTCCTGTAATCACCGATGGACGACGCCAAATCCTTTACTTTAAGAAGGAACCTCTTCATTTCGGGATTCTTCAAGGAAGCGTGCTTTACTTCCCATAATTCATCATAAAAACTCAACGCTTCTTGTCCATACTGTTTGTACACAGTATCTTTCATCAGCTCTTTGCTCAACTGGAGAATGCCATCGATTGTCGTTTCTCTTTCAACGCCGATCTTCTCTGCCTTTTCTTTGGTTTTTCCTTCTTCCCACTGCATTTGCCAAGAAGCCAACAATGTCTCTCTAAATTCCAGGATAAATCGTTCTTTTCCTATCTCTTTGTACAGTTCCTCTACCTTCCTCTTCAATGACGCTTTGTCGAAGCCATTTGCCTTGTCACCAAGAAAACCCGCTTTAACAAGACACATTTTGTACAAAGCCACCTTGTGTTCTTTGTGTTTTGCAAGCTTCTCACGCTCGTGAAGTTCAGAGCAAAGGCGTATAACCTCGGTTAAGAGCCTATCTCGTTCTTTCAACAGATCAAGGAGGATATTGTTATCGTTTTCCAGTTCAAACGTCTCTTGAAACTCTCTCTCGTCGACAGTGCACATCCCTTCGTAGAACCAAAGTTGTTCCTTACGCACTGCATGTTTGTCTTTCTTATCAACAGCATACTCTTTTAGCGCATCAATGATTTCTCTGTTGTACTTATTGAAGGTGAATTGTGCAGATACTTTCTGTTCTCCCCAGAATCGCTGACAAAACCTGAAGGCATCTTTCCTAAATCTTTCCCATTGTCGTTTTTCTTTCAGGCGGTAACACATAGCGTTAACACCTTCAATAATCTTTCGCCATACTTCACTGTGGTTTCCTGCCCCGAGTGACTTTTCCATCTCCCATGCTGCAAGGAAGAACTTCAAGGCTTCTTTTGGATGTTCAAGATTAACTTCAAGAACCGCTCGCTGAAAAATGCTACGCACAGTCAGTGGATGATTTTTGAGAAGATCCATCCTAATCTTGAGAGCCCTTTCTGCAGGTTTGACTGCCTCTGAATATTTCTTTTGAAACATAAGTACATTTGCAAGATTTCTACAGAAGTGTGCTTCATCCAAACAACCTAGGAGTTTGAGATCTTCCAGCAGTCCCAGTGCATCTTTGTAACATTCAACTGCCTTTTCATAATCTTTCAGGCCATCATGATCATACGCCGCTCCAATCTGTTGCTTGTACATTGGCAAGTCGAAGTGGTTCTTAGAGGCTGCTAATTTCTCTTGCATCATGTAGGCTTTTTCAAAGAACTCAAGCGCTTTTGTGGGCTGTTTCAGACTTAGATGACAGTTTCCAATTGCATTGTAGCACCTTGCAAGATCGGTATGTTCTTTTAGCAGCGGCTCAGAGAATGTTAAGGACAATGTCAAGCTTGCAAGTGCTTTTTTATAGTCTCTGTTTCTCCAGAGAATTTCTCCTTCAGTGTGCAAGTAAAGGCCTTTGGTGAGCTTAAAGGACTCGCTAGATTTGTCTTCAACTCTCTCCATTGAAAATAGAGCTTCTTTCAATACTTTGAATGCTTTCTCAGTCCCAACAACATCTGCAACTTGTCTGGCTTCCCAAGACTTCAACTGTGCTCGAGCGAGGGAACCTATGTAAAGATGATTAAGCAAACAAATTAGGAATAAAATAACAAACATAACTACCCCTATTCCTGCCCCTTTGGCTACGCAATTCAATAGGGCGTGACTTATGAGGCTTTTCCAAACTCACAACTAAAGATGCCAGAGAAGAGGTTTGATCTCAGTCATGACTGATGGATTCTTAGCAGAAAAACTTAGAAGTCCTTTGCTTTAGTGTCCCCAGTATAATGCTCCCTAACCCTTTCAAGATGGGGGCCATGCCAATTCCTTACTCTGACACTAAACATAATTGCCAACATCTCAATCTAGAGGAAAGCCATGGTTAGCCCTATCACCTACTCATGGGGCATTAAACTTTGATAGAAGCAGAAAGTATAAAAATAGGGGTATGGAAATAGGTAAAACACCAATAAAAAATGATAACAGGACCGAGTGGATTCCAATTCATGATGTTGATAGGACCAAGTGGAGTCCAATTTGTTCTATTAGTGATTAACCCTTTTACTCCCAGGTCAAATTTGTAATTCCCCTTACTATCAACCATACAATTCTCATAATGTTAGTTCTGAGAATTTAGTATTGGATCAACTAATTTTCCCCAAATTGATATTTTCCTTTATTCTCATCATTTATCTGGTCGATATTGTATTGATATTGTAAGGAGAAATTCTGTCTTGGTCACTCATGGGAGTTAAAAAGTTAACAACAGCGTGTGCACATGACACATTCTGTAGAAAAGGCATGCATGTTAACTGACCCCTTAACTGTCCTATTACACTGTCCACTTAAACAGGCATGATGTGTTAACTGACCCCTTAACAGTCCTATTACACTGTCCAATTAGACAGGCATGATGTGTTAACTGACCCCTTAACAGTCCTATTACACTGTCCAATGAGACAGGCATGATGTGTTAACTGACCCCTTAACAGTCCTATTACACTGTCCAATTAGACAGGCATGATGTGTTAACTGACCCCTTAACAGTCCTATTACACTGTCCAATTAGACAGGCATGATGTGTTAACTGACCCCTAAACAGTCCTGTTACACTGTCCAATTAGACAGGCATGATGTGTTAACTGACCCCTTAACAGTCCTGTTACACTGTCCAATTAGACAGGCATGATGTGTTAACTGACCCCTTAACAGTCCTATTACACTGTCCAATTAGACAGGCATGATGTGTTAACTGACCCCTTAACAGTCCTATTACAATGTCCAATTAAACAGGCATGATGTGTTAACTGACCCCTTAACAGTCCTATTACACTGTCCAATTAGACAGGCATGATGTGTTAACTGACCCCTAAACAGTCCTGTTACACTGTCCAATTAGACAGGCATGATGTGTTAACTGACCCCTTAACAGTCCTGTTACACTGTCCAATTAGACAGGCATGATGTGTTAACTGACCCCTTAACAGTCCTATTACACTGTCCAATTAGACAGGCATGATGTGTTAACTGACCCCTTAACAGTCCTGTTACACTGTCCAATTAGACAGGCATGATGTGTTAACTGACCCCTTAACAGTCCTATTACACTGTCCAATTAGACAGGCATGATGCGTTAACTGACCCCTTAACAGTCCTGTTACACTGTCCAATTAGACGGGCATGATGTGTTAACTGACCCCTTAACAGTCCTATTACACTGTCCAATTAGACAGGCATGATGTGTTAACTGACCCCTTAACAGTCCTGTTACACTGTCCAATTAGACAGGCATGATGTGTTAACTGACCCCTTAACAGTCCTATTACACTGTCCAATTAGACAGGCATGATCCAATTAGACATGATGTGTTAACCTAACAGTCCTATTACACTGTCCACTTAGACAGGCATGATGTGTTAACTGACCCCTTAACAGTCCTGTTACACTGTCCAATTAGACAGGCATGATGTGTTTACTGACCCCTTAACAGTCCTATTACACTGTTTAGACAGGCATGATCCTATTACACTGTCCACTTAGACAGGCATGATGTGTTAACTGACCCCTTAACAGTCCTGTTACACTGTCCAATTAGACGGGCATGATGTGTTTACTGACCCCTTAACAGTCCTATTACACTGTCAATTAAAAGCATGCCATGTACACTACCTATTAGTACTCAGATTGAGCTGGTCATAACCAGTCAAGTTCAAGAATTTTGTTATAGTTTTGATTAAGTCTGTAATCATACAAGGTATTAACAGAATCTGACAACTGTGCAGAGGGAGTCTGATTTGTTAATTATTTTTACCAGTATGATTACAGACAGAATTGGGCAAAGTCCTGTTACCAATTTATCATAACCATTGTAATTTCCAAAAAAAAAATTCTGGGGGAAATAAGTCAAAATTGACTGTGAGAAAAATATATCCCAGAGAGACATTTTCTAAAGTAAAAAATTCCTTCCTTTAGACAATTTCCCAGATTTATTGGGAAGTGGTTGTTGCTATCAGTTATTTTAATAAATTCTGTGATTGATGAATTTAGCTGAGTGGACTTAGTATGATTGGTAGCTTTAACCCTTTAACTCCCATGAGTGACCAAGACAGAATTTCTCCTTACAACATCAATACAATATCAACCAGATAAGTGATAAGAATAAAGAAAAATATCAATTTGGGGATAATAAGTTGATCCAATACTAACTTCTCTGAACTAACATTATAAGAATTGTATGGTTGACATTTTGGAGAATTACAAATTTGATCTTGGAGATAAAGGGTTAACTGTCAGATTACAGTCAACTGTCTGTCAATTACACTTAGATTAGATAATAATCATTGGAAAAATAAAGCAGCTAATGCATCAATCACATTTGAGAAAATAAGAGAACTTTCTATGTTATAAAGATCAATATGCATTGTGTAATATTAATTGAAATTTAAAATTTTCAAGCATCAACCCTTCAACTCCCGATTGAGTGACCAAGACAGAATTTCTCCCTACAATGTTAATACCATATCAAGCAGACAGGTGATGAGAATAAAGAAAATATCAATTGGGGAATTATTAGTTGATCTAAAACCAAATTCACCATATTAACATCATAAAAATAGTATGGCAGACAGTAGGGAAAATTACTAAATAAATTAGAATTTTTTATTGAAAAAGTACCTGATTTTCCATCATCTTCACATTTCTCAGCCCAGGAACCAAAGACCGGGATCAGTTTCTCATGCAGCATTGCAATGAAAAGGGATGCCATCAAGGCATTTTCACGGAATTCAGCTGGAACACTGAAATATTCTGGTTGCAAGGAGATCTCAACAGTGAACTCATAGTTGGCTTTGTCACTCTCAAACAAATGGAATGCTCTGACATAATCTGGCTCAATGAGTTCTGCAATTTTCTTCATCCTGTACATGAAGAGTTCATAGAAGCGTTCCTTTGCCTCAAGGAAAGAAGTATTAAAGTCTTCAAGACTCTTGATACTATCAGCATACTTTTGTAATAGTGGATGAATGTCATACTTCCTCTCTTTTGCTTCTTCATCAACAACAAAAATTATTTCACTGGCTACGAGTCCCTCTAACTGAGCAATGGCTTCCACCTCATCAAAACCAAGAACTTTGGCAGCCATTTTCACAGAGAAAGGTCCATGAAACAAGGAAATTACTACTGCAGATACCCTTAAACTTTCAGTGGTAAGTGTATCAAACATTTCTTGAATCACTGACATCTGACCCATGTCTACTCCTTCTTGCTCAAAAGTGAGTACACTACTTCTCGCATCTCCCTCTGCTTCAGATTGCTGTGAAGAGGCAGTGACGCTTGCAATGAGATCATCAACAGATTTTCGTTCCTGTCTCAAGATAGCAGCCAGTCCTTTCAAAATAAGAGGGATTCCTTTGGCAATGCTTATTAAATGATCCTTCTGATGGGTTTTTACATCAGTCATTCCCTCAGGGATGAGGATTTTCTCTGAAAAAGATCTCTCAAGAGACTTAACTTCAAAATCATCCATCTTTTTGAGTTCCTCTAACTTAGTGCTTGAAGTAAGAAGCAGTTTTAAAGGAAGTCTTTTTTCTTCACTTTCTAAAAGTTCTTCTAAAAAGCGTAGGAATGCTTTTTTTAACCTTTTCCCCTCTTCTTTTTTCCCTGCGGTAAATTGGTCCACATTATCCAGCATAAAAAGAACAGGCTGTTCCCCATCTTTCAGCTCTTTCACTTTCTCTTGAACCTTTGCTACAACATACTCTTGCAATTGCTCAACACGACCGGCTGGAACAGCTAGTTCGAGAGAATGAAGCATGTTGTGATAGATCGCTGTCATATCCTGTGCCTTCCTCAGGTCAAAAATACGAGAAATCCCTTTCCATTTTGAACAAACTTCTTTTGCAAGCTCTGTCTTTCCTATCCCGGACGACCCAAACAAGTTTAGAAGTGCAATATCTTTTAATTCAAGTTTTCTATTGATTTTCGTGATTTCATCGCTCCGTCCTTTTAATTCCTTTTTTGGATCAGCTTTCATCAGACGAGAGGCCTTGAAACTTTTCAGTGCCTCCTCAATGTCCTTCTGTTGGCTACATTTCGGAGCAACGAAGTCTTCTACGAGTTTCAGGTTGTTTTCAGTTACATACCTTTGCTTAGCAAGAAGTTGCAAACATTTCAACAGATCGTGGCTTTCCAACGACTTAAACTTCCCCCCATATATCCGTTTTAAAGAATGCACAACATTTTCCGTTTCTGCCGGGGTAATCTTAAGAGAAATGTTTTCGAAGAATTGTTGTAGCTGTGCAGTTTCAACTGCCGCCATGTTTGATTTACATTACATCAGGATACTGCTGACCATTATACTATGGGCGTACATTTGCATAGTGAAAAGTTACGCGTCCCATCACGCAAACGGAAGTAATAAGACAGTCTCCTATTAATACAACTTTTTTTATATCAGATATATTTTTCTCTTTGTCACGGTAGTTTTTTAGAAAAACATATTGGGATACATTAAAAGACACGATTTTCGGTTTTATCCGCGACAGTCTACTTTTAGATAAAGGGGGTAAGTTTCTAAAGAAACTGTGGGCTGCGTCGCTGAGAGAGTATAACATGGTAATTTAGTTTTATCGACTGAGTTGATAACGTAAATTGGCCACCGTAAAGCGTTTTAAAGGTTTAGTGTAAAATCTGATTTAATTTGATTTAAGATCTGAAAGCTTGAAAAAAAAATTCAGCATAACTCTTTTTTTCTTCAATTTGATGATTGAACACTTTAAAAAAAAAATGGGGAAAATTATCCTAAAACGACTTTTGAACAGAGAAATATAGAAGTCTAGAATAAAATTTAACCCTGGGTTAACGCTCATCGGCCTTCGAACAACTGGGCCCTGAGGCGTTGGCTAGCTTCCTGTCCGCAGTGGGAATTTTCCTCACAGTCCTCGAAAGAAGTCCGCCTCAAATGCTGGTCTATTTTCAAACAGGAATTTTGCCTTGTTCTAGTTGCAGGGAATTTAGTCACTTGCAAATAGAAGATATTGAGGAAAAAAGGCCAAAACACGCACAAAAATAAATCTGGATACACGCGTAGACGTTATCCTAGCGGAGTACAATAGCTAAGAAAATTATCAAATATATTGACATCCACCCTCGTTCCAGCAGTGCCTCCATACGTGAGTTTTAGCGTGGGGCTCTCGCTTGCTCTCCTCCTTTCATTGCTTAGTTGTTCATTACATGAATATCATGTCGTAAATCTAATACTTATTAAACCACGTCTGCGTCACACATAAGTATTTCCGATTTCACAGCTTGCATCACTCAAAAAATAAAAATAAAAAAGGCAAAGATGCACTGTAAACATGCCTATTTGGATTTAGTCCAGTCATCTCATCAACTTTACCTGGGAAATAAAGCAGGTTCTTTTGCGCTAATTCTCATTGCATAATAGGTAGAGGTAGGATAGAATGCTTAATGTGTCAATCTAAGTTCTGCGCAGTTACCTTTTTGTCCTCTTTTTTTCGCCATGGATCCTTACCATGACAGTAGAGCCGACCTTTAACGTGACAATAAACAACTCAGATCAAAGTGTTATCAAAAGAACTTTTGTGGCTCAAGATTCGTCAAGGCTTTATGGCGTTGTTCGTCGCTTTGGATGACATTGCTCGACCTATGAATGGAGATACCTTGTGAATAGCGATGAAACAGCATAGAAATTCCCTTAAACTTGTAAACTCTCCAACCCTAGTTTCTTTTACTTGCATGTATTTCTCAGAGATATTTTCAATCGTAATGCGGCTATTTCACTGGCCTTGATTAAGATGCAATTTAGTTTAAATGTCACTTCTGAAAATAATAAAAATCAAGCACATAATATCATGTTTCTGTGACGTGTGTGTTTCATTAATTTTGCTTCCGCAGTATGCCTTCCCTCTTTACCTTTTCTGATAGCAAATTGGTAATTTTGCCTAGTGCTTATTTCTTGCCGTTCTGTACGATCCTGCGTCCAATATCATTTAGCCTGCTATTAGCCCCTATTAGCCTGCTATTAGCCCCTATTAGCCTGCTATTAGCACTTGCGGTCAGCAGCTAAAACCTCGTCTTACCTGTAATGAAGTTTCTCCCCTTTCCTCCAATCTTGACTACACTCTAAGCTTCAGGGGTCGCAAAGCCTAGTTTTCGTGCCATCGGATAACTCTCTCGGGGATTATATCTCAGGAGCAACAGAAGAGCGTTTTAAATTTGAGTCGGCTCTTTTGGTAAAACAAATAATTATAACAAGCATCTTGGGAACGCCTAAGTCCAATTCCTCCCTACAAAAGCAAGTGGAGTCGAGACAATGATTAAAAACAGGTTTTAATATCACTGTATCTTTCAAGTAGATGACCCAGAAGAAAAGAAAAAAGCGTTAAAAAGGGAGTTGATGTTAGTTTTACATCCAGTTTGAGATGAATACGCCAGAACAAGCTTAAAGTTTGTGCTAAGCCTCACTAGAACAGCCCGGGGGAAGTTTTGTTTACCGTGCGTCCTCTGTTATTGAGCTCTTTCCTAAGTAAATGATGGCCTAATTATTGTAACACAAGAGGGAAATAAAAGATGGAAATTAAAAAAACAATAAAATGAATAAATGGGGGAATAAATAAAGGTTTAAAAGACCAAAAGAGATTGACCCATCGAGCCTGAATGGTTGTAGTTACTTGGGGGTATGCGTGATGAGATCGCGTGACTTGTCACTGTCCACGCGTGGGGACATACGGAGCGGTCAGCAGTATCTTGATTGTAATAAACGTGATCAAAGATGGCGGCAGTTGGTATCGAAACTGCGCCAGGTTTACAACAACTTTTCAAAGACATTTCTCCAAAATTTAAACCTGTAGAGTCAGAAAGTATTGTGAAAACTTTAAAAAAGAATTATGGAGGGAAATTTGATCTGCTGGATAGTCACGATCTGATGAAATGTTTTCAACTTCTTGAAAAGCATGGCTATGTATCTGACAACAAACTCAACCTAATCGAAGACTTCGTTGCCACAAAATCTGACGAGGAGAAGCTCATTAAGAAAGATATAGATCGTTTCAAGGACTCTCTTTTGGGTAAAGGTGATCCAGAGAAGGAGTTACAAGGACGGAGTGAAGAAATCAAGAAAATTAACAAAAAACTGGAATCGAAAGATACCGTAGTACTAAACTTGTTTGGGTCGTCTGGTGTAGGAAAGACAAAGCTTGCCACCGAAGTTTGCTCACAGTGGCGAGGGACTCATCGTGTTTTTGATTTACGAGAAGCAAAGAATATGACAGCGATCTATTACAAAATGCTGCATTCTCTCGAACTAGTAGTGCCAGTTGGTCATGTTGATCAAAATTATGTTGTTACCAAAGTTCTAGAGAAGGTTGAAGAGTTTAAAGATAAGGAACATGCCGTTCTGTTTATGCTGGACAATGTAGACCACTTTACCGCAGGAAAAGGTAAAGAAGGAAAAAACTTGAAAACGGCTTTCATGGAATTTTTAGCAAAGCTCTCAGAGAAAAGAAGCAAAGAAGAGCGATCTCCTTTAAAGCTGCTGCTCACCTCTAAGACCGAGTTAAGAGGTTCCAAAAGGATGGATGACTTTGAAGTGAGATCTTTAGAGAGGACTTATTCAGAGAAACTAATTTTTCCAAAGGGAATAACTGATGTTAAACCACAGCAGAAGGATAACTTAATGAGTATCACTAAAGGATTCCCTCTATTTCTAAAAGGACTAGGAGCTATTTTACGACAAGAACGAAAATCTCCAGAAGAACTTATTGCAGAAGTTGTGCATGCTCTAAAAAAATTGAAATTGGAGCAGGATGCTGAAGGAATGCTTGCTGGTTTTGAAGAAGAAGGAGTGGATGTCAATCAGATGTTTGCAGTCAGTTTAATGTTTGAGACACTTTCCACAGAAAGGTTAAAGTTATCTGCAGTAGTGGTTTCCTTGTTTCATGGGCCTTTCTCTGTGGCAACAGCTGCCAAAGTTCTTGATATTGACCCTTCAGAGGCCATTGTTCAGTTAGAGGGTCTTGTAGCCAGCCAAATAATTTCTGTTGTCAATGAAGAAGCAAAAGAAAGGAAGTATGACATTCATCCTCTCTTACGGAAGTATGCAGACAGTATCAAGAATAATGAAGATTTTCTTGCTCCTTACCTGGAGGCAAAAGCACGCTTCTATGAATTCTTCATGTCCAGGATGAAGAAAATTGCAGAACTCATTGAGCCAAATTATGTCAATGCATTCAATTTGTTTGAGACAGACAGAGGAAACTATGAGTTCACAGTTGAGATCTCCTTACAACCAGAGTATTTCATTGTTCCAGGTGAATTCCATGAGAATTCTTTAATTGCATCTCTTTTCATTGCAATGCTGACTGATAATCAACTTATCAAGGTGTTTCATTCCTGGGCTGAGATGTGTGAAGATGATGGAAAAACAGGTGAGAGGCACTTAAATTTTTCATGTTACATCAAAATTGTTCAAAACTCATATTTTGTCAGTTACCTTTGTCTGAGCAGGCATTTAAGATCTTTCTCTGAAGTAGCTTACATGTAGTTTAAACTCATTAGAAGAGTTAGTTTATTATATGGCAAGATAGTCCTGAGGTAAATTTGAGCATTCTGATTGCATCTTAATTGGTCAGGATTTTGCCATATGGATCATTTTTACAGTTACAGTTATGAGCCATGTCTTTTTGATTGCAAAGGCATCAAATTCAAAATAAAAAATTTTGGTTCAAGTTCTCTACAATAAACTTCTTACTGACCTTGCTTGCTTGAGCCATACTGGTGGACATTGGTCCCTGTCATTTTGGTATGGAAGGAGCTGTGCTCAGTCTGTAGTGCCAATGCTGGCCAATATATCCCACTATGGCCCTTACGCTCAGTTAGTATGAAGTTATTATCTCTTTTGTAACTTGAGAGAGTACAAGTGTTATCCTCTCCTGGGCATCCCTGTTATATAGACACCTTCCCATATACAATTATTTGCTTTTGTCTGAATCCCATCATCAGCACTCCTGTCCATCATTAAATCCCACTCTCTTAAGTTTAGACATAGCATTCAGTTTGTTAGATATTAACCTCTTGGCTTTTCTGCCATCCATGGCAGTTGATATAATGAGATTAATGGCCATTTAAACTGTTATTGCAGTTTGGTGATTGGAACAGTGGAAGAGGCTTACATGCATGTAATTACAATTTGACAGAGCCACTTTTGGATTACTTACTGTGCACAAACATGCCACCAGACTTGACCTATCTGGAACAACCAACTCAAATTTGGTGCTTAATGCTACCAGTCAATGAAATTTGAGTGTCTACCTTACTTATAACTTGCCAATCAAACCTAAGGAAAATCTTTAGTGAGCAGGTTCTGTTTTAAAATTAGCCTATTGGACCACTGATGAGCTTAAGGCTGATAAATTGAAAAAGGTGGCTCTGTCATTGCATCTGTCAATATTTCATGTCTCTGAGTTTTTTGGTACATGTACTTTGCTGTTGATACAGTCAATTAGAATTTTTTGATGTGTAGTGCAGGGGCAATCTTGCCAATAATTTTTAAGCCAGCCCTACACTGTGCAATCAGCCAAGCTGAAATTTTTGACCCACTTTCTCCCTGAAGTCCTATTACCATCACATATTTGATTCCACAGGTAAACTGGAGAGAAATTACTCAGGAGGGACTTTTAAAAAAAATAATAAAAAAGAAAAACAAACAAACAAACTTACAAAAACTTAAAACATGAACTCTTTAAATCACTATTTGGTGAACTGTTATTGAAAACACAAAACAATATGTCTTGTGATAATTTACACTTTGTTATTTGTAGATACTAAGTACATTTCATCAGCAGTGATATTTGTTTATTAGTTTTGATTCTCCATCTTTGTATAGGTTCCCTTTGCCGAGCGCAGTTGAAGTCCTGGGAAGCCAGGCAAGTTTCAGACATTGATGGAACAGAGAAAGGATTTGAAACATTGAAGGAAGCCCTGAATTCATTGGAGAAAGTTGAAGATCAAACTGGAAAATCCTTTATGCTCACCAAGGGGCTTTACTTGCACACTGAAGGTGAAATCCTTTGGAGAAACAGAGACTATAAAAAGGCACTGGCAAGTCTGGAGTTGTCCTTAACTTTCTCTGAACCACTGCTTGAGGAGCATACTGATCTTGCAAGGTGCTACAATGCCATTGGAAACAGTTTTTTTGCTCTCGACCAGCCTAGAAAAGCACTCGAGTTCTATGAAAAAGCCTACGAGATGCAAGAGAAATTAGCATCTGAGAACCACTTTGACATGCCAATGTACAAGAATCAGATTGGAACTGCATATGAAGGCCTTGAAGATTATGAAAAGGCAGTTCAATGTTACAGAGGTGCACTGAGTCTCCTGGAGGACCTTAAACTTTCAGGTTACTGGGATGAGGCACACTTCTTAAGAAATCTTGCTAATGCACTCATGTTTCAAGAGAAATATAAAGAGGCAATTGAACCTTCAGAGAGGGCTTACAACATAAGGATGAAGCTTCTCGGAAATCACCCACAGACTGTGCGCAGCATTTTTCAACGAGGGGTCCTCCAGGCAAATCTTGAACAGCCAAAAGAAGCTTTGAAGCTGTTTCTTGAAGCGTGGGAGATGGAAAAGTCACTTGGTGTAGGAAACCATAGTGAAGTGTGGCGAAAGATTATCACAGGTGTGGAAGATATGTGTGATTGGACAAACAATAGAAAACGGAAGAGGTCATTTAGAAAAGAGGCTTTCAAGTTTTGTCAACGTTTCTGGGAAGAACAAAAAGCTTCTCAACAATTCACTTTCAATATATTTAACAAAGGCATCGTTGATGCTCTGAATGACCTCGCTGATGACAAGAAAGACAAAGCTGTAGTGCAAAAGGAACAGTTTTGGTTCTACGAGGCGAGGTGCAATGCCAACGAGAAAGAGTTTCAAGAGAAGTTTTATTCGGAAACTGATAATGATGCTCTCTGTGTCATGCTGAGTGAGAGGGAAAATCTCTTGGACGAGATAGTGGAGCTCTCTTCTCAGCTTGATGAACACGAGAAGGTGAGGAAATACAAACTGGACAAGGTGGCTTTGTACAAAATGTGTCTGGTGAGAGCGGGTTTCCTTGGAAACAAAGAGGACGGGTTGGACAAAGCGTCATTGAAGATTAAGGTAGAAGAACTTTACAAAGAGACAGGACAAGGAGGAATGATCCAGAATTTTCGGGAGACATTGTTGGATTCGTGGCAAAAGCAGTGGGAAGAAGGAAAAAGTAACGAAGAAACGGAGAAGATCGGCTTGGAAAGGGAGAGAACAATCGAGGGAATTCTCAGTTTGTGCCGGGAGCTCAAAAAAGTAAACATGTACAGACGGTATGGACAAGAAGCATTGAGCTTTTATGAGGAAATATGGGAGATAAAACATGCTGAGATGAAGGACCGTGAAATGAAGAAGTTTCTTCGTAAACTCATAGAGTTGGCATCGTCCATTGAAGATTACACGAGCGAGAAATTTTACAAAAATGCATTACAGGTAAGATCACGCTTATTTATCAACAAAAGTAAACGTCGACCATGTCTTTTATGCAAGCAGCTTTTTGTATCAGCTGTTTTCTCTTCACTTTGCCCACTCTTTTACTTCCAAGATCTCATTAGTAATTCTCCTTACTGTCTACCAAACAATTCTTATGATGTTATTTCGGATAATTTGGTTTTGGATCAACTTATAATTTCCTTTTGGATATTTTCTTTAATCTCATCACTTGTCTGCTTGATATTGTATTGATATTGTAAGGAGAACTTCTGTCTTGGTCACTCATGGGAGTTAAAGGGTTAATCCCATCATTTGATGTATGTTTTTGTTCTGTTTTGCTCTGTTTTCTACTCTGATTTGGTCTAGTTACCACTGACGACAAATCCTCATTGTTGGACACTGATAATGCCAACGGATAAGCTTGTACATTTTATCGGGATATATTAGTAGACATAGACTTTTTATGATTCATAATTTATCGCGGCAAACAGATCCACGAATTCTCCTAAAAATTTCAGATACATGTATTTTCTAAGTTTCTCTCTTCAGCTATTGTGTTTTGTTTCCAGGCGCTGAGGGAAACTGGGAAACATCCAGGAGCCAAATTAAGGCCAAGAGGTACTAAAATTGTATAGAGCTCGAACATCTGAGAGAAAAATCTTATGACGGTTCATGGTGTCCAAGAGCTAGACTTTCTTCTTGTACAGATGCCTGGTTTTTTTGTTTCCATGGCTTATAGCATGTTGCCTTCTCTTGACCTTTCTATCTTCTCTTATAGCCGCACAGACTTTTCCTACACCCATGGAAGAGGAGAAGGTTAGTGAAGAAGAAGAAGAATTGGAAATCGAAATTGGTTCAGAAGAAGAGAGTGAGGTTGGAGCTGAGGAGCAAGTAGACACAGATGAAGATGTTCAAACTGAGGACAGAACCATCATCTTCAAGTAAATAACAAAATTACGTTCTTCGAATAATTATACATATGATCGTGAAGAAGTGCTCTCTGATTGGTCGAGAATTCTCCGTATTTTGCTGCAATGAACCCGCTAGAAATGATTATAATAGCGAAGAACTGAATTGGAAATAGCACTGTGTATCTTTTTACTATGTTTCTGGGGAAGAAAACAAAAGAAAAAATTCAGTTCTTCTGATACTTACTCTAGAAACTTGACTTTAAGAATCACATTCCTTAGGTTTCGCGAGTAGTCTAAGTTGTCGGGCAGTCGTCCGAAACTTAACAACAAGGCAGACTCGTGTATGATTTTATTCTATTTTGTTCCTAACCGAAAAATGTTAAGCATCTTACTTACTTTTCTCATTGTCTATCAAGGAAGAAATAGCGAGTAGCGTAGCCATTCAGATTGCAGCATTTGTGATAGAACAAATGTAGATTTATGCTAATATCGAAGAATTCGGCATTTCCCGTCACCCTTTACGAAGAGTTGTTCTACGATTGATCGTCAGTTCAATTTTGATTATCTGAGGTCATTCTTAATTCTCCCACTGTATGATAAAAAGTGTTGTTGTTTTTTTTTGTTAACGAAAGTCTGATCATCTATTCTATCAAGATGGTGTTAAAAAATCTCAGTCACAAGATTACCACAAATTACTTATTTATTATCTTGTATCTCACAGAGACACTGTAACAGTACAAGGTGGCCGATGGGACGCGAGGAAGGCAGCAACTCACTTGGTATTTCCACCTGGTTTTGTCGCTGAAGACACTGCGCTGACTCTTTTCAGATGGAAACCCTCCCTGTGTTCACCTCCTCTTCAGCCTAATGAAGCCGTGGTTAGCAATGTTCTTGAACTATCGGCAGAAGGCGCTGAAGGTCTTCAGTTCAAAAAAGAAATCACTGTGGGAATTTCGCACAGCGGACCGGACCTTAGAGGATATGAAGTGGTGATAAAGAACTTGACAGACGCAGAAAGAAATGAATGGGAAGAGGCTGAAGAAACAGTCGACTTTCGATCTGTATCAGGTAGAGGCTGGCTTTTATCGTCAATTTACTACACATTAGGTCTTATTTGAAAATGTCTGCTTGTTGATTTCTTAACTTGTCTTTTCCAAGGATTTAAAGTTCATGTTTTAATGCTTCTGCAATACCAAAAAGCCCCTTCACTCAAACAGTATGAAATTGGCTCTTTCAAAAGGGTCCGTATGGTGTTAAAATGAACAATAATACCCTACCAAGGCTTTTCCTTTGTTTGTTTGTTTTTTTCGGTTTCGTGTTGTTGTGTTTAGTGTTTTTTTACTTGAATTTGATATGGACACGATCCACGTAATAGATAACTTGCGCAACAAACATTTCTTAGTCTGATGACTTATCATTCTAACATTATTCACACAGTACAAAGCTTCCAACAATAACACCATGACACACATACTAGAGAAGAGTGTCGACCTACCAAGTTACAAATGAAAATAAAAGAGCCGAAATTGAGGAAAATTCAAGGCATTATCAAGTGCAGTGACCCTCATTTAAACAGGTAACTTGTTCTGAATTTTCATCCTTGGCTTATTTTCAGATCTGCAGATGGCTTATCGCGATGATTTTCCTGATTATTGCCTTCCTGTTGCTGAGACTAAAATTACCCAGTGTTCCACATTTGCAGTGGTTTGCCGTCTCAAGGCCCACAAGTTCACCATAACCTCGCAACCGTCCACCCTTTCATTACCAGGCTTCCCATTGGTCAAAGTGCATTTTCCCTCAAACGCAGTCTCCGCCGCAGAAGAATTGCACGTGACTGTCACGGTAAGTGTCTGATTGCGTCAAACAATTACAGCTAGTTACATGGTTCTTTGAATTAAGCAAAAAGATTTTTTGTTAGTTAGTTTTTTTTTCAGTCATTAAATTTATTAAGTACAAAATTGTTGTTCTTTTTTGTTAGTCTGTCGCTATATATAAACAATAGCCTCCATTTGACGCGAAAACATGCACGGATATTTGTTCGCGAACATTATCTGTTCCGAGATGCGACCAAGGGCGAAGTCCGAGGAAAATGTGAGAAAAACTGTGGGCTTAGAGCTTCTTTTACCACCCAACGCGCGGCAACTCGAAGTCTTTTTATTTCGTATGAAAAGAAAAAAAAATGCGCGTACCGAGCGTATGTAAATGATTATACGCACGTTATGTAAATGATTATACGCACGTTATGAACATTTCAAATATTAGTTCTGAAGAGGGGCTAACGCTCGAAACGTCAGCTCAAGATCTCTTTATAGTGGGAAATTTACATCAGCAACTCAATTGATAAAAACAAATTATCTTGTTTTAGAAATGGATTTTACGCTGGCCACAATTTATTGTTGGCTCGCTTTCTCGCCCAACTGACTGAATTTTGTTTCTCCATCGCCTCTAGATACAAGAATTTCGCAGCAGAGAGTTAAGAAACAAGGAGGTGTTGGCTGGCCCGATACTCAGTATTCTGTGCAATAAGGAGGTGGAGTTCCAGGAACCAGTCACTGTACAGCTGCCGTTATCCTTGAGAGACACGGAACAGGCTGCTGAATCATTGGGTATTCCTGATCCGTCATTCGTCCGTGCCCGAGTCTTGTTGCAACCATCTGATGGAACAGAACGAGAATGGACCGAAATTACAGATGTTCTTGATTCCCCCCCTTGGCTGGAGGGGACTGTCATCAAATTCAACGTGAAGCACTTCTCGAGGTATGCCAAAGTAACCATTTGCTTTCAAATTGTTAGATGTTTAATGAGCGCTTTAAGTCTCAAGGGGAGCAATATTTGAAAAATCTTAATTCGGAACAAAAAGAACTCAAAGCGAAACAAAGCGTAGGGAATCAAGGTAGATCGGGTTGAAATTAACACGACGAAATCAGGGAACATACAGCTAAGTTTATTCAGAGCGTGAATTATTTTCTCGCGATACGCCTGCATCCTAATCTTATTTGATTTACTTGTTAGTAGATCAAAGGCATCTCTCGAAACAAAATCAGATTTCAAACATCATCTTACCTGTGTAAATTCGCCTCACTCGTCAATCGAAATCTTGTTCGCGCACTGTCTACAGGTGATTCACCTCTTGCGCTTTGTAAAAACACGAGCTCTGCTTTTGCTTCTGTTGTATTTTGCTTGATTTTGTTATTGGTAATATTATTATTATTATTATTATTATTATCAGTATCGTTATATATTTTTTGAAAGGCAAGGGGATTATTTTATGTTTTAAGCTCAAGCTAGTTGCAGGAGGGAGGTAATTCTGGTGTTGCTTTTGTTTCGTTGCAGACTTTGGGGCTGGATAGATTGGTGCGTTAAACCAGTTGTGTCACCAATAATCGAATACGCGCGTAGCTTTAACACAGAAGATGTACCCCAAGTGGCAGTTTTTACAGCTTGTCTTCCAGCAAATACAAGCTTAGGTTCTACAAAACAGCTGCGTGTGATATGCAGTTCAAGTAACGCGACACGGAAGCACATCAGACATGAGGAGGAATTCTTGTTAGAGGAAGAAAATGCGTGGGATAACATGGTACCTCACGAAAGGGCTTATGTGTTTTTTTCAGGAAGCGTGGTTCAGCCGGCCGAGGTCGCGGATTTGGAGGACTTTTATGTCAGGTAACACTTGCGATTTGGCATAGCAACATCGATTCCCGAATCATGACGGTCGTGTAACGACGTTTACGACTTAAGCTATTGCACAGCTTTTAGCCGTTATTTGTGAATTACTGCTCAAAATGACCGACAATTTCATGGCCCACCTACTTTAGCGAACTTCATCCTAACAAAAACTTAGGAAAATAATAATAATTCTAAGAGACGATTATCCCTAAATCTTCCTTATACGTCAAGACTTTATTCACCATGTCTTGCAGATTTGAAAAAGATGATTCCATAATAAGAAAGTTGAGGGTACATGTTGTCGACAAAGGATGGCTAAAAATTGAGTTCTTCAACAGCAGAGAAAAGAAGACAGAAAATAAACTGTGCAAACTAGAAATGGACCTTCCCCCTCGAAAAAGAGACATTGAGGTAAAGGTATCATTAGGTGAAAAGCAACATTACAAAGACGTAGTTTTGACATCTGTCTCAAACCAAATAAACTTGATTAAACCAAACGCTTTCTAACTGAATTTATCCCGATGGAGGGGCAGACAGGTGGCGAGAATGCTAAAACGCAGACTGCAGACCGTACAGACCGTGCAGACTGGAGAATTATTTGTTATTTACCTAAATTAACCCTTCAATCCGGTATACCTATGATTATATGATTTTTTTTATTTATCATTTTCGCCGAAAAGGCGGAGGATTTTGGGGTAATCACATCATTTTCAGGGGGGAACGGAAGGGAGATCAGTAGTCCTCAACAGAGCATAAAGGGGACTATATAAAGAAAATTGAATTTAAGTTTACTGCCAATCAATAAATTTTGTGTCGCGAAACTGCCAAAAACTGTGTACACCCCACCCCCCCCCCCCCCCCCCACTCCCCGTGATAAATTATGACTGGTCCAGTAAAAGTACACATGCATTTGGAGTAGAAAAATTATTTCCTTCACGCACTGTTGGCGTTTCCGTGCCAGGTAAAGGCGGTTTACTGCATAATTACACCCAATTTTTCTCGCAGAAGACTCCCGTGGAGTTTTTTGGAGTTCCTTTGGATGACAACAGCATCCTTCACGATGCTCCGTTTCCGGAAATCCTAGCAGAATGTCGAGGAGTGTTAGAAGAAATGAACAAGGGGAGTATATGGCGAAGTCATGTTGATAGGAACGTCGACGGACAAAATCGATGTAGTTTTTACAAAGCTCTGGCGAGCCTACCACCAGATGACCAACAAAAATGCTTTGAGAAGATCGTTGAGTGTTTGCAAACAAGTGAGGGAACCAAACACATCGCAGATCACCTCTTAAAAGGTAGATTCAGTTTCGTGAGGTACCCACCACTTCCACGTTTCTCATAACAACATCAGTTGGTCAATCGGTCATAAAATGGACAGAATTCCAGGTTTTCCGGGAGAACAGCCGTCGCCAACAGAGTAAAAAAGGGGGACTATACAAAGTTGATTGACAATTACCTGCCAAATATTACCAAATACTGGAGAGCCTTAGAAGGCATCAGGTGAATTGTGTCGTGAAACTCGACTAATTTGTATTTTTTTTTTCTTCAGCTGAAGCTTTGATTAAGAAACCGCCCACTGAAGGTGTGCTCGATGTGATAGCTGAGAAATTGAGGACAGGTTCATTGTGGAAGAAACTCGCAAGTAAATTGAAGATTAAGCAATGTGTTATTGCCAATATTCAAGAGGACGAGGAGGATGGACAGGAGCGCTGCAGGGCAGCACTAGAAACTTGGCGTCAGGACAAAGGATCTAGTGCTACAAGTAGAGAGTTAATGTTGTGCTTAACGAACATGGGGTATGGTAATGTGAACTGGCATATAATGATCGAACTCGACCTTGTTACCAGAGATAATATACCACCGGAAGAGAGGGAATGATCTGTGTTAAAAAAAAAAAAAAAACACTAAGTTAGTAAAGACCTGGTAAAATATGAGTGCTCTTTTCTCACGTCACTGTGTAACAGAATTTGCCTCATGAAGGCGTGATATCATTACTGAATTAAAAGGACAAGAAGTTCCTTGAACACCTCATAGATGTTGGGTCGCCTGTAAAATTTGTCCTGGGAATTATTGTCAAAATCCTTCTGTTTTCCACAGAATTGTTTGTCTGCAACAAGTCGCACTAGTTTAGAATAATTTAAATAATACAATAATCGTAGCCATAAAATGAGTTGCCCGAGTCATTGCCTCTTTTCTAGCGGGCTTCAAGTAAATAAACATAGCTAAAAGATTATACAACTTCCTTTTCGATAAGAATGTACATATCAAGAACTTTTAACTTAATTCCCTTACATTTGATGTAACGTTTTACGTACCTCTTACTAGCCTCGTTTTCTCGGTCTCTACTGTATTAGAAGGGACCGAGAAAACGCGGCTAGTAAGATATTTCTTTTATTTATTGGTGTAAATAGATGGGGAATTTAGCGGGTCTTACGATGAAACACGGCCTGCTAAATTGACCAATCATAGCTCACGTTGTAAGATGCAGTAAATTTCATCACACTTATATTCTAACAAGACCAAACCTCTTTTCTATCGTTTTTCACTCTGCGCCACCCCTCTCTTTTCTTCGTGTTTTGTTTGTTTGTTTGTTTGTTTTCACAGTTTTCTATTATCTACAATTTTCATTCATCCTTTAAACCCATTCAAACAGTCATGATAGTTTATGATAGTTTCAGCTATCACGCGCGTCTGAACAAGAACTTCCACGCTTTATCATTGACTATCATCAACTATCATGACCGTTTGAACAAGGCTTTAGGCTTTAGAACTACACATCTTAATCAATGCATAATGCAGAGCGTTCAAAGAAAAAATATCTTATGAAAGAAAACTCACGATGAAGGTTATTGAATATAGACATAGTTTTTATCTAATAGAAAGTTAGGATAAATTTTTATGCGTAGAAATTGTGCTTCATGATACAAGCTGTTCGTTTCTTCATTTTACGAAAGAAAACTCACAAGGATCGTGTACAAATATATAAATAATTTTTTCTACTAGAAAGTTTATATAATTATTTATACTTAGGACTTTTACTTCAAGATACAAACTGTAAGTTTATTTTACTAGAGTGCACTGAGAAAAAAATATATGTTTTACGAAAGAAAACTCACAATGAACGTAGGTAAATATACACCTAATTTTTATCTAATAAAAAGTTATTCTTAAGACTTTACTTCATGGCACTCTATTTTACCTTTAGAGTTATATAAAGAAAATTAGCGCAAAAGAACCTAGCTGCTTTATTTCCCAGGTTAAGTTGACTAGACGAGTCAACTTGAGTCAATTTTTTCTTTTTTGAGTGATGCAAGTCGTGAAATCGGAAATACATATGTATGACGCAGACGTGGTTTAGTAAATACTAGATTTAAAACATGATATTTATGTAATGACTAACTATACAATCAAAGGAGGAGAGCGAGCGAGAGCCCCACGTCAAAACTCACCTATGAAGGCACTGCTGGAGCGAGGGTGGATGGCAATATGTCTGATAATTTCCTTAGTTATTGTACTTCACTAGACTATTTATGTCACGAATGTCCCACTTGTTACGTCAATCGATGTCTACGGGTGTATGCAAGTCAGAAAATCGACTTACATAAAACCGTTCGAATGGCTAGATATGGGTATGTTGGTGGCAAAATAAAATATGAGGCACAGTTCAAGCTACTTTGTCCGCAGGATACACCCATACCATCTATTTTTCTTACCAATTAGATATCTCAGAGAAGGAAATCATACAGCACTATGGTCTAAACTTTAGTACAAAAGTCTGTAAACAATACCATCGTGACAAAAATTTAGAGCAAAACGAATATATTAAAGAAAGACCAACATAAACCTAAGATGAACACCACGATCCAGAACTTAAATACTAAAAACATTTGAGGTGTTGAAAAGAAAAACTCATGAAACTTGGTGGCATTTCTCGTGATGTTTTCGTACGACTAACCATGTTTCTTCGTCGGCATTCATCATCAGATCTTACGTTCTGGAGATAGTGATGGCAAGTGTAAAAGGATTGAATCAGAAAAGTTGTTACAATCAAACTTGTATTAAGCGGTCACCCACTGTGAATCACGTGGTGACCCCGATAAAAAAAGTCATTTTATGCCATAGTTGAGCGCTTAAAGTTAAAGGACTCACTCAAAAATTCTACCAACATTGATTTCGGAAGATAAATATGGATAAACTTTTACGTGATAGATTATTCTTAGTTTTATCTGAGTGGTCCCACTTTAAGTGACCGTTCAGTCCAGGTGGGGTAAAATACAAACAGGCCGTTAGGACTCAGTAAAGGCAACCACGACCGCTAAATAGAGGTGACCGCTTAATAGAGGTGGAATCTACAGTAATTAAAGGGGTACAAATTTCGGGACCTCGACAACCGACCGCTTAATACAGGTTCGACTGTATTCGTCTTAACACAAGCGTAGAACAAAGGAAAGAAATATGATTCTTTCACGAGGAGTCGAACCCCAGACCTTTAGATTCAGTGTTGCGATGGTGTACTACTGAGCTACATGAAAAGAAATGAATCTTATGACTTAAGCCGTTACTTAAATGTTTCTACACGACAGGCAAACTTCGTACTGCTAGGATCAGTTAACAATTGGTTCATACGTCAGCGTGCGTTCATCGAGATATGAAGCACGCGGGAAGTTTGGAGAGCACGAAAGATGCGTAAGAGTTGCTCGAGGCGTAGCCGAGAGCAACTCTAGCTTCTTGAGTGCTCTCTAAACTTCCCGCGTGCTTCATATCTCGATGAACGCACAGCTAACGTATGAACCAATTGTTTTATAACATTTTCAACCCGATGGAAAATTTTTTTCTCGAGGGATACGTTTGCTGACGTCATGAGCGTGCTCAATAGGAATATGAAGCACGCTCGTGCAATTAAATTTGATGAGACAAATTTACTAGCCATGTTATAACAATGTTTGAGGAGATAATTTGAGGAGATGATTGTGAGTTTTCTTTCGTAAAACAGATTTTTTCCTCGGTGCACTCTAGTAAAATAAACGCACAGTTTGCATGCATCTTGAAGCAAAAGTCCTAAGTATAAATAATTATATAAACTTTCTAGTAGAAAAAATTATTTGTATATTTGTATATGTTCGTTGTGAGTTTTCTTTCGTAAAATGAATAAACGAACAGCTTGTATCGTGAAGCACAATTTCTAAACATAAAAATTTATCTTAACTTTCTATACATTACATTAAATAACCATATCATTAAATATACACTACATTAAATAACCTTCATTATGAGTTTTCTTACATAAGCAATTTCTTTCTTTGAACACTCTACACAATACATTGATTAAGATGTGTAGTTCAAAAGCCTAAAGCCCCGTTCAAACGGTCATGATAGTTGATGATAGTCAATGATAAAGCATGGAAGTTCTTGTTCAGACGCGCGTGATAGTTGAAACTATCATAAACTATCATGACTGTTTGAACGGGTTTAAAGGATGAATGAAAATTGTAGATAATAGAAAACTGTGAAAAAAAAAAAACGAAAAATAGAGCGGGGAGGGAGGGGGAGAGGGCCCAGAAGAAAGGATAGAAAACAAAGGGTTTAGTCTTGCTCGAATAGAAGGGTGACGCAAATTACTGCATCACTATGATTGGTCAATTTAGCTCAAGAAGCTAGAGTTGCTCTCGGCTACGCCTCGAGCAACTCTTACCCATCTTTCGTGCTCTCTAAACTTCCCGCGTGCTTCATATCTCGATGAACGCACAGCTGACGTATGAACCAATTGTTTTATAACATTTTCAACCCGATGGAAAATTTTTTTCTCGAGGGATACGTTTGCTGACGTCATGAGCGTGCTCAATAGGAATATGAAGCACGCTCGCGCAATTAAATTTGAGGAGACAAATTTACTAGCCCTGTTATAACAATGTTTGACGAGATGATTTGAGGAGATGATTGTGAGTTTTCTTTCGTAAAACAGATTTTTTTTCTCGGTGCACTCTAGTAAAATAAACACACAGTTTGCATCTTGAAGCAAAAGTCCTAAGTATAAATAATTATATAAACTTTCTAGTAGAAAAAATTATTTGTGTATTTGTGTATATTTGTATATGTTCTTTGTGAGTTTTCTTTCGTAAAATGAATAAACGAACAGCTTGCATCGTGAAGCACAATTTCTAAACATAAAAATTTATCTTAACTTTCTATACATTACATTAAATAACCATTACATTAAATATACACTACATTAAATAACCTTCATTGTGAGTTTTCTTACATAAGCAATTTCTTTCTTTGAACACTCTACACAATACATTGATTAAGATGTGTAGTTCAAAAGCCTAAAGCCCTGTTCAAACGGTCATGATAGTTGATGATAGTCAATGATAAAGCATGAAAGTTCTTGTTTATAGGCGCGTGATAGTTAAAAACTATCATAAACTATCATGACTGTTTGAACGGGTTTAAAGGATGAATGAAAATTGTAGATAATAGAAAACTGTCAAAAAAAAACGAAAAATAGAGCGGGGGGGGGGGGGGGGGGCCCAAAAGAAAAAGGATAGAAAAAAAAGGTTTAGTCTTGCTCGAATAGAAGGGTGCTGCAAATTACTGCATCACTATGATTGGTCAATTTAGCAGGCCGTATTTCTACGTAAGACCCGCTAAATTCCCCATCTATTTGCACCAATAGATGAAATAAATATCTTACTAACCGCGTTTTAACAGTCCGTAATGTAATTTACGGAACCTCGTTTTGTCCGCACGGATTTAAAACCGAACGAAAAAATACAGTACAGACCGAGAAAACGAGGCTATTAAGAGGTAAGTAAAACGTTACCTCAAATGTAAGGATATTAAGTTAAAAATTCCTGATATGTACATTCTTATCGAACAAGAAACTGTTTAATCTTTTAGCTAGGTCTGTTCACTTGAAACCCGCTAAAAAGAGGCAACGACTCGGGCAACTCAATTTATGGCTACGATTATTGTAACATCTAAATTGTTCTAAACTTGTGCGACTTGTTGCAGAGAAACAATTCTGTGGAAGATAGAAAGATAATAATTCCTCTAGTTGCCCTGAGCAAATTTTTCCGGGCGAACCTTACGTCCACGAGGTGTTTAAGGAACTTTTTAAAAGTGTTTTCCGGCCTTCATGCGAAAAATCCCTTTTAATTCAGTAATGATATCACGCCTTCATGGGGCAAATTCTTTCGCACAGTGATGTGGGAAAAGAGCACTCATATTCAACTAGGTCTTTACTAACGTAACTAACGTAAAGATCACCGATCATTCGCGCTCTTCCGGTGGTATATTATCTCTGGTAACAAGGTCGAGTTTGATCATTATATGCCAGTTCACATTACCATACCCCATGTTCGTTAAGCACAACATTAACTCTCTACTTGTAGCCTTAGATCCTTTGTTCTGAAGCCAAGTTTCTAGTGCTGCCCTGCAGCGCTCCTGTCCATCCTCCTCTTCCTCTTGAATATTGGCAATAACACACTGCTTAATCTTCAATTCTCTGGCGAGTTTCTTCCACAATGGACCTGTCCTCAATTTCTCAGCTATCACATCAAGCACACCTTCAGTGGGCGGTTCCTGAATTAAAGCTTTGGCTGAGAAAAAAAAAGTATAAATTAGTCGAATTTCACAACACAAATCACCGGATACCTTCTAAGGCTCTCTAATATTTTTACGATCTTCCGTCATTGGCAGGTAATTGTCAGTCAATTGTCTATAGTCCCCCCTTTTACCCTGTTGGCGACGACTGTTCCCCCGGAAAACCATATGATCCTCCCAAAAAAATCCTCACCCCCCCCCCCCGGCAATTAATAGTGTCTGGTACCTTATGTCGTACGCTGACCGTGTCGTTTTGCTGGCTAACTCGAGGTTAAGGCAGCGTCTTTGTCAGCGTGAAATTATATATTATGTATTACTGATGTTTTTCTTTGCATCGACAAGATCTCACCTGAAAATCTGTCCATTATATTCAGGGATTATGACCGATTTCCAGGGCCGGTTGACAGTTTTAGTCAAACCTCGACTAAAAGATCACACATTTTCGTTCAAAAACAACACATGCTCTTCCAAAATAATGTTGCATGAAATAGTCTGTGTGTAGTCATTACTTTGAAATTTCGCAACAAACAAAAACTTTTAACTTTACGTCGTATGATCTGATTGTAAATCAAAAGTACCCATCCCCAGTAGGAGGCCGAAGTAATTAAAAAATGTTTTCCCTTTTCCGGTTAAAGCCTGCCTCGGGTTCTTCTTGCCATTTGGCATTTCTGCGAAGTAACTGAAAACTGCAAGAATGTAACATGTTGGAAGGAACGAAAAGAGCGAACTGATGTTGTTATGAGGAACGTGAAGTGGTAAGCACCTCACGAAACTGAATCTACCTTTTAAGAGGTGATCTCCGATGTGTTTGGTTCCCTCACTTCTTTGCAAACACTCAACGATCTTTTCAAAGCATTTTTGTTGGTCATCTGGTGGTAGGCTCGCCAGGGCTTTGTAAAAACTATATCGATTTTGTCCGTCGACGTTCCTATCAACATGACTTCCCCATATCTTCCCCAGGTTCATTTCTTCCAACACTCCTCGACATTCTGCAAGGATTTCCGGAAACGGAGCATCGTGAAGAATGCTGTTGTCATCCAAAGGAACTCCAAAAAACTCCACGGGAGTCTTCTGCGAGAAAAATTGGGTGTAATTATCCAGTAGAACGCCCTTATCTGGCAGGGAAACGCCAACAGTGCGCGAAGGAAATAACTTTTCTACTCCAAATACCCATGTACTTTTCAATGGACTAGGCACGATTTATCACGGGGAGGGGGAGGAAGGGGTATACAGACGCTTTTAGCAGTTTCACAACACAAAATTTACCTAGTCCCCCCATGAGGCTCTGTAATATTCATATGACCCCACCCTTCCCCCGTGATTGGCAGTTAACCTAAATCCAATTTTCTTTACATAGTGCCCCTTTGTGCTCTGTTGGAGACGACTGATCTCCCCTCCGTTACCCCTGAAAATGATGTGACCCCCCCTTCCCCTGGTGATAAATGCTGACAAGCTGACAGATTCCAGTTCCTTACTAGGGTCGTAAACACTTTTTCAAGTCATTCACGATCATTTTCAATGGACTTTGGTTGCTATGCATTACATATTTTCCGGGAAGAGCCTGGGTATGTGCAGACGATTGCTGTTGGCTTTCAACGATGTTCTATGCTCCCAGCCTGCCCGCCCATCAGGACAAAGTCAGTAAAACGGCGTTTGGTTTAGTCCAGTTTATTTTGCTTCGAGACAGAAGTCAAAACCACGTCTTTGCAGTATTGCTTTTTACCTGATAATACCCTTACCTCAATGTCTCTTTTTCGAGGGGGAAGGTCCATTTCTAGTTTGCACAGTTTATTTTCTGGCTTCTTTTCTCTGCTGTTGTAGAACTCAATTTTTAGCCATCCTTTGTCGACAACGCGTACCCTCAAACTCCTCTTAAAGGAATCATCTTTTTCAAATCTGCAAGGCATGGAGGAAAAAGTCTTAACGTATAAAGAAGATTAGGGATAATCGTCTTCTAAAGTTATCAAAATTTTTCCTAAGTTCTTGTTAGAGTGAAGTTCGCTAAAGGAAGTAGGTCATGAAATTGTGGGCCATTTGGAGCAATGATTGAAAAATAAAGGCTAAAAGCTGTGCAATAGCTAAGGCGGTACCTTCGTTACATGACCGTCATGATTCGAGCATTGATATTGCTCTGCCAAATCGCAGCTGCGAAAAATCATTTGATTATCAAGTTCTTACAAGTAACTAACACTTCTCCGCGCAACTTCGTCATAATGATAGTATCACTGAAAATAAATTTCAGATTCACAAGGAGGCATAGTACATTGGCCGCTTGCAAGCACAGCTGAATGTTCAGATGCAATTGTAATTTTTTGTCCACATAGATTTACTTTTCAAGTATTACATTCGTGCTTGCTATTGTGTAATTCAACTATTGTAACGGTTCTAGTTTCAAACATTCCATTTGATTTAAAATTATAACGTATTTGCATGTAACGTGTCAAAACATTACAACGCTGATGGCATGAGTCACACCGAAACATGGCTTTGAAAAGTTCTCTCGTGAAACTGAAATCTATTTTAAGTATGGGTAATAAAATTATTTCGAGTGCAATTTGGTGTTAATAACCACGATTAAATTTTGTACAGACAACAAAATTGCACGAGCCCGTAAAGCAATTGCAATTTGTAGTCTTTGAAAAATGTACAAGTGCCTATTACACCAAATTGCAAGATAAAACATGTTATTACTTGATAATAATGTACATGAAAAAACATCACAGAGACACGACAAACGAAATTTGAAACCGTGCACGCGCTAGTTGCAATCTTCATTCGTGTTACATGATGATGCACTCGTTTTCAGCCAATCAGGAGCGCTTAATTTTTTCATGCATATTATTATAATAAAAAAGTAATGATCAACCACATTTAATCCATGAAACTTCTCCGAAAGTACAAACACTTTTTGGAACTTCACGCAAAAATATCCAAACACTCTGCAATCATTCTAAGACTTGGTCTGAAAATATTTTTTGATATGGTCCTCGACTAGCATTGTATGCTGCATCTTAAATTTCTAACATCTGATGGACAAACAGCCACTCGACCAGATGAATTTGCGAGTACCGACTAAGTTCAAATTACCTCAAGAGAAGGTGACTCACCCACCATCATGGTCACAAAAATTTCACATTTCTTGTTAATCAATATTTTGTTATTTCAGATCAAACTAGATGTTCTAGGTATCGACAAATGCCTACCGAAGTGTTACCTGACAAAAAAGTCTTCTAAATCCGCGACCTCGGCCGGCTGAACCACGCTCCCTGAAAAAAACACATAAGCCACGTCGTGAGGTGCCATGTAATCCCATGCATTTTCTTCTTCCAACAAGAATTCCTCCTCATCTTTAATGTGCTTCCGTGTCGCGTTACTTGAACTGCAAATCACACGCAGCATTTTTGTAGAACCTAAGCTGGTATTTGCTGGAAGACAAGCTGTAAAAACTGCCACTTGGGGCACATTGTGTGTGTCAAAGCTACGTGCTAATTCGACCATTTGTGACAAGACTGGTTTAACGCACCAATCTATCCAGCCCCAAAGTCTGCAACCAAACAAAAGCAACACCAGAATTACCTCCCTCCTGCAACTAGCTTGAGCTTAAAACATAAAATAATCCCCTTGCCATTCAAAAAATATATAACGATACTGATAACGATAATACTAATAATAATATTAATATTATCAATGACAAAATCAAGCAAAATACAACAGAAGCAAAAGCAGAGCTCGTGGTTTTACAAAGCGCAAGATGTGAATCATTTGTAGACGGTGCGAACAAAATTTCGACCCCTGATTGACGAGTGAGGCGAATTTACATAGGTAAGATGATGTTTGAAATCTGATATTGTTTCGAGAGATGCCTTTAATCTACTTACAAGTAAATCGAATAAGATTGGGATGCAGGCGTATCGCAAGAAAATAATTCACGCTCTAAATAAACATCAGCTGTAAGTTCCCTGATATTGTCGTGCTAATTTCAACCCGATCTTCCTTGATTCCCTACGTTTTATTTTGCTTTTAGTTCTTTTTGTTCCGAGTTGAGGTTTTTCAAATATTGCTCCAATAGAGACGCAAAGCGCTCATAAAACATCTAATAATTTGAAAGCAGATGGTTACTTTGGCATACCTCGAGAAGTGCTTCACACTGAATTTGATGACAGTCCCCTCCAGCCAAGGGGGGGAATCAAGAACATCTGTAATTTCGGTCCATTCTCGTTCTGTTCCATCAGATGGTTGCAACAAGACTCGGGCACGGACGAATGACAGATCAGGAATACCCAATAACTCAGCATCCTGATCCGTGTCTCTTAAGGATAACGGCAGCTGTACAGTGACTGGTTCCTGGAACTCCACCTCCCTACTGCACAGAATACTGAGTATCGGGCCAGCCAACATCTCCTTGTTTCTTAACTCTCTGCTGCGAAATTCTTGGATCTACAAGCAATGGAGAAACAAAATTCAGTCAGTTGGACGAGAAAGCGAGCCAACAATAAATTGTGGCCAGCGTAAAATCCATTTCTAAAACAAGATAATTTGTTTTTATCAACTGAGTTGCTGATGTAAATTGCCCACTATAAAGAGATCTTGAGCTGACTTTTCGAGCGTTAGCCCCTCTTCAGAACTAATATTAATCATATGAAATATTCATTTATTTAAGACTTCACGTTGCCATGCGTTGAGTGGTAAGAGAAGTTTTCCTCACTGTTTTCCTCGAACTTCGCCCTTGGTCGCATCTCGGAACAGATAATGTCCGCGGACAAATATCCGTGCACGTTTTCGCGCCAAATGAAGGCTACTGTTTATATATAGCGACAGAAAAAAAGAACAATTTTGGGCTTAACCAATTTAATAACTGGAAAAAGAAAACGAACTAAAAAACATTTTTTTGCTTGACTCAAAGAACCACAAAAAATATTTTTTGCCCAACTCAAAGAACCTAGCCGTAATTGTTTAGCGCAATCAGACACTTACTGTGACAGTCACGTGCAATTCTTCTGCGGCGGAGACTGCGTTTGAGGGAAAGTGCACTTTGACCAATGGGAAGCCTGGCAATGAAAGGGTGGACGGTTGCGAGGTTATGGTGAACTTGTGGGCCTTGAGACGGCAAACCACTGCAAATGTGGAACACTGGGTAATTTTAGTCTCAGCAACAGGAAGGCAATAATCAGGAAAATCATCGCGATAAGCCATCTGCAGATCTGAAAATAAGTCAAGGATGAAAATTTAGAACAAGTTACCAGTTTAAATGAGGGTCACTGCACTTGATAACGCCTTGAAACTTCGTCGTTTTCGGCTCGTTTATTTTCATTTGTGACTTGGTAGGTCGACACTCTTCTCTAGTATGTATATTATGGTGTTATTGTTGGAAGCTTTGTACTGTGTAAGTAATGTTAGAATGATAAGTCATCAAACTCAGAAATGTTTGTTGCGCAAGTTATCTGTTAAGTGGATCGTGTCCATATCAAATTCAAGTAAAATAAAAACTAAACAAAACAACACGGAACAAAAAAGGAAAAACCTTAGTTTAGTGTTGTTGTTCATTTCAATGCCATACGGACCATTTTGAAAGAGCCAATTTTTATACTGTTTGAGTGAAGGGGGTTTTCGATAATGCAGAAGCATCAAAACATGAACTATAAATCCTTGGAAAATACAAGTTAAGAAATCAACAAGCAGACATTTTCAAATAAGACCTAATGTGTAATAAATTGACGATAAAAGCCAGCCTCTACCTGATACAGATCGAAAGTCGACTGTTTCTTCAGCCTCTTCCCATTCATTTCTTTCTGCGTCTGTCAAGTTCTTTATCACCACTTCATATCCTCTAAGGTCCGGTCCGCTGTGCGAAATTCCCACAGTGACTTGTTTTTTGAACTGAAGACCTTCAGCGCCTTCTGCCGATAGTTCAAGAACATTACTAACCACGGCTTCATTTGGCTGAAGAGGAGGTGAACGCTGGGAGGGTTTCCATCTGAAAAGAGTCAGCGCAGTGTCTTTAGCAACAAAACCAGGTGGAAATACCAAGTGAGTTGCTGCCTTCCTCGCGTCCCAGTGGCCACCTTGTACTGTTACAGTGTCTCTGTGAGATTCAAGATAATAAATAATTAATTTTTGGTAATCTTGTGACTGAGTTTGATTGATAGAATAGATGATGAGACTTCCGTTAAAAAAATACTTTTCATCATGCAGTGGGAGAATCAAGAATGACTTCAAGTAATCAAAACTGAACTGACGCTCAGTCATTAAACAATTCTTCGCGAAGGGTGACGGGAAAATGTCGAATTCTTCGACATTAACATGAATCTACATTTGTTCTATCACAAATACTGAAATCTGATTGGCTACGCTACTCGCTATTTATTCCGTGATAGGCAGTGAGAAAAGTGAGATGCATGACGTTTTGCGGTTGGGAACAAAATAAAATAAAAACATACACGAGCCTGTCTTTTTGTTGAGTTTCGGACGACTACTTGACTACTTAGACTACTCGCGAAGCCTAAGGAATATGATTCTTAAAGTCAAGTTCCTAGAGCAAGTATCAGAGGAACTGAATTGGTTTTTTTTTGTTTGTTTTCTTCCCCAGAAACATAGTAAAAAGATAGATAGCGGCTATTTTCAATTCAGTTCTTCGCTATTGTAATAATTTCTAGCGGGTTCATTATAGCAAAATACGGAGAATTCTCGACCAATCAGAGAGCACGTCTCCACGATCATCTGTGTAATTATTCGAAGATGAGATATTGAAAAACGAAATTTTGTTACTTACTTGAAGATGATGGTTCTGTCCTCAGTTTGAACATCTTCATCTGTGTCTACTTGCTCCTCAGCTCCAACCTCACTCTCTTCTTCTGAACCAATTTCGATCTCCAATTCTTCTTCTTCACTAACCTTCTCCTCTTCCTTCGGTGTAGGAGAAGTCTGTGCAGCTATAGGAGAAGATAGAAAGGTCAGGAGAAGGCAACATGCTATAAGTAAAGCCATGGAAACTAAAAACCAGGCAAGAAGGAAGTCTGGATCTTTGACAGCATGAACCGTCATAATATTTCTCTTTCAGATGTTCGAGTTCACGAAAATTCAAAATTCTCTATAATTTTAGTACCTCTTGGCCTTAATTTGGCTCCTGGATGTTTCCCAGTTTCATTCAGCGCCTGGAAACAAAACACAACAGTTGAAGACAGAAGCTTAGAAACTACAAGTATCTGAAATTTTAATGAGAATTCCTGGACCTGTTTGCCGCGATAAATCATGAATCAAAAAAGTTCATGTTTACTAATATATCCCGATAAATGTACAAGCTCATCTGCTTGCAATATCAGTGTCCAACAATGAGGATTTGTCGCCAGTGGTAACTACATCAAATCAGAACAGAAAACAGAGCAAAACAGAACAAAAACATACATTAAATGATGGGATTAGCCCTTTTCCTCCCAAGAGTGACCAAGACAGAAGTTCTCCTTACAATACCAATGCAATAACAAGCAGAAAAGTTGTGAGAATAAAGAAAAATATCCATAAGGATATTACAAGTTGATCCAAAACCAAATTATCCAAAATAACATCATAAGAATTGTTTGGTAGAAAGTAAGGAGAATCACTAATGAGATCTTGGAAGTAAAAGAGTTAAGTCATGTGCAAAGTGAAGAGAAAACAGCTGATACAAAAAGCTGCTTGCACAACAGACAAGGTCGATGTTTACTTTTGTTGATAAATAAGCGTGATCTTACCTGTAATGCAATTTTGTAAAACTTCTCGCTCGTGTAATCTTCAATGGACGATGCCAACTCTTTGAGTTTACGAAGAAACTTCTTCATTTCACGGTCCTTCATCTCAGCATGTTTTATCTCCCATATCTCCTCATAAAAGCTCAATGCTTCTTGTCCATACCGTCTGTACATGTTTACTTTTTTGAGTTCCAGGCACAGATTGAGAATTCCCTCGATTGTTCTCTCCCTTTCCAAGCCGATCTTCTCTGTTTTTTCGTTACTTTTTCCTTCTTCCCACTGCTTTTGCCACAAATCCAACAATGTCTCTCGAAATTTCACGATCATTCCTTTTTGTCCTGTCTCTTTGTAAAGTTCTTCTACCTTCATCTTCAATGACGCTTTGTCCGACCTGTCCTCTTTGTTTCCAAGGAAATCCGCTCTCACCAGACACATTTTGTACAAAGCCACCTTGTCCATTTTGTATTTCCTCACCTTCTCGCGTTCCTTAAGTCGAGAACAGAGCACCACTGTGTCATCCAAGAGATTTTCCCTCTCACTCAGCATGACACAGAGAGCATCATTATCAGTTTCCAAATCAAAGTCCTCTTGAAACTCTCTCTCGTTGGCATTGCACCTCGCCTCGTAGAACCAAAACTGTTCCTTTTGTACTACAGCTTTGTCTTTCTTGTCATGAGCAAGATCATTCAGAGCATCAACGATGCCTTTGTTAAACATATTGAAAGTGAATTGTTGAGAAGCTTTCTGTTCTTCCCAGAAACGTTGACAAAACTTGAAAGCCTCTTTCCTAAATGACCTCTTCCGTAGAAAACTGAGTGTCCAATCACACATATCTTCCACACCTGTGATAATCTTTCGCCACACTTCACTATGGTTTCCTGCATCAAGTGACTTTTCCATCTCCCATGCTTCAAGAAACAGCTTCAAAGCTTCTTTTGGGTGTTTAAGATTGGCCTGAAGGACCCCTCGTTGAAAAATGCTGCGCACAGTCTGTGGGTGATTTCCGAGAAGCTTCATCCTTATGTTGTAAGCCCTCTCTGAAGGTTCAATTGCCTCTTTATATTTGTCTTGAAACATGAGTGCATTAGCAAGATTTCTTGAGAAGAGTGCCTCGTCCAAATCACCTAAAAGTTTAAGATCCTCCAAAAGACTTAGTGCATCTCTGTACCATTGAACCGCCTTTTCATAATCTTTAAGGCCTTCATACGCAGTTCCAATCTGATTCTTGTACATTGGCATGTCAAAGTGATTCTCTGATCCTAATTTCTCTTGCATTTTGTAGGCTTTTTCATAGAACTCAAGCGCTTTCCTGGGCTGGTCCAGGTGAAAAAAGCTGTTTCCAATAGCATTGTAGCACCTTGCAAGATCAGTATGCTCCTTTAGCAGTGGTTCAGAGAAAGTTAAGGACAACTCCAGACTTGCCAGTGCCTTTTTATAGTCTCTGTTTCTCCAAAGGATTTCACCTTCAGCTTGCAAGTAAAGCCCCTTGGTGAGCATAAAGGATTCACTACTTTGATCTTCAACTTTCTCCAGTGAATTCAGAGCTTCCCTCAATGTTTCAAATCCTCTCTCTGTTCCATCAACATCTGAAACTTCCCTGGCTTCCCAGGACTTTAACTGCGCTCGGCAAAGAGAACCTATACAAAGATGAAGAATCAAACTAATAAACAGATATCACTGCTGATGAAGTGTGCTCAGTATCTATAAATGACAAAGTGTAAATTAATTATCACAAGACATATCTTTTTTTGTTTTCAATAACAGTTCCCCAAGAAGTGGTTTAAAAATTTCACTTTTTTTGTTTTTCTTTCTTTCTTTCTTTTTTTCTTTCTTTTTTTACTATTTTTGTTATCTGTCTTATCCTCAGAGTCCCTCCTAAGTAGCTTCTCCCCAGTTCCCTTGTGGAATTACATAAGTGATGGTAATAGGACTTCTGGGAGTAAATTGGTGAATAATTTCAGCTTGACTGATTGCACAGTGCAGGCTGGCTTAAAAATTAGTGGCAAAATTACCCCAGAGCTGCACAACACAAAAATTCCAATTGACTGTATCAACAGCAAAGTACAAGTAACAAAAGACTGAGACATAAAATATCTGCAATTGCCATGACAGAGCCACCTTAATCAATATATTAGCTTAAAGCTCATCAGAACCTGGATAGCCTCCTCACTAAAGATTTTTCTTGAGTTTGGTTTGCAAGGTATAAAATAAGGTAGTCACTCAAATTTCAGCGACTCGTAGCTTTAGCACCAAAATCTAGTTAACTATTCCAGATAGGTCAAGTCTGACATTTTGGTGGGATAATTGTGCACATTATGTAATCCAAAAGTGGCTCTGTCAAATTTTAATTACTTGCATATAGACCTCCTCCACTGTTCCAATTGCCAAACTGCAATAACAGTTTAAACGGCCATGTGTCATTACATTAACCATCATAGATGGCAGAAAGCCACAAGGTTACATGATAAACTAAATGTCTAAACTTAAGAACATGGGATTTAATGATGGACAGGAGAGCTGATGATGGGGTTCAGACAAAAGCAAAAATATATAGAAAGGTGTTTATATAACAGGAATTCCCATGAGAGAATAATACTGCCTCTAATTACAAAAGAGATAATAACTTCATACTAACTGAGCATAAGGGCCATACTGAGGTATATTGGCCAGTATTGACGGTATGGACCGAGCATAGCTCCTTCTGTACTTAAATGACAGGGAACAATGTTGACCAGTATGGCTCAAGCAAGCAAGCAAGGTCAGTACTGTAGGTAATTTATTATACAGAACTTGGACCAAACTTTTTTATTTTGAGTTTAATGCCTTTGCAAATAAAAATACATGGCTTATAACTGTGTCTGAAGAAATGGTCCATATGGCAAAATCTCAACCAATTAAGATCCAATCAGAATACTCAGATTTACCTCAGGACTATCTTGCCATATAATAAAATAAGGTAACTATTGCAATAAGTTAAAACTACATGTAAGCTGTTTCAAAGAAACATCTTCCATGTCTCCCCAGACAATGAGGTTAAGCTAAATATGAGATTTGGACAATATCGATATCACATGAAAAGTTTCACTGCCCCTCACCTGTTTTTCCATCATCTTCACACATCTCAGCCCAGGAATGAAACACCTTGATTATTTTTTTATGATTCAGCATTGCAGTGAAAAGAGATGCAATCAAAGCAATCTCATGGAATTCACCTCGAACAATGAAATACTCTGGTTGTAAGGAGACCTCAACAGTAAACTCATAGTTTCCTCTGTCTTTCTCAAACAAGTGGAATGCTCTGACATATTCTGGCTCAATCAGTTTGGCAATTTTCTCCATCCTGGACATAAAAAGTTCATAAAAGCGTGCTTTTGCCTCCATGTAAGGAGCAAGAAAATCTTCATGATTCTTGATACTGTCAGCATACTTCCATAAGAGAGGGTGAATATCATACTTCCTTTCTTTTGCTTCTTCATCAACAACAGAAATTATTTCGCTGGCTACAAGACCCTCTAACTGAACAATGGCCTCTGACAGGTCAATACCAAGAACTTTCGCAGCTGTTTCCACAGAGAAAGGCCCATGAAACAAGGAAACCACTACTGCAGATAACTTTAACCTTTCTGTGGAAAGTGTCTCAAACATTAAACTGACTGCTGACATCTGATTGATATCCACTCCTTCTTCATCAAAACCAGCAAGCTTTCCACTCACATCCAGCTCCACTTTCATTTTTTTTAGAGCATGCACAATTTCTGCAATAAGTTCTTCTGGAGATTTTCGTTCTTGTCGCATAATAGCTCCTAGTCCTTTTAGAAATAGAGGGAATCCTTTAGTGATGCTCATTAAATTATCCTTCTGCTCTCGTTTAACATTAGTCAATCCCTTAGGAAAAATTAGTTTCTCTGAAGAAATCCTCTCTAGCGAACCCACTTCAAAATCATCCATCCTTTTGGGACCTCTTAACTCAGTCTTAGAGGTAAGAAGCAGCTTTAAAGGAAATTGTTCTCCTTTGCTTTCTGAGAGCTTTGCCAAAAATTCCATAAAAGCCGTTTTCAAGTTTTTCCCTTCTTTACCTTTTCCTGCGGTAAAGAGGTCTACATTGTCCAGCATAAATAGAACGGCATCTTTCTCACCTTTAAACTCTTCAACCTTCTCTAGAACTTTGGTAACAACATAATTTTGATCAACACGACCAACTGGGATTACTAGTTCGAGAGAATGCAGCATGCTGTAATAGATCGCTTTCATATCCTTTGCTTCTCGTAAATCAAAAACTCGATACTTCCCTCGCCACTGTGAGCAAACTTCAATGGCAAGCTTTGTCTTTCCTACACCAGACGACCCAAACAAGTTTAGTACTACGGTGTCTTTCGATTCCAGTTTTTTGTTAATTATTTTGATTTCTTCGCTCCGTCCTTGTAACTTCTTCTCTGGATCACCTTTACCCAAACGTGAGGCCTTGAAACGATCTATATCTTTCTTAATGAGCTTCTCCTCGTCAGATTTTGTAGCAACGAAGTCTTCGATTAGATTGAGTTTGTTGTCAGATACATAGCCATGCTTTTCAAGAAGTTGAAAACATTTCATCAGATCGTGACTATCCAGCAGATCAAATTTCCCTCCATAATTCTTTTTTAAAGTTTTCACGATGCTTTCTGATTCTACAGCTTTAAATTTTGGAGAAATGTCTTTGAAAAGTTGTTGTAAACCTGGCGCACTTTCGATACCAACTGCCGCCATCTTTGATAACTTTTTTTTCAACCACGATACTGCTGACCGCTCCGTATGTCCCCACGCGTGTACAGTGACAAGTCACGCGATCTCATCACGCATACCCCAAAATTTAAGTAAGTACAACCATTCAGGCTCGGTAGGTCAATCTCTTTTGGTCTTTTAAACCTTGATTTATTCACCCATTTATTCCTTTTTTTTTCTTTTTTGTAAATTTATATCATACATTTCACTTTTGTGCTACGATAACTAGGCCATCATTTACTTAGGAAAGATCTGAATAACACGGGACGCACCGTAATCAAAACTTCCCCTGGTCTGTTCGCGTGCGGCTTAGCACAAACTTTAAGCTTGCTCTGGCGTATTCATCTCAAACTGGGCGTAAAACTAACGTCGTAAAACTAACGTCGACTTGTGAGGTGTTTTTAAGCGCTGGACTCTTTTTCCTGGATGGGGCTACGTTGTGGCCTTAAGCAAATCGCTTCACTCACCTTGCTTCGTCTTCTCGGATAAGACGTTAATTTCTTAATTTCCCACGCACGAGATTTCTTTTAAACCACCAACTTGAAAGATACATTGATGTTAAAACCTGTTTTTAATCATTGTCCTTGTCTTGTAGGGAGGAATTGAACCTAGGCGTTCCCAAGATGCTTGTTATGATTATTATTTTTACCAAAAGAGCCGACTCAAATTTAAAACGCTCTTCTGCTGCTCCTGAGATATAATCCCCGAGAGAGTTATCCGACGGCACGAAAACTAGGCTTTGCGACCACTAAGGTTAGGAGTGTAGTCAAGATTGGAGGAAAGAGGAGAAACTTCATTACAGGTAAGACGAGTTTGTAGCTGCTGACCGCAAGCGATACATGAGCTAATAGCAGGCTCAATGATATTGGAGGCAAGATCGTACAGATCGAGCAAAATTGATGATGGGACTAGGCAGGTGAACGGCAAGAAATAAGCACTAAGTAAAATCGCCATTTGCTATCAGAAAAAGCAAAGAGAGAAGGCATACTGCGGAAGCAAAATTAACGAAACACACATGTCACAGAAACATGATTTTATGTTCTTGATTTTTCTTATTTTCAGAAGTGACATTTAAACTAAATTGCAGCTTAATCGAGGCCAAAAAAAGAATAGCCGGAATACGATGGAAAATATCTCCGAGAAATCTATGCAGGTGAAATAAACTAGGGTTGAAGAGTTTGCAAGTTTAAGGGAATTTCTAAGCTGTTTCATCGCTGTTCCAGAAATATTTCCATTCATAGGGTTGAGCACTGTCATCCAAAACAGTGAACAGCACCACAAAGCCTTAAAGAATCTTGAGCCACAGAGGTTTCTTTGATAACAATTTGATCTGAGTTGTTTATTGTCACGTTAAAGGTCGGCTCTACTGTCATGTTAAGGATCTATGGCGAAAATAAAAAGACAAAAAGGTAAGTGCACACAAGTTAGATTGACACATTAAGCATTCTATCCTACCTCTACCTATTATGCAATGGAAATTAGCGCAAAAGAACCTGCTTTATCTCCCAGGTCAAGTTGATGAGATGACCGGACGAAATCCAAATAGGCATGTTTACAGTGCATCTTTGCCTTTTTTATTTCTATTTTTTTGTGTGATGTAAGTTGTGAAATCGGATATACTTATGTATGACGTAAACGTGGTTTAAAAAGTACCAGATTTAAGACAAGATATTTATGTAATGAACAACTAAACAATGAAAGGAGGAGAGCAAGCGAGAGCCCCACGCTAAAACTCACCTATGAAGGCACTGCTTGATCAAGGGTGAATGGCGATATATCTGACAATTTCCTTAGCTATTGTACTTGACTAGGATAATGTCCACGCGTAATTCCAAAGTTATTTTTGTGCGTGTTTTGGCCTTTTTTCCTCAATTTCTTCTATTTGCAAGTGACTCAATTTCCTGCAACTAGGACAAGACAAAATTCCTGTTAGTGAATGGACCAGCATTTGAGGCGGTCTTCTTTTGAAGACTGTGAGAAAAATTCCCATGTGCGGACAGGAAGCTAGCCAACACTTCAGGGACCAGTTCTTGGAGGGCCGATTAGCGCTAACCCAGGGTTAAATTTTAATCTAGGTTTCTACATTTCTCTGTTCAAAAGCCGGTTGAGGATACTTTTTCCCCATTTGTTTTTGGAGCGTTCAATCATCAAATGGAAGACAGAAAGAGTTAAGCTGAATATTTTCTTTTCAAACTTTCAGACCTTAACTCAAATTTATGCCAGCATTGAGCACTCAAAGTTCAAAATGCTGACTCGCTCAAAAATTCTACCAACATTGATTTCGTAAGATAAATATGGATAAACTTATACGTGATAGATTATTCTTAGTTCAGTTTATCTGAGTGGTCCCACTTTAAGTGACCGTTCAATCCAGGTGGGGGTACAATACAAACAGGCCGTTGGGAATCAGTAAAGGGTGACCACGATCGCTTAATAGAGGTGACCGTTTAACAGAGGTGAAAATTACAGTAATTAAAGGAGTACAAATTTCGGGACTTTGACAACCGACCGCTTAATACAGGTTCGACTGTATTCGTCTTCACACAAACGTGGAACAAAGGAGAGAAATCTGGTTCTCCCACGAGGAATCGAAACCTCAGACCTTTAGATTCCGTGCTGCGATGTTGTACTACAGAACTAAATTTTAAGGAACGAATCTTGTGAGTTAAGCCGTTACTTAAATGTTCCTACGTGACAGGCACCCTGCGTACTGCTAGGATCAGCAATGTTTGAGGAGATAATAAGTGTATTCCTCAACTAAATAGATATCAATTGATAACCAGGATCAGAAAGATGACAAATTATGTGTTTGGTGGTGGAATAGAGAGAGTTGTCACATATCAATTTGATAACAGCCTAACTCACAGTAAAGCTCCTCGGAGCTCAGCTGTCGTACAGAATCGGAGCAAGGATCTCGAAGGTCTGAGGTTCCATTCTACGTTGAGGAATCGCAGTTTTACTCTTTGTTCCGTGCTCGTGATGAGACATTTACCATTTTTCCCTATTCCAACAAAAAGCTCAAACTTTCGCATTCTCCGTATTACGTCATACTAACGTAGTAGTGGAACACGTTTGACATGGCCTTAAGCGGTAAAAAAAGACTCTTAAAGAGTTCGAAATTAATATTTTCACAAAGCTTAGACTATTCTTACCATAACTTATGTCCCACATCTTCTTCACGAGAATTTCACACTGTTTTTCCCAACCATACATCTCTTCATAGGAACGCCGTATCTGTCGAATCTCTCGAAGTCGCTGTCGTCTTTCCTTCTGGCGGACACCGGCGATTTCCTTTGCCCATACTTTGGGTTCCTTAGATTTAACAACAACTTTTTTACCTGATGGCACAGTGCACAGTGCTTCTCCAAATCCAGAACAGCCACTGACAAGAATGGGAAGACCAGCTGACAAAGCCTCCAGGGCCGTTAAGCCAAACCCTTCCACTCTTGATGGCATGATGCACAGATCCACCTCCCGAAATAATTCTTCCAATTGCTCTTTGCTTTGCACAAACTTTCTTACAGTTAGCTGATCATCAGGAATTCCATTCTGAAGCAAATATTCTTTAATCTCCTCCTGTTTTCCGTCAGGTGCACCCACAAAGATCAGGCGGTAAGTAGGGTCGCTCAGTTCGGCTATTGCCTTGGAAGCTATATCGTATCCTTTGATTTCAAGGTCCTCTCGATCACTCCGACCAAAGATTAACACCCTAAAGTTTTTATTGTCTACTGCATCTTCTATGGTCGAAAATTCACTGAAGATGCCTGGAGTCAATTCAATTATGTCTTGCTGTTTGCCACAGGAGCGAAGATAAGCTGAGAAGGTCTCCTTTAACTTAGGTCCAATTGCGACAACAGCATCTGCTTGTTTACATAACTCTACTTCGGTTTCTTTCTTCTCCTCACCCTTTGAAATGGCCTCGGGATAATCTTTGTGCATTCCTAGATCCTCAGGTGAGGTATGAACTACCTGAATCCACTTGCAACCGTGTGATTCTGTGATAAACTGGGCTTGTTTACCAAGCTTCTGACCATGACCCACTACTACATCAATTTCCAGGTCTTTCGGTGGAGTTATCAGCCAGTCAAGGGGGTCACTGTAACCTGTACGACTCTGTACTTCCCTGATGGCAACACTGTGGCTTTGTGCGAGTCTTTTCTCCTCTTCAGAGCAGCTAGACGGTGGGACGAGGAGAGTGACTTCCACTTTAGAGTGCCCGCCCAATTGAATGGCGAGGTATCTGTTAATGGTGGACAATCCTCCCTTTAATGAACTCCACTCACTTGCCAAAAGAGAGACTTTCAATTTTGAGTCGGACCCTCTTGGATTAACTCGAGTTCCTCGTTCGCTTTGTGACGTGTCAGTTATATTTGAAGACGCCTGCAACAAAAGAACCATTTCTTTAAATGAAAAAAGTATCACAACGGACTTTCAAATCAAATCATTCGAATTACCGAACGAAGAAGGTGGACGTAGATAAATGTACACATAAAAAAGATGCTGTGTAATGCTTTCTTTGCCGTAGCTTTGCAAGACAATCTCAGAAGTTGTCGTGTTAACATTTCTCATATGACAACCATGGACCACATTCGGCACATACTCAAAGATTCAATTAACAAGACTGCTACTTGGCAATTTCAGTTTGCATAGTATATCTATATGACTTCTTTGTGGTCAGTCACACCAAATGTCAATCACAGAGCAGTTTTCATGAAGCTAAGCTCAAAATATAAGGATTCATGCAAAATCACAGCAACACAAACTCACAATCATTTCTGGTTTCCTGGGTAAGGTTGTACGTGGAAAGAACTGAGAGGATAGATATGAATCCTTTAAAAAAAAACAACAACAACAATCACCAATAATATTTGCTTACAACTAAATGAAAAACATTCAGACGTTATCAATGTTAGATTTAAAGGTAATGATAACATTTTTCTTAAACTCAACCCAACACCTTTAGTACGTTTAATACAAATCTGCTCTAGGTTGACCTAACTAAGCTCCAAAAAGGGATGTAAATTCAACGCTTATCCGCTGATGGGGCGGCTGTGAATCGTGTAAATAACCACTGCGTCTACTTCTTTTTTGTCGAATAATAGTTTAAAAATAAACAGTCAACAATTTCTCAATAAGTTCTACTATAACTGTACCATGAAGGTGTTGATATTTTTATCACAATAAAGGGAAGAGTGAGTCAAAGTAGGATGAAGTTTAAGCCCTTTGTATGTCATTTTGACAACGTCAAATCTGTACCAAAGGAATTACGTACAGATGACCCCTGTAATCGAGTAGGGGATGAGTGAGGAAAACAACCTAACTTCTTAGAAGTAGCTTTTCTAATCATGTTTGCCGCTAATTAATTAAGATGACGATTGTGTCAATCCGGCATAGTTTACATTCGTTGTTGTGCCTTTCTACTGCAAATTGAGAAAGATCAATCCAACTAAAAAACAAGAAGAAATACCTGCGATGGAGATCTTCGAATAATAATGGGAACTGTACATAACCATTCAGGGTCTGTCCTATCCTGGGCGTTAAGCCGTTTCAAGAAGTCTACTGACATGTTACTTTCATCTTCAATAGTAACGAACACATAATCTTGGTCCTCTCCATCATGATAAAACCTGACACAAGAAAGAAAATAACATATTCTCCGTTGGTGTAAAAGCAATCCAACGGAGACTCTTGCGACCAAAATTAATTAGGAAATCTGTCTGCAGAAAAACAAACTGAGCTTATACTTTGCGAGTTGCTCTAGTAATTTATGCCCAGTTTTCGTATCTCTCTGTCGCGCATTTTTAACGAAAACTCATTACCACGCCCTATGACCATATGTCTATCATGTAAGATGCTGCTTCTAACAGAATGACACTAACAGCTCTTTGGTGGGATGTCCACCCGACGGATCAGTAGCAAAGCTACCATAATTGATTCCCGATTAAATTCTGCATATTTTGCTGGCCTTTCTGCTTGTGTTCTAAACGTAACCTCTACATTCTAGTTGCCTATCATCTCTTTATCTTACTTCATTTGGCGGTGGTACTCCAAAACGATTTTGTCTAAGATAAAATTTAAAGATTAAGGGAATCGTTGGAGTGCAGATTTGCTGTGGGGGTCTGAAACAAGATTTTACAACTGCAGTTTTCTGCTTAAGGCCCTATATAGTATGCAAAATGAAATGTACATCACAGAAAATAACACCAAGCGGTAGTAATCAAGATATGAGTAACAAACACTTACGTTAAGGAGAGGTTGTCAGTATCTCCTCCTTCGTGCACCTTCAGTCCTTTTGAAAGAGAAACAGACGTTTCGTCTTCGTTGAATAGAGGTTTCTTCGAGTTTCCATCTCCTTGAAAGATCACATCGTAATTCAACTTTACCATATTCTTATTCACTTTGGATTTCAAATGAAGTGGGAAACAAAATAGCTTCAGCAAGTATCTTTCGGGTAGAACATCCCGACACATGCAAGCTAAAAACCCAGCTCGTTGTTTCATCGATCTCCTGTCCAGATCAGAGACATCACCAGCATCAACACCAGCAAGATTAGCAGCCACCCTCAAAGGCAAAAATCTGAGAGAAAACGATAAGGCATCATTTTAAAAATCATCGAAAAAACATCTTCTTTTCCTAACATTTAAGAGAAGCACTTCACAGGTGGTTACTTTCTAGAATAACAGATAGCTTGGAAAGTACGCTGTTCATCACTAACTTGGTATTGTTGGGAAAGCGTGGCCTTTAAAATAGACTGCTTTGGCCATTACCGGTGCCAATATCAATGTCATCGCCGCTACGATTGTAGGTGTCGCTGTCATTGACACTGACATTATTATTGTAAAGGAATCTTCATTGTCAAGGTGATAGTCACGTTCGTTGCCAATGTCACAAATGTCGTCTTAGATTGAGTTCTTGTCTACGTCGGCATCCTTGTCTTCGTCCTCCTCCTCGTCCTCCCCCTACCCCCTACTCCTACTCCTCCTCACCGCCATCCTCACTCTCCTCTCCTCGTCCCTATACCAATGAGAACCTTTACTTACCTGCAGAAAGTTTTCACTTTGAATCTCACTATTCCATCTGTAATAGCAACTGACATCTCCAACCGATCTGTGATATCTGTCCATTCCTGCTGAAAGTGAAATATCCGCCACTGACCTGAGTGCATGTCCAACAATTCTCTATCACCCTTAAAAAGGGCAAGAGGAAGGCTGATTTTTGCTGGCTCCAAGAGCGTTATTCCATGTGAGCACGAAATGTGAAGAACCGGACCCAACAAGATTCCAACTCTGCCATCGGTGCTTGGTGCTTCCTGTACCTGTGATCCAGAAGGAACAACAAATATTTATGACACCGACCTCCAATAGTTAGAGTCAAAGTGGAAACCACCTTCAACGTTTGGGAAACCAGCGCAGAATATCCTTTGATAATATACCAAAATACCAAATGTACTTAACCACGAAAAGGTTTCTTAGAACTTGTGTACAATCGTAAGTGCATAAATTTCGCTCTTCAGTGAATGTAATAAATTAATTAATACATTACAAACAAAACAGTCTCTCTCGATCTTCACCACAGAAGAACAGTTTCCTAAGAAATTGGTAACCTTCACTCTAAGTGTTAGGTTATACCACAAATATAAATTAGTTAATTATTATAGAGGCTTCAGCATCAACTCGATGGCACGTATTCTCACAAGTTCATGCGCTAAATCAATCATAGGCCTGTGTAATTTGAGGGTGCAAATAGGAGATTATAGACCACGCTTTAGTTGAATACTTAGACCTTTGACACGGAAAACCTACGCTTCCTCTTTTTCAGTCTGCCACTGGAACCACAGGCAACCCAAGCGCCAGCTGTGAGATGATCATCTTGCGCAGTAACAGTCATGGCGGAATTATAACAGTTTGTACAGGAATACTTACGACCGAGAATTGAGAATTTGACCTAATTTTTTATTCCTTAGAGCGTTCGTAAATATTCCCAGACCAAAGTAAGATCACTGAATACTTTTTTTATAAAATTAATATATTGTTTAGCCGACATGATCAATCGTGGTTCGGATTCACTCCCAAGCTTGTAACATATAAGAGCAAGTTCTCAGAAATATTTTTACGGTATTTTATCATTAGTTCAAATCAACGATCTTCAATCAACAATTCACAATCTACGATGCTTTGACAGCTTTTCCAATAATCAACTACGTAAAGAATAACTATGAAATCTACCAAATCACATCATCTGTGCTATCCGTATCGATCTATTTAACGCTTTAGCGTGCACTATCGAGTTATGGAGCACGTGGGAAGTTTGAAGAGCACGAAAGAAGCGTAAGAGTTACCCGAGGCAATAGCCGAGGGCAACTCCAGCTTCTTGAGTGCTCTCCAAACTTCCCACGTGCTCCATAACTGGATAGTGCACAGCTAAAAGCATGAATCAATTGTTTTAGCACATAGCCGGTGGAATTGTGAAGCGAATCGTGACGAGTCTCCTTTTCCGTTATTTTTCTCTTTTTCTGCCTCATTTAAGAACTCAAGGGAAAAGGTCGGAAAATTGGCCTCGTTTTGGGACTGGTGGGCCGAGTCTCTGTTTGTATCCATTATTGTCGCGAAATATATTATTTCCCCCCGCGCTAACAATGCCCGCTTGTGCCAAAAAAAAAAAATTTCAGGCGAAGCGATTTGCTCACGCTATCCGCGTGTACTAAACCGAATCGCGGAGCTATGTTATAATTTTGAAGTGGCCATGGTTTGACTTGCAAATATACACTAATTTTAGGTACCTTCAGGTTACGTATAGAATTCCAATAGTCTGGCACTGTGCAAATAAACTGATTGCGCGGCTCTGCTAGCTATGTTATAATGTGTTTTGGCAGGTAATGGACCGTGATTGGTAAACCTTGATGTTCTCAGAGTTGCGTTTAAGTGGCCATGGTTTGACTTGTTTGAAATATACACTAATTTTAGGTACCTTCAGAGTTAAGGAGAAGTCTGCGTTGTCAGGAACAGAATTCCATGGGATTGAAACACAGACATTTGGATAGTCTGGCACTGTGCAAATAAACTTGGGGCTCAAATTCTTTGTCTTCCGAAAGACAAAAGACTTCAGGCGCCAAATAGCCGCAAAGGAGGTAAAGCTGATTCCAGAGCAAGTCGCTTCAGCATATGGGCAGTCCATAACAGCTGGATTAATTTCTTCAAGAAAGAATATGAAAAATGCATTTATTTAGTAAATTTAGTTGACTCTTCAGCATGAAGGGTACCTAGCGGGATTCCATATTAAAAACTAGGCCCTCTCTGCAGCTCCTGCTAGAGAGACAGGGGTATTACATCGACTCTCTAAAAAAATAAACGATCTGTAGCTTTGCTGTCAGATGCATTCTCACTCTTAACCTTTCAATCAAAGAAATGAATTGGCTTTAGATAACTGTCCACCTGGAATATAAGTCTCAATTGGGTATCTACACTTGTACTGTGGAAATGAATTTGTCTGCAATATATAAAGACAAGTTTTGCTCTATATGAATCCAGTATTTTGAAAACAAGTATTTTTCTCCAACCAAAAATATTCCCATAGTAAGTAGTTTATCATATGGCAATCAGACCAAACTTTTCCATTTTGAATTTGCCTACTTTGATGCAAGAAAGAATACAGGGATCACAACTGTTTCCATGGAAACACTCTGTATGGCAAAATACTGACCAAGTAAGAACCAATCAGAACACTAAGATTTACCTCAGGACTACCTTGCCATATTATAATCATCATTATTGCACCAATCAGTAGAAGATTTCCTGTGGATTTATAGCTACAATAATAACAAATATCCAGTCTGGTAGATAAATAATTTTAATAACTTGAGTTTAAATACCTGCTGAATTCCACATAATTCTTGTTTCCAAATCTTCCCATTCATTGTTTTCTTGGTCAACCAGTTTCTTAATAACTACTTCATATCCCTTGAAATCAGAGGCACTGTGCAACAAACCCATGGTTATGCATCCTGTAGCAGCTTCTCCAGACTCTAGAGTTGGTGGGCCTTCATAAGATAGTTCAATCAAATTACTCACCAAGAGCTCATTACTGCCTATGGGAGGAGAGAGGGATCTAGGACTCCACATGGAACAAGAGACCCACAAGGGTTCTTTCACAAATCCTGGAGAAAAGGTGATAAATGCACCAGCCTCTGGTAGATTCCATGTGTCTCCCTTGTCTGTTATCTCATCTCTGAGGAGCAAATAGACATTTAGAGCATTAGCCTTTGCTTTACAACCCCTTTGAAGGTTCTGTAAGAGCCCAGCACAACAAGAAAAATCATAGATAGAAAAATGAATTACCTCCTGACCACAATCTTTTTGCTGTCTCTAGGGTTTGGCTTTGAATCTTCTTCATCGGACAACTCCACCACAACTTCTTCCTCCTCCTCTGCATCATCTCCTTTTGCTGATTTGGCATCAGGCACCTTTTCCCTCTCAGAGGCTAAAAATAGTTGTTTTCCTTAAATAGCATTGCAAAAATTGCATTTCCTACCAAAACTGCATGCCTCAAACATGATTGGTGCATTAGTGGACAGTTGAAGCAGTCAATCATACTAACTAAAGTCCACTCGCTCAGCTAAATCCACCAATCACAAAATTGAAACAACTACTTACCCTGAAAAAAGAAACTGGGGAGCTTCCTAAATGGAAGAATTTTTTACTTTGAACATTGTCAATTTTGGAGATGTTTGTCCTAAGTGTATTTGTTTTTTTTTTGTTTGTTTGTTTTTTTGGAAATTCAATCAGTCATGATTAATTGGTAATTGGACTTCATGTCATCCAATTCTGTTTGTAATCATACTCATGATTGACAAATCGGACTCTCCCTTCATAGTTGTCCAATTTTGTTAATCACTAGTCTGAGAACAGACAAATTGGACTCCACTTGGTCCTATTACCAGTATTAATCTCCCTTAATTTACCTCTGTGTCTCTACAATTCCAAGTGTGTAAATGCAACTTTATACTTTGTATGCTTTGTAAACTTAACATGTGTGTCAGTTTGGGTTTGTGGGACTCAGTCCAAGAGTCAAAGTGGCTCATCCAGCTGGAGTTTATCCTGGTTTCCTGAGCATGAAGTGATTGGGAGTATTACTACTTCCCCCTAGATGGGATGCCAGTCTATTGAAAGTTTACCACCCCAGCATTTCAGCAGGCTTGCCTAAAAATTTGCCAGTATCTATTTGTAGTCCTGAATGGGGCTCAAGAGGCACTGACAGAGTAATTTAACCCTTTAACTCCCATGAGTGACCAAGACAGAATTTCTCCTTACAATATCAAAACAATATCAAGCAGACAAGTGATGAGAATAACAAAAAATATCAGTTAGGGGATTGTAAGATGATCCAATACCAAATTCTCCAAACCAACATCACAAGAACTGTATGGGAGATAGTAAGGAGAATTATTGATGAGATCTTGGGAATTAATTGGCTAAAGTATTTTGTCCAAGAACACAACACAATAACTAGATCAGCCAGGTCTTGAACCATGATCTCTTGACCTGGAGTCCAGCACACTAACCATTAGGACAATGCATCTCCCACCAAATGCTATCTACCCTTTACACCCTAACATCAGTATAAATTTTCTCCACACTGTTCTCTATACATTTCCTATGGTATTGACAAAGAGAATTTGTTTAACAATCAAGAACTTCTTTAGTTGGTGATCATATCCCTTATTCTCATGACCTCAATGATTGTTTTAAGGGTGACACTGATAGGAGGAAATAGTTCCTAACCACTCTTAGGGGTTAAGGGGTTTATCCTTTAACCTCTGAGAGTGACCAAGAGCTAATTTCTCCTAACAATATAAACCCTGCTTCAGACAGTATAAGGTCATGAGAATAAAGGAAATGATCATTGACAAAATATTTTCTTGATTGATAAACAAATTCTCCTTGTTAGCACCTAAGGATTTGTATAAAAAACAGTATGGAGAATATACAGACTGATGTTAGGGTGTAAAGGGTTAACAGCAAAATGCCTACAACATTCTAATTTAGGAATAACTTGCAATGCCAATGGCTTTTACCTGAGTGATGTAGAATTCTTTGGGTCTGGTCAGCCTTTTCTTGAAATTCTTCTTTCTTAGCACTATACATCTTCTGAAATTGTTCCTTTTCCACTTTGTAAACAATGTATTTGCCTTTCTTCTTGCTAAGAAGTTCCAAAATAGTATCAATTACTTCTTTGTCGAAATCATCAAAGCAAAACAATTTTGAGCCTTTTCGTTCTTCCCAGAGATGTTCACAAAATTTCAATGCTTCTTTTCGAAATCCTTTCTTCTGGTTTCCTTTTCCTAGATTATCATATGAGGTCTCGACACCAACAATAATATCTCGCCAAACTGGACTGTGGTTTCCTGCATCAAGTGCTTTCTCCATCTTCCATGCCTCAAGAAGGAGCTGCAAGGATCTCTCATCTTCATTCAAGTATGACAGAATCACTGCTCTCTGGTATATGCTTTGCACAGTTAGTGGGTGATTTTCGAGAATCTTCATCCTTATGTTATAAGCCCTATCTGCAGGTTCAGTTGCTTTTTTATACTCCTTTCTGTGAATGTAAGCATTAGCAAGATTTCTCAGAAAGTGAGCTTCATCCCACGAACCTAAAAGGTTTAGTTCCTTCAAAAGGCTCAAGGCATCTTTGTAACACTTGGTAGCCTTTTTGTAATCTCCTAGACCCACATAAACAGTTCCAATTTGATTCTTGTAAATTGGAATGTCAAAGTGATGCTCAGATCCTGCCACTTTCTTTTGAGTCATATATGCTTTGTTGTAAAACTCAAGTGCCTTCTCAAGTAGTTTTAGACTCGAATAGCAGTTTCCAATAGCATTGTAGCACCTCGCAAGATCAGTGTGCTCCTCTGGCAGTGCCTTAAAGAATTCCAAGGATGACTTCAAACATTCAAGTGCTTTCTTAAAGTCTCCATTTCTCCAAAGGATCTCACCTTCACAATACAGATAGAGTCCTTTGGTGAGCATAAAATAATCACTAGTTTTGTCGTTGACTTTCTCCAGTGAACTGCATCAGTGCCTTAACATCAAGAACTTCTTTACTTCCCGGCATTTCAACTGTGCTCGCATGAGAGAACCTAAAAATGTTACACAACAAGTCAATTATGTAATCTTATTACCACAGTTTTGCAACTTAAAAATGAAAAATATTTATTGGAGCTTATAATTTTGTAAGAGCAGAAGAATTAACAGTCAGATGTTTCATTTAATAACAGTTGCAAGTGGATTCCCAAAGTGAACAATTTTCCAAAAGACTAAATTGTAGGACTTCAAGTCATTAACCCTTTACACCAATACCTTAACATCAGTATCCATATTCTCCACACTGTTCTCTATACGTTTCCTAAGGTGCTGACAAGGAGAATTTGGTCAGCAATGAAGAGCTACTTTAATTGGTGATCAGTTCATATATTCTCATGACCTTAATGATTGATTCAGGAGTGACATTGTAAGGAGAAATTAGATGTTAATCACTTTTAGGAGTTGAAGGGTTGATATGTGAGAGGATATTCAGAGCAATTTTTTAGCTAGTCTTTTAAAGCATTCATGGAATTTGAAGCTCATGGGATTTCCTTTATAGAGAAAACTAATGAGAACTATTATTTATGGCTTGCAGGCATAACTATATTATTCAATTGAGTTTTCCATGTCAACTTTGGGTTGGTGTGATTGATGTAATAAAAGATAAACAGGAAGACTGGCCTTTGTGAAAAAAATTAATTGCTTTGTCATTAAACTACAAAAACAAATTTTTCTGAAAAGCACACTCTTTTAACACTCCCACCCCCCCCCCCCCCCATGAGTGACTAGACTCTACTAAATATCTCCCTACAATTTTATCCATGAATCATAAATAAACATCAAGGTCACAGGAATAAAGGAAATGATCCCCAACTAAAGAAGCTCTTGATTTTTTAACAAATTCTCCATTTAAGAACCTTAAGAATTATTCAGAGACCAGTATGGAGATATACTGATATACAGATAAGCAGATGTAGAATGATATACATATAGATATATGTGTATAAAGAATAAACTACAAATCACAGTTCATAAAATTTTTAAAAGAATTGATAATTGCATGACCAAAACTTCAATTATAAAGTACTGTACCTGTCTTTCCATCATCTTGGCACTTCTCAGCCCAGTTATGAAACACCTTGATTATTTTCTTCTCATTAAGCATTGCATCAAAAAGGGAAGCAATCAAAGTATTTTCATGGAATTCACCTAAAACACTGAAATAGTTTGGTTGCAAAGATATGTCAACAGTGAACTCATAGTTTCCTCTGTCTGTCTCAAATAAATGGAATGCTCTGACATAGTCTGGCTCAATGAGTTTGGCAATTTCCATCATCCTGGACATGAAGAGTTCATAAAAGCGTGCTTTTGCCTCCAGATAGAGAGCAAGAAAGTTTTCCTGACTCTTGATACTGTCAGCATACTTCTGTAAGAGTGTGTGGATGTCATACTTCCTTTCTTTTGCTTCCTCATCAACTACAAAAATGATTCGACTGGCTGCAAGACCCTCTAACTGAGCAATAGCTTCTGACTGGTCAATACCAAGAACTTTGGCAGCTGTTGGCACAGAGAAAGGCCCATGAAACAAGGAGATTACTACTGCAGATACCTTCAAACTTTCAGTGGGAAGTGTGTCGAATGTTTCTCTCACCACCGATATCTGACCCATGTCTACTCCATCGTCCTCAAAATCGAATGGCTTCTCTGAGGCATCTTTCTCCACTTTGGATTTCTTTGGAGTGAGTGCAAGTCTTGCGATGAGTTCATCAACAGACTTCCGTCCTTGTCGCAAAATAGGATCCAGTAATTCTAGAAAAAGGGGAGATCCTTTGGTGGTATTAAAAAATTTATCCATCTGGTGGGGTTGGACATCATTCATCCCCTTAGGAAAGAGGATTTTCTCCGAAAAAGATCTTTTCAGGGACTTGACTTCAAAATCTTCCACCTTTTTGGAATCTTTTAACTGAGCCCTTGATGTAAGTAAAAGTTTCAAGGGAGACCCTTTTTCTTTGGTTTCTAGAAGCTTTTCTAAAAATTGTATAAAAGCTGTTTTCAAGTTCTTTCCCTCCTTTCCTTGCCCTGCGGTAAATCGATCCACGTTATCCAGCATAAACAGAATACCATGTCCCTCCCTTTTCGTCTGCAACTCTCTTATTTTCTCTTGAACTTTTGCCACAACATTCTTTAGTTCAATGTAACCAACTGGAACAGCTAGATCGAGAGAATGTAGAATGTTGTAATAAATCGCTCTCATATCCTTTGCTTCTCTAAGATCAAAAACATGATATGTTCCACGCCATTGTGAGCAAACTTCCTTAGCAAGTCTTGTCTTTCCCAAACCAGACGACCCAAACAAGTTTAAAGCTGCAGAATCTTTTGATGCCAGTTTTCGGTTGATTTTCGTGATTTCATCGTTCCGTCCCTGCAATTTCTTCTCTGGATCAGCTTTTACTGGACGAGAGGCCTTAAAATTTTTCATAGCGTCCTTAATGAGTTCTTCTCCTCTCGATTTCAAAGCAACGAAGTCTTCGATTAGTTTGAGGTTGTTTTCAGATACATACCCATTCTCTTCAAGAAGATGAAAACACTTCAGCAGATCGCAATCGGCTAGAGAGTTGAATTTCCCCCCAAAATTCTGTTTAAATGACAGTACAACATGCTCTGATTCCTCTGGAGTAAAGTATGGTGATATATTTTGGAAAAGTTGTCTTAAATCTGATTTATTTTCGGTATCGACAACCGCCATTTTTGAGCGTGTTAACACACACCGCTGATCTCCATACTAGGGACGCACAAATATAAGTCACGCGATCACAGCACGCAAGCCGGAAGTACGTTGCAAACATTTAGATTAACATCATAATAATATAATAATAAATGGTTTTTAACCAGGGTGACCTCTTCGGCATAAAATGCTAATATCAATAAGGGCCCTGCAAAAAAAAAACAACAACAACAAAAATAAAAAAGCCTAAATACAGTCACCAACTTTAAAAGTAATTAAAAAGCTTGTGATCCACATTAGGGTTAAACTTTACCCTTCCTGAAACAGTTCGCAAAATAAGCTAAGGCCACTTCTTCAGTTCAATTAAGATTGTTTTGTTTTTCTTTTTCGTGCCTTCCCAGAAGGAATACTTACATATTGCCCTCTCCGTCAAAGATCAGAACTTAGTCTTTTCTACGCCCCCCTCCCTCCCTCTTTGCTGTCACGCCCCACCCCTCCCCCTCTCCTATGACTCATTCTGTGATCTCGATCTAGCAGTCAAAAGATATATGTTGCAACTTTTCCTTTAGGTTCATGGGGAACGATAATTAATTTGCTCGTGCCTAAAGTTACGAAATTAAAGAAAATGAAGATCTAGAAGATTCTATCTCCAAAACATCGTTTATTTTTGTGCCTACTGTGCCTTCCTTTGAAGAACACCGTAAGCACTTTGTTATGGTGTCGAGCAGCTATGCTGTCGTGTAAGTCCGTAAACCTTCCCCCAAGGATAAAAGCAAGGAGGTGAGTTGCGGTCTCTCCCTTCAGCGTAAGAATCTTTTGAACTAAACTACCAGACTTAAAACCGTCCAAGGATCTCAAACTTACATTTAAAGATTTCAAAATTTTACCAAGTTTACAAAGCTTTTTTAATTTTTGCAATCCATCTTGGTCCAAAGCCACATGCGTGCGTATGTGTGTGTATAACAAAGTTACTTGGTCAAATCATGCAAATTTGTTATTGTCCGTAAGGGTGTTCCCATGAAGGTTTTTCTGACCGGACGTGTTTGGTATCACGCGATCGCTCGTTTCGTTGCATGTGCAACAAGGTACATTGTGCACTGAATGAAGTCCAGTTGCATGCTAAGTTCCTCCGATTTTATCAGTTTACTGAGTCCAACTCCATTTGATCCAAACGTCTCAAATTAAGAAAATCTACATTGTCGTTGTTGATGTCCGCTAATCCTATTCTAGTCAGAGCCACCATGACTCTTCTGATCGTGGCTGATTCGCCATTCTCTTCACACCATTCTTGTAGGACTTGATAACAGCATTCTCCACATGTATCAATTTTTCCATCTGTAAGCCCCAGCTCTCTTGCCAGGTCTTCCCAATGATACTCCGCTTTTTCTGATACAATTTTCTTCACGTCCCTATTCGTCTTCAATGATTTGCAAACAGCATCTTTACCTAAAAAGGCGAAAATGAATATCATAAAAAATTTCAAATGGATTGCGTGCATGCTGCCTTTATTACTAGAAACACACCACTAACTGACTAACTTCTTGTATCACAAACCCCTCTGTGAGAGCAAATCAACCCAACTTAGTCCCTCTGCGATCTCGACTCTGTTAAACTTGGGCATGACCGCAAGGTACCAAGGGAGACCATAGCAAGATAATTTCCCTAGGAATAGATCGGGGCTCATCCCTGCTGTCAGAACAGGAAAAGTGCGCAAGACGTTTCGTTGAATGAAGAACCTTGTGCTCCCATTTACAAGAATGACTACCATTTTGGACGGGGGGGGGGGAGGGGGGGCTCCGCAGGATACGTGACATCAAGATATTGCAGCAATAGTCATAGTTAATTAAACCTTATAATTATATCTCCCGAGATATCTACTTCCAGAAACATATGAAACAAATTTATTTGTGATGAGCTCGTCAAATCTCTTCACTTGTTCTCCAGACAATGTATGAACACACTGAGGAAAATACAGGCGTTAATAACTTCTAAGAGTAAAGGTTGTGGGTCAAGCGTTGTGGACAAGTGAACCTATTATTCTTTGGAGCTAAATTTGATTGAGTGTCGTCATTTGATTGAGTGCTAATTCACAACCGTCGATCAGAGAAAAATATTACTAGAAGCTTATTACAGTTAGAACAAGTAAACTGCTCATAGTGCGGAGTAACGCGATTGGTCTTAATTTTAAATATGGTCGGTTGAATTAGAAAAAGTGGCACTAGTTTTATGAACCAATTACAAAGGGAAGTAAAACAAAACCAAACTATTCTTGAATTACTTTTTACACTCAAATGCAAACTGCTTGATCTTTTAATGTCGTTACCTTCCTTAACTCGATCCACCACACATTCGAATCCAACATATTCGCTCAGTTCCTTGACAAGGACTTCAAAGCATTTATCTTGAATCTCGATTTTCAATTCTGCAAGAGCCTCATAGAAGCTTTGCATTGTCTGCTTCTGATTCATATTAAGCGGTAAAAGAGATCGTCATACACCTCTGAACCAATGAATTGTTTTCCAGTCCTAAGAACATCCCCAGGACGTGGATTGACAAGATTTCATCATTAACAGGAATGCAAAAAAAACTCCACTGGGGTTTTCTACAAATACATAAAAAGTAACATATTACTATTTAGCTTAATAAAAATGTACATGCTTAATTCTCAGGACGGACGTGTTTATTTTCTACGAATTCCGCCTTGTATTCTACATGCATGTCTGATAAATTCCATTTGAAATGTTACGTGATCGTATTGCATTTCTTTTCCTGTTCTCTTTTTTTCATTTTTTTTTCTCTATTTCATCAACACGCAAATCTGTCCCCTGAAAAATGTTAGCTTTGGATGTACACTCTACGTACTGTTGATCGGAATTTTGTTAATGTCATCCTAAATATCGTTGAACAAAAAGGAATTATATGAAAAACACGTTCAAAACCTGAACAGCAATCAAACCTCTTACCTTCAGCATTCTCTTGAGAGGCGATGATCGAAAATTCAATCGACATAGCAGAGTGCCTTTTTCAAACTTCGGTGTTTTGTAAAACTTCACCCCTGAAAGTCCTTTATCGTCAATGACGCGGATTGGAACTTGAACTTTATGGACGTCATCGCTTATAAACCTGTTAAAAATAATTCTTATCAGCACGAAAAAGGATGTATTTATTGGCAAGAATCTTTGCCGTTTTTCTACAGAGGAAGTGGGACGGATGTTACCTAAACGTCGAACGAGGAACTGGAAACGGGGAACAGGGAGCGAGTGTACAGCGATAACCTGAATTAGAATTTAATCATTTCTCTGGGCTCTATAGCACCTGCAATTTATATCAGAAAAAAAGTGAATTTATGAAGTCAAAGTTTGAGTATGTGAAAACAGGGTTTTGCCTTCACAAATGAACGGACGGACGGGGACAACTCTTAAAAACTCTTTCTGGGTAAAGGCTTTCCTTGGGGGCACTCGCTGGCTGCGGGAAGGAACCGGAATCTATTACGGCTGCTGACTATCCTTGAGAGAATGACTAACAACAACAGGGTTGGCTCCAACGTAGATTTATTCTGCAAGCTCTACTACAATTTTGACCATAACGGACCTGGCCAGGGCTGGTTCGACCCTGCTCTTCTCTTCTTCTCTTCTCTTTTTACAAAACAGTCCTATTTAAGCCTGACGTACATGGATAACGTAATGCCATGAATAATCTAAAGAATCATGTAATGTACTACACTATTGGTTAAGCAGGAATTTCGCCTTTTACAACAGTAATTACTTTCAAAGAGTTCCGGTGGATAACAATTACACAAAAGGACATGACTGGTGGCTGTCACAGTTTAACGCTAACAACAACCGTCTACAGGTGACTGAAGGAAAACTGGTAGCGTTTACACTTTGCCGAACTAATCTTTCTACGTTGAATATTGTATTTTTTTTAAGCGCAAGCATGAAAGAACTCGATAACTAAAAATCCCATCGTTACAAGTAAAATTCTATCAATAACAACTCAACGTAAAACCTCTGCTGATTGTTATTTTGAATTTGATTAAACAAAATCCCCTACATTTCCGGCCCTCTTGGCATTATTTAAAAGAAACCTACTGGAATAAAACTTCAGGTTAATAGCATACTGAGGGTTTTCTCAGTGAAACGTCTCTAAAAACTTACTGGAGATAAAATTCATCCATGTCATCTTCCTCAATCGCTCTGATCCCTCCTATGAGGGAGACGTAAGCCTTATCACGCCCAGGAATCATATTGATGCGGGAGCTTGAATCGCTCGGAGTAGGCGCATTAGCTTGATTCGTAATTTCAGCCCACACCTTTTCTTTAAGTTGAGACGGGCAGCAAATTAGGTACAATATGTCTTGAGAATCAGGGCGGTCTTCATTAGGGAAGTAAGCGAAGAACACTGCCAGCTGAGGCTGGGTCCAAATAAGGCTCGACGGATATCCGATAACGCCTTGATAACTGAAGCTATCTGCACACCAGTAAATAAGACACGAATATCTGTAATAAAAGTCAAAGAACTGAAAAAGAAACAGAAAAAGCTGAGGTTGAGTCCAAATAAGGCTCGACAGATATTCGATAACGCCTTGATAACTGAAGCTATCTGCACACCAGTCAATAGGACACGAATACCTGTGATAAAAATTGGTTACTAACAATGTTTCTCAGAAATGTTCGCACCAGAGGGTGGATGTCATAGGTGAGTTCTTTCACGTCAGGGTCTACCGTTAGCACTTCACTATTCCTGAGACCTTCTTGTTGTATGACAGCTTCTGACGAGTCCACTCCAAGGACTTCGGCTGCTGCTTCGACACAGAAAGAGCGGCAGAACAGTGACATCGAAATGGCAGAATCTTTTAACTGTTTACTCGGCAAGAAGAAAAACATTTTTCTTAAACAGCTTTCTTGCTCTTTATCAATGCTTTCCTTTTCAGAGTCAAATACGTCTCTCTCTCGACTCTCCTCTGCTGCTGGTATTTCCGACTCTGGTGGCTCGGCTGATAGTGGCTGGTTAATCGTTTC